AGACCCAACCCCAAACCCAAACCCAAACCCAAACCCAAAACCCAACCCCAAACCCAAACCCAAACCGCAGGTTCCACTGCATACCTCATAGTGTCTCAGAGATTGAGAACTAGATTATTCACGATTCTAATAATCATGTTGTTTTACTCTAATGAAAATTATTTCATATTAATTATTACTATTATTATTATTATTTGACCATCTGTAATATAATGAAAGCGATATATTTTTCAAAATTTTTCCATAAAATTCTTCATAGTAAGATGTTGAATTTCTTGTAATTGGAAAAAAGAGTTTTAGTACATTCTGCTTCAGAACAATTATATTAAAGATTATGATTAAAAATTGCATAGTTAAAATTCCATATCTTGTCAGTGTTTTCAATTGAGGAATTTAAAGGTATATTAAAGAGATATTCTTAAATTTATGACTTGAAGAGACAAACGGTTGATTTTTTAATTAAGATGATCCCTAAATAGCATTTTTCGATTTATTAATAATATATTTTGATCTTATCTTAGTCTCGCTGAAAATTTATAGAACGCTATACACCTCCTATCAAATATTTCAAAGTCATAATTACGATATTCTAATATAATGAATCACAAAATAATTCTTCTGATTCTCCTTTTAATTCTAATTTCAAAAAGTTAATGATTAATAGTATTACAATTTAAAAGCCATTTTTTGTAGTGTTTGACATTAATAGTAATTCATAAATATATAAAAATTCAAAAAATCAAGTTCCATTCAGTGTTTTCAATGCAGGTTTCAATTTAAAAAAAGCAAATGTGTTATGCTCTCTTTTAATTCGGCTTATTATTTGGCAATGATAAAAGGCGATAACCATAATGATGAAGCAATATAGTTAATTAAAATCTTCCTGTTCTGATGATCATCATGTACCTAAAAAAGGTGTCTTAATTTCTTTAATGATGTTGTACCAGATTTTGTAACAGTATAGGAAGAATAAATTAAATTAAAATGCTACAAGAGCTTAATACTTCATAATTCAGGGGGCCACAAGGATGATATTTTCAATGTATAAAACACAAGCATATGAATACACGGATATGACATTTAACGAAAAATGTATTTTAAAAAAAGATATATAATTAATATTTTAATAAAAACTATCAAACCTTGAATTTAATTGCAGTTTTCAAAATAAATTTCTAGTTGAAAATGAATTACTTCTTAATATTATAATTTATATTAAGCTAGAGCCTATTATCATAATTAACTTCGATCTTGGTTACTGGTATTATCTTCATTGAAATTTCCATCAGTAAAAACATAGTAATGAAAAAATTCTAACTCTTAATTTTTAAAGTATCCAATCCTAATTCATTAAACTAGTTAAGTTGGAAAAGTTAGATTACTATCCCAAACTGATTATTTCAAATCTAATACCACTATTTTAATCTATCAAAATCTTTATCTTAATCACAAAACCCAATTGTTAAAGCGTTTGCTTTCTATTTTGTTACAGAAACATTATTATATTTTGGTATAATACAACTCAAAATCTCCTTTAGTTCTCAATTTCTTCATTGAATTTAAACTCAAGTATAAGTAATGAGCTAATTTTATATTGCTTAACATTATTGAGATAGTTATTGTAGGCGGCTTTAAAGCATGAAATTTACTCTTTATGTTGTATATAAATATATTTGATATGAAGTAAATATCTAAAAATGATTAGCAATAATTCATGAAAATGGTTACTATTTTTCTAATCTCTCAAACTTAACAAACACATTATTTTTTTTTCAAAACCAAATATAATTGGATTTAATATTTCAGATTATTACATTGTAGTGATGGTTCAAATTGATAAAAAGGATTAAGGATTTATAAAAATTTTGATTATTTATTAAGATAATTTATTAAGTTATTTAAATATTAATATTATAGAATTTTATGTCAAATCCATACTAATAATCAAACCCTTAGTACGCTCAATAAAATCAATAATAATACCCCTAACAATATCCCTAATAGTATTCTTAGTAATATTCCTAATAATAGTAACCCTATCCTTAATAACAATAACAGTAATACCCACCATAATAATAATATTACCAATCCCAATAACCTAATTACTAATATCAATAAGTTTAATAACCTGTCCAACAATAACCTTATTATCAATAGACCCAACCTCAACATAATGTTGTCATAGATGAATAATGTAAATTTAAAAATAAAATTAGAAAAAAACCCTTTGGATGATTATGACCTTGGAGAATCCTTTTTAAGCAATGTTGGATTTGATTAAAGAAAGAAATTTATTGTTAAGGTTTACAGTTTATTAACCATTCAATTATTTGTGACATTCGTAATGGTAGCTATTGCATGTTTCTCAAAAGCATTCAGAGATTTATTAATTAATCCTTATAGTTATAAAGCAACACCATTTTATTGGAGTATGTTTGCTGTCTCCTTTGTCACTGAAATCGCTATCTTTTGCTTTAAAAAAGTAGCAAGAAAAGTACACAATATATAATATAAACAATTAGGTTCCCAATAATTATATTGCTTTAACAATATTTACAGTTAGCTTTTCATTTGTGGTTGCTGGTTCATGTGCAGTTTGTAAGGATGCTTTTGAGAATGGTGGAACCTTGATTTTAATTGCTGCTCTTATGACATTTGCAGTCACTGCTTCATTAACTGTCTATGCATGCAGAACAAAATCAGATTTTACTATGGCAGGTATTGATTACAAAAATAGTGATTAGGTGGTGCTTTATTCATTCTGTCCTCCATAATGTTTATCCTCTTCATCTTTGCCATTTTCTTTTTTAATATCATCTTATGGCTCTTATTATGTTCCTTATCCGTAATTCTTTACGGCTTCTACCTAATTTATGATACTCAATTGATTATTGGAGGAAAGGTAACAATATCATAATTTTTTTAGTCTCATCAATTAAGTATTGATGATTACGTGATCGGAACTATGTTCATTTACATCGATATCATCATATTGTTCTTGAGAATATTACAGATTCTGATGATATTATTTGGAAAAAAATGAAATATCAATAAAAACATCATAATTATTTCTATTATTATTGTTATGCTTCCTATCTTTTACTTCTGTAATACTTAGTAATAATTTGTATTAACTTATATCATACCTTCTAACAAATTCATTTCCGTCTACATAATTAAATAATATACTCTTAGACTAAGCAATTAAAAAGTAATTGAATTGCTCTTCTATATTTTCTTTTATAAAAATATTCAACTTTCCATTGAATATAAATCATGCATATCAAGGCCAATGTATTTTTGATTCTTTTTTACTTGTTTTTCCTTCACTTAAATTATCATTTAATTAACTCATAATAATAATGGATAACTAAAATTTTCTATATTTATCCTTAGGAGCTTATATTGGAGTAAGCATGAGATTAGAAATTGTATCGATAGTTGGCAACTTTCTTAGAGACTAGACTATACCTATTGATATATTTGACAATTTTATTGGATCCTTTGTGATTGGATTTTATAATGATAGATATAAAAAGAGAGATTTCAGTTCTCATTTAGCTATCAGCACAGGATTTTGTGGATGTTTAACTACTTTTTCATCTTGGATTATTGGCATCATTGATTTAGTTAATTCAGAATAATGGTTTAATTGCATCATTCATCTATTTATTGGAACCACAGTTGCATATTCTGGATTCAAACTTGGCTAGAATGCTGAAACTGAATTCAAATTTCCATTCCATCAAAAATTAATTTATTTAGCATTTCTAAAATTGATAATATTTTAAGTACTATTTCAAAGATGGAGTATGATTGTAACAGCATTATTATCACCTTTTGGAGCAATTCTTAGATGTTATTTAAGCAAATTGAATCATAAAGATTTCCCATTTGGTACTTTAATGTGCAATTTGTTTGCAGTTTGGATAGCTGAAGCACTCTTGATTTCAAAAATCCATCTTGATGATGACAGCAACAAGATTATAAATTCTGTCCTAAAAGGATTTTGTGGTAGTCTCTCAACAGTTTCAACATGGATAAAAGAAATTTGCACAATGCAATCGATTGAACTAAGATTTAGTTATTATTGGATTTCTTTATTTTTGAGTGTTTATATTGGATTAGTTATATTTTAAAATTTATCTTGATTATTCAATTTCATTAAAGTAACTAAAATGACTTTTTTTTGTGTTGAACTTATTATTAAATTTAAATTAGGACTTTATTATGAGCTTTCCGTAAAGAGTATAGTTATATTACTTTCATAAACTTAAAATTCATAATTTCTAAAGTTTTTACATTTTTGATATTGAATATATTTTTAAGAGTATCACATTAAAGAACTTTAGATTAATTTGATATATACATCTTGATTTATTAGATGCAAACATATTTCTTGAATTCAATTCGTTTTGTATTAAGAAATCATCTGATTCAAAGTATTATTATTTAGAGATTGCCAATATAGTAATTATTCAACATTCTTATTCTTACAACATACCATCATAGTAGAACTTAGTACTCTTTTAGATATTTTACAACTATTTAAGGTTGTCCTGGAATTTCAAGAAAATAATCATGATGTACCTTCTAATTTCGATAGGTTAGAATACATTTAAAGAGTTAATAAGGATTCTAATCATTTTAATAAATGAGCAATAAATTTGAATACATAGAAGCATTTCACTCAGAACTTGGCCACTATTAAATCATTTGTTTATATCCATTAATTTAAGAGTACTACCATGTTCATTATGATCTGACATGTGCCATAGCCAATTTCATCAATTAATATAGTGATTTATGCATATTTAAAATTTTCAACGCTGAGTCAAGAAAAAAATATGAGTAAGATGGTAACTAATAAGAATAAGGAGAGCGATAACCTATACAAGCATAACCAGAATAATAAGTATAATAAGATTATGATAATATTATTTGGGATCTCTATGAAACTAATTAAAACTAAGTAAAAGTGAATAACAAATTCAAAATCTTACAAAGCCACATGAAAAATTTCAAAGAACAACTTTTTATACAATTCTCTTATTGGAACATTGATTAAAAGGTTGGATATTTAAAAAAATGCAATAAGATAATTGATTATATAGAAGAGAAGTAAAAGAATATAATGAATAAAAATACTGATACTTAATTTTTGGAAGAGGACGTTGTAAAATTTATAGAACAAGAATTGAAAACGAATAAGAATGAATAAATAATATGATATATATCAAAATACACATGTTATTTTAATACACTTTCAAGCCAATGTATTGCAAGGACTTTAAAGTCATCCCTTTATAAAAAGTACTTTATCATCTAAATTTTTATGGTAAAGCTACATAAATTTACAATAATTCTAATGATTCTAAAGGAATTATAGTAATAAAGATAACAAAAATAGTAGCAAATTAATTTCTTATTAAACCATATTCCTATAATTATTAGTAAATATTCAAAAAGTAAAAGTTAATTTTATAGTAATTTTAACAACAAGTTGATGGTATATAATGATGAGATAGATCTGCATAATTAATAAAAAAAAATTGTTAATGTAAATAAAGAAATAGAAAGTTTAAGGTGAATAAACTATAAGTTCAATTTAAGACTACTTGGAGCAACTCTTTTTAAAAGAATGAAAACTTATTAAATAATTTAGATAAAGATGAAATTTACCACTTTGAATAATAAAAAGGAATAAGAATAATGATTATTAGAAAAGGAGAAAGTTATAAAATAATTTAATAGGACAGATAAATGAAGAAATTCAAAATTTATTGAATTAGAAATAGAAAACATTTAATTTAATAATTAAAAAAATTTTTGGGATTATAACTCAATTAAAGAAGGAATCAATACTTTTAATAGCATTGAAGAATGTTTGTAACAAATAACAGTTATAAAAAATAGAAAACCAGCAAAGGATAATAAATAAATCCCATTAATTACAATTAAGGAATAAACGAGAGGATATGAAAAAATATTAACTATTTAATATTTCTATAAATAAATAAGTGATAGCGGAGATTAGAAAGTTTATACAAAAATGTATTGAGAAGAAATTATAGTATTTAGAGTTTTAAAGAATAGACTATATCCAAAAAAGATATAATTAATTTAAAATAAAACTTTAGAATTTAAAATTAATTGAATTAAGCAGATAATTTGAAAGTGGATCATCCAAAGAAACATGTTCGTAACAATAGTAGTGCAATTTTGAGAATATTAATTTTTGATTGAATATCTCTAACATAATTTATTGTATTGTAATAGTTTATAATCATTTTTACATCATCCTTATAAACCCTTAGTTAAGGTTTCTATGAATAAAATTAAATGTTTATAATATTAATTTCCACAATATGGAAATTTTAAATAACAATTATATATTAGATTAAATTTTGAACATAAGAATTTTCGAAATTAAACTTGTCATTAACATTTATTAAATATGCAAACAATTATCTTGATAATTAGTACAGCTTAATTGATAAAATCAGCCACTTTGGACATTAGCAATAGTTGCAAATGTTCAGAATTGATTTATTCAAATGACTGTTTTAGTGGATTTTCAGATTGCTCTTGGAATACACGTAAAAATTAGTGTGTAGACGTGGCATGTTCTGACATTGAGTGGTCAAATCATTGTAATTGGTCATCAAATAGATGTTATTGGTTCAATAAATAGTGCCATGATTTTACATCCTGTCAGGCCATTCCAGGAAAAGACCAATCTGAATGCATTTCAGCCAATATCTACTGTCCTGCTTCAAATGGAATTAATTGTTTACCCATGTAATATCAATAGGCGTGTTCAGATATTACGGATCCAGACACTTGCAATAACTATTTTTCCCCAAATGGCAAATGTATGTGGAAAGAGCAGAAGTGTATCATTCTATAAACATGTACTGAATTGTGGACTAATATAACAAAGTCATGTTTACCATATGTTTGCTATTTTGATTCTCTCACCTACATGTGTAGAGATATGACATGTGCAAAACACACTATGGAATCTTAATGTGATTTTGGAGTTCCAACAATAGGTCCATATTTAAACAATTTTATTCCATGTGAATGGGATACTAAAAATAGTGTGTGTAGAGAAGCCAATCCGAGTGACTTTAATGTGAATGAATGTTATAGTAATAGTGCAAGGACTTACCACTGGAGTAATAGCAAATCTAGTAAAGGAAGTTGTGTCCCCTGCCAAAGTCCTATAGTAACATTGATAATTGGATTAATGGTGATGATTATTATGTGATAAATATATTTATATAACAGATGCTTAAGTCAATCATGAATATTCTTAGAGAAACTATTTAAATCAAATAAGATTTTATATTGATTCAAGTTATAATTTGAATTTGATTGATTAATAATAAAAGAAAATTTGATTGCAAAAGTTAAGATGAATAAGTATTTAAGAGATAGTTGGTTTATTCTATGAAAGTATTTTAATTCTGAGCATTATTATAATTTTTTAAATATAATATGTTAAACGAATTAATCCAGCTATTTTGCAGCAATGGTACTCATTCGAGTGAATTATTTTACAATGCCACTTTACAGTTGAATGAATTCTTGGATAAGAAAGAGATAGTACGATGCTTTCCGAGAGTTTCAGAGAACCTTGGAGATCAATTGGTATAACATATTGATGGATAATTAATAGCCAAATCTAAGGAAGGCATCCCACTAGCTTTTCCAGGCGTACATTCGTTTTAACGAGAGTTTTGATGGTGTCCTTTCGGCTATGCTTAGTAGAGGTCTAATTCACCCGAATGTAAGAATGTTTTAGTATATAATATAAGTGGTTGGTGAGATAGAAGAATGTGAATTCATTGCAATCGTTGTTTTTATCAGAAGGATAGCATTTGGAGTCTGGGAGTGGAATGGTTAAGAATATGGTGGAGATGTTGTTAGGGAAGTTGTGCGATTGTAACTTAGCAGTTTGTAAGGCCACAGAATAGGTATGAATATGTTTATATACTAGACTTTGATAACGTTGATTAGTTTGAATTAATATAAGTAATGTCATGCATAATTGCCTATGGGAATTCAATCTCAAGTTGAGCAATTTGTAGAGTAGATGAAGGAAACCAATTAGATAAGACAAGAGATCAGATTGAGAGAGCCAACACCTAATGGATTGCCATTCGACAAATTGGAAGACTTGAAAGATACATAATGGTAGATGAGAGCTGAAGCAATACAAAGAATATATGAGGAACTATAAGATGTGATCTTGACTCCATTATAAGTTGAAGTCTTGTTTGAACATATTGTAAATTTAGTTAATGATCATAACTTCAATATAGTGTTAACTACTCTATAGATTATGCAAAGATGTTTGTAGTTTAACATAGTGAAGAGTAGCAACATAGTTAATATATACACTAAGCTAGGGGATTCGAAATCAGCGATCAGAACTGCTGTTAGATAAGTGTTGGTGATGTATTTGTAGAAAATTGGAGACGGAGAATTACTGATTCAAATCTTGTAGTGGCCAAATAAGAATTCTTTTTACAAAGAGGAATGCTTAGATCTCCTCATTGATTTGGTCCAAAGAAATAAGATGCTGGTAACCTGATTCCTCAATATGCAGCTTTCACAACACCTCGAGTTGGCCATCAAAGAAGTGGCTCCTTTCCTCGAGGACCAAAAATAGAAACTGCGATCTAAAGCCATAGACACCCTTACTCAGTTGGCCACAATCAATCAGCATTTGACTAAGCGAGTGTTCTCATAACTCGGCATCACTGAGGATCTATTCAACCAAATCGATGTTAGCACCGCATCTTCAAACAAATCTGATCTCCCACAATTGCGATTCAAAAAAGAACAAAGAGACCCAATAGATCAATATACACAATCTCTACCTGAACCTAAGCATTAGTAATAATTTGACATACCCATTTTCCAATCCCAATAACAAGGTTATGTGCCTACAATCATTTCTCAGCCCCAAAAGTAATAGAGAAGTGCGCAAAAAACTGAATCTCATCCTCAATCTTCCAGCATCGAGTTCAGACAGGCTCAATAACAACAGGAGTATAATCAGCCACCAGCCACTTAACAAAGCAAACCGTTCAGAATAGTTAAAAATCCATAATAAGACATCCCAGACCAAGACACTGGACTCACTTACACCAAGCCTTTCTAAAGAAAACCAAAGACTGAAGCAGATAAAACATTCTAGCCGATTTATTTGGATGAAGTCTTGCCATTAGATCAACCAGAATCTGTCTTAAAGTCCTTGTTGAATGAATTAAGATATGATGATTGGAATAGATAGTTTGAAGCCCTCAACAATCTAAGAAGATTGGCAAAACATAATAGTGAATTACTCAGAAAATCAGTCAATTTCCCATAAATCCTATTAGAAATGGTCAAATAAATTGAAAACCTAAGGAGTGGAGTGTCTAAAAATGCTTTGATATCTCTTTAAGAACTGAGTGATATTTACAAGAAAGACTTGGATTGTGTGCTAGATTAAGCTCTGTAAAAATTAATAAAGAAAGCTATCGATCTCAATACATTTATAAGTGAAGAAGTTAGAAAATCAACCATCTCTTTATTATAAAATTGCAGCGAATAAAAATCTATCTCTCTGATTACATAAGTTTATTAGAGTAAATCAATAGCTATTAAGGTGAACATTTGTTATGCGTTGAATAATTTATTGGATCCCAATAAATAATCTTTCGAAAAAATGCTCCAAATTCTGTGTTTATATGCTTGTGATCAAGGCTAAGAAGTAAGATAAATTGCTAAAGAAGGGTTACTTAGTTTAATAGGTTAAATTGAAAAAAGGGAATTAGAATCATTGATCATCAAATTGGCACCTGAAGGAGAATGCAAAAGAATTATGACAATTATCAATGGTGAATCTACAACAACCTCTGAATTTAGAAGGTTTGGTGCTACTTAAACTAAAGAAGCTAGAACACCAGAATTAAGAAATAGAACTCCAAATAATAAAAAGTTGTCAGCTGATTTTGAATAGATGCCAAATTATATGAATTAGGCAGAATTAGGCAAAGATTGGAAATAAAAAAAAGATGCTATTGATTGGCTTTGCAATTTTGCAAAGAAAGAGGCTTAGGCTTTGAATGGTCATAAATACTCCAATAAATTTTTGGATCTCCTATGTAAATTAATCGATGATGGAAATAAGAACATAGCCTTGTATACTTGCGAATAGTTCATTTAATTAGTTGAACCACTTAAAGTATTTAATTAATTACTATTTATTAGCTTCCTATATAAAATAACTATGTTAACATATGGAATGGGGTCTTTAAAGCTGTCTCGTCCACAAATAATTAAGTAAGACAATCGGCTGAATCACTATTTCACGAACTTATGATACATATTGACATTCAGTATTCATTACCTCAAATCTAACATCTCATATTGTATGGTCCAGCCAAATCTAAAGGCATTGCCATAACAATGTTAGCAAGTACATATTTACAATATTATGATTAGATTTTGTATAATAATTTTATGATGAGCGACCGTAATTAGTAGTGAAACACCTTGTACCTTTGGCTAAGAAGTTGCAAGAAGAATAGAAACCAGACATTAAAATAGCATCCTAGAAACTATTTTAAGCATTGGTCTCTACATGTCCAAACGATGTTGCTCATTTGAAGTTATTAAAATGAATATTATTATTTATTATAATGTTAATTAAATTTTACTCATCATATTAGCTCAATGCGTATCTGATTTTCAATTGTTTCTAGATAAGTCTTTTAATTAAATTTTTGTTTAATACCAAACGTCTTTGCGTCTATAATTGTGAAGAACTCTGGCCATCCATTCATAAATTTAATTAGCTCTCCCTCTATGTACTAAATCCTCAATGCAGCATTCAATTGAAACTATTCTTGATTCTCCTTACTCATAAAAATATTCAATAATTCCCCTTGAAAATAGTAATCCAAGCGTTCCACCAATATTCTAGCTTCTTAAATTATTTCATCTTCTTCCTTATCCTTCTGTCCACTCTCTATCAATGTCTGCAATACTTAAATCATGGCTGGCTCATTATCCAAGAAATACTCCTCAGTTAAATATCTGATATGAGTGTGACAGGACAATTGAATAAACCCTTTTGACACTAAACTAGAGGAATCCAGATATATAACTCTAAAAGATTACACAATGCAGTCGTATTTGATAATATCTCTGTACCTCCGCTCCTCTTAATATGTTCTTGGTTGGACTTCAATAACATTCCCTATTGCAATTCCCAAACATTGATCTTCAGCTTCTTTATTCTCATTTTTTGTAACTTCCACAAACATAGGTTCATTTGTTCTATAATCACCTCCACCACCAAAGTTATAATACTTATTCTATTTCTAAACAGTTTCATAGATCTTTACAATAATCTCTCCTGGACCTCCAGTGTAATTGCGCATATCATTTTATTCTAGATCCCATGGGGGTCTATAGAGATTTCTTTTAAAAATATTGGTAGAATCAGGATCTGCCTTTGGTTTTGCAAATTTAAAACAATTGATATTTCCATCAGAATTAGGGAAACCTTGTATTCTGCACTTTCCCTTGAAGGTTTTCCTTCCAGGCAAAGTGTAACCATCCACGATAATTTTGATTCCCATGACTTCAGTTTTGTTGTTGTGTTCTATTAGCATAATGAAGTGTTGATCTGCTTATCCAACAATGCATATGCCTTCTGGAGTCATAATGTGTTGATATTCATACTGTTTTCCCTTGACTCTTCTATATGGATCAATAAATCTGAGTTGAAATTTCTAATCATTTGAATGCACCATTAATATTTTATATTGATTGGGTTCACCATTAAGGATTTGATATATTTGTAAATAATCAATGTTATATTTTGCTTATTTAAATGGTTACTTTTATTAATTAAAAAGAGTGACAATTAAATTCGTAAATGCAGATGTAAATTATTGCAATGAGGAAATCGAATTATATTATATTAATTTTCATATATATATTGAGAAACGGATAATGAGAACATTTGTCTTATTAGGATTATTGTCCCTCACCTTCGCAGTGACCATTAGTAATTAGGGCACTTTAACAAATCCAACATCACGAGTGGAAAGAATAATGACCAAGTTCATGCAATTAAGCGAAATGAGCACACAATTCAACTTTAACAAGCTTTTCGATGCAATTGACTAATTGAGTGCTTAATTAAAAGTACCATTGTGTAGTCATACTGATAGCAATCTGAAGTAGACGAGAACAATCTGTTTGATGCTGACTTTGCTTAATATGTCGAGGATTAGGCCTTTTACACAGATTTAGTTACTTTCTACACAGCAGAAGTTGCCTAACACACAGAGGATCTAAGATCTTTGAATAACCATTTGGAATCATATCAATAATAATTGACATAGAGACAAGAGGAATTGGATAGAACTCAGAAACAAAAAGCCTAATTAGAAGAGACCATCAGACAAAATGAAATCACCTACAATAAATAAATCAGCGATTTCAATACAGCAATAGATGTTTTAGATCAAGCTATTTAATTGTTGTCTGGTTTGAGAAGTAAATAAAAACCGTATATATTTGATTAGATCCTGTCTTGATATAAACTGAATAAGATTAACTCAAAACATTGGCTACTAAATTAAGTTCTATCAATTTGAAGAATCACAGAGTCTTATACTAACCAATAGTTGATATGTTCATGTAACTTGCATAAAATAAGTATGAGCATAAATTAAAATTAGTTTGGCTAATTAAGATCTCCTCAAGAAGGTGCTTAGTATGTTGAATGGACTCAGAAACTCATTAGATGGAGGCAGAAATGCATTAACCAGTAACTACAATAGTGAAAGAGCCTCTAATTTGGAGTTGTTGGAGTCTTACACTAAGAAGATTGATGCTCTTGTTAATGAAGTGATTCCAATGTTATAAGATTTAATTGCCAATACAATTGGTATGTAATTTGTCGATTAAATCTTATAGAATAAATTAAGGTGAAGACAGAATTGTTGAACAATGCCTAAACCAATTTGGATGAAGCAAAAGAAACCTTGCAATTTATTGAAGATAGATGGGTTAAAAGAAAGGCTTAACATGCAGCATTGTTAGCAGAATATGAGAAAGAATAAGCACTTATAGCTTAAACTATAACTGTTTTGCAAAGAGGTGGTGTAAGAAGATAATGATTTAAATTTTATTTTATTTCACATCGGAGGCATACTCATTCCTGCAGGCATCATAGTTTATTACCCAGGTAAACCCATTCCCTTAGGTTATGAAATCAAACCAATATTTGGTGCTCCTGTCACTCCCTGTCTTGTTATTGGTTGGGCTTTTCCTGGTCCTGGTTATAATTCTTGTTTCTTTGGAGGTTGATGAGGAGGGGCTTCAGCTGATAATGATATTATATTATCGCCTCTTACGATGATCATTCCCAAAGTTCTTTTGGTTTCGATTTCGTGGATTCCTACCTTACAAATAACTTCTACCTTGCTTTCTTATTCTGTATTCTTCGCATTCACTCAGAATCACATTCAAATGCTTGTCAAAAGCTAAAAAGGTTCCAACCAACATACGTCCATCACCTAAAGTAATACGAACTCTGTAATCAATCCACTAAAAAAATTTACTTTTCTAAGACATATTTTAATATATTTTAATATATATATTCACATAAGATAATTTATAAAATACTTTAATTAAACATAAATCAACGCTTAAAGCAAAAGTTTCTGATCTCTTGAAATGCATATCTATCTGGCTCTTAGAACATTTGTTAAACAGTTTATTGGGCTGTTTTCTTCACCTTAGGTGTAGATTAATTCTAAGAATTCTCCCTTTAACTAACAGTCTAAACTCCAATTGAATTTGTCTGTTTTGGCTTTGGAATCTGACTGATCAGAAACATTAACCCCGCATTAATCTACTCCAACATCTCCTAATCCTTTTCCCTCTGACTTAGTAGATAGTCCATCTTCTATTTCAATTCCAACTTATATTAATAAATTCACTTACTATATCATTATTCTCAAGAACTTAAGCTTATTAAGTTTTCTACTAGGATTCTTTTACAGGTTTATCAGTTCTCACTGTGAAATCACTCAAATTCTCTGATATACTAGAGTGCTTTGACTATTCTCTTTGTAAACTAAATTCATTGGAATTCCCAAAATTGTTTATCTTCCGTTTTTCCTTTTAGGTCTCTCTCATCTCATTCCAATTCTCTGATTCACCTATTCTATTGGTTTTCATTAAACCATTATTTGTTCGATTTGTTTTTACTAACCTTATATTCATTACTAGTTACTTTTCTGTTGCAAGGTAGAAATTAAATTGATGATCTAATCTTCATTTGAATTATCCTATTCTTCATCAGAACTCATTTGTTTGTCGTTAAAATTATAAATTAAAATTAAATATAATAAACACACTTGATAAATTGTTGTTCCTAATTAAATTCTTTCATTCTTGTTGTCTAATATAAATAATATTTTAGTTGAATTTATATTGATCTTTTTAAATTGATGGTGTAATAAACTAAAGTGTATTAGTTTCATTTTCATATAATAAATGATTAATATTATTTTAAAATATGATTTAATCATTAATAATATATTTTCAATTACTCAAGATTACCTTCTTCTTTTTATCCTTTTTTTTACACCACAATCTATTCAAGATAGAAATAAAATTAATAATGAGAAGGATAATGATTAAAGAACCCTTTTGAATATTTTATTCAGGCGAAAAATTAATTTCAATTAAAAGTTGTGATACTTTATTACTTAACTTTAAATAAGCAGTTCCATTGCATTATTCCTAACATTCAAGTCCTAACTTATTAATTCTAATTAAATGAACTTAATGATAAGATTAGCTTACACTCTCAACAATTACAAAATGTGTTGCGTTGTATCTTTCAATATGGGTATAATTATTATCTCTCAACTTTTAAATACTGTCTATATTTTTAGTTTTTGATAAAACACTGATATCAAATACATTAATAAATGTATCTTCATCAAATTTAAAGGCTGCAACAATGTAATCATTATCAATAAAGAGTAACTTCTCAAATATTGCATCCTAATTGTATCTTATCATTCCCTATTAGACTAATTTCATCTGATCTAAATTATTCTAATCAAATGTTAATTTCATTAAATAAGCCAGATGGTGTTTAAAAAAAACAATAAACAGGATTTCAATTTGATTAATGTTGTTGATAATTTAATAGATGTAAATTGTTTTAAAGACCACTTAATGGAATTTCAGATGAGTATCATCAATCATGTCATTCAATACATAATATTTATAGAAAATGATATCAGATTAAGCTTGGTCTCCTATTAGAATAAAATCTATGAGTCTGAGTTCAAACAACTATAACTTTACATTTAGAGTTAAGTAAGTGGAATTATTGATCTTGATGGCGTCAAAAAAATCAAAGGTAACTTATCTGAATGAATCTTAGAGTTTGTTATCAAGCAATTTCTTTTATTTAAAACTAAAATAGGAATTATCGAAGAAATGACCAGCTATCTGTAAATCTTAAATTTATCTGAAATTTCTTAATGCTAAAATATATTGTAATATTACTTTCAATGTTGGTTAAGACTTTGTAATTCTAAAGTAACGATTAATTCTAATTGCAAAAATTAAATTGATTCAGTAATAGAGAATCATTACCCTTTATGTAAATTGCATGAATGCAATCATCTGGATTAAATCCAACATAGAAAATGGGAGATTCTGTATATTAAGAGCGTGATATAGATATGCTTTAATCAAATATATTTTTTATAATAGATGATCTATTAACACAAACGCCATATCCATAATAAAGACAAATCTTGGAACAATTGTTAAACGTAAGTGGTAAATTTACTAATATATTTTCTGTTCCAATAATCTCAACTTTTTCAACAGTTCCAAAAATATTATCTACGTTAACAATATTCCCTGTTAATATCTTCTTACTCAAATTCAATTATTATAATGTATAATTCTTGTTAATAATAATAAGATGGAATTCTAGATCTACATATTAATTGCTAATTTATGAGTAAGTTATAATTTTTAGAGGTTTATCATAAATAAAGTCTAAACTATCTTAAACTGGTTTGAAGTAAAAACATGGTTGATGCAAAGGTTGTATTTTAAGTTATTCCTAAAATTAAAAAAAATATTCGCCCTCGTTAACAAAATCAAATGGAAATCTTTCTTCCTCATCAATTTCCGTAATTTAAATCAAGCATTCAACTGCTGTTTTTTAGACATCATAAATCAATATAAAGAAAGCTTAGCTAGAATTTCTTGCTTTAATCATTAAAATTGACTTCTCTATTCGATAGTAAAATGGGAACTCGATAGAATAATTATATGTGGGTAGAGTGTAAAGTTAGAAAACTTCATCCAAATTAACTTGATATAATTTAACATACTATTTATTTTTATAACAAGTGAACAGCAGAAGATGATCTGTTAGTATATTTCTTACTTCAATTACCTGCTCTTTTAAAGTTAATTTTTGAACGTAAAAAGACATCCTATGTTTCAAACTTATAGAATGACTATCTATATAAACATCTTCTTTTATAAATTAAAGAGAACTTTTACAATCAAAAATATACTTTAACATTTCAAAGTTGATATCATTTGATTACAATCTTATTGCAACCTTATTACAATTTTCAAGTAAATAATATACAAAATAATTTAGTTATCTTGCTGCAATTATCTTCATTTTTGTTTAATGCAGTTTCCTTTGTATGTCACCAAATGTTAATTAATAAATTTCAATTGACTTTTCATAAACTATTGTTATTAATATTTATTATCTATTAATAAAAATGTCTATCAAATTAGCAAGTAAAACAAATTTATGTGTTTTGAAAGACTTTCCATTATCATAAAATATAAATTGAATAATAGTATTTTCTTCAATTATTACATAAACCAATTAATCCTTTTAAAACTTGTGTAGAAAAAGAAATTTATAATTCGTTGGGATTCCATTTAAATTCAAACTCGATGTAATTTCTATTGAGTAATCATCTGCAGCTATTTATCTATTATCCATCTCCATTATCTATGTTATTTATATTGGAAGAGTTCTTTGAAATTTCATATATGATAAGCATATTAATTAATTATCCCTGTAATAATTAATTAAATCAAGATATAATTTTTTTGTTGGAAAGTATTAGATTGGATTATGTCGATCAAATAATTTTAGATTAAGGATGAAACTAGGAAATTATGTTTACAAAGTTTAAATTACTAACAATTTATCAGAATTTTTATAAGATACAACAGATTTAGGCATGATCAATTTAATTAATCTTAACTATTTATTTGATAATGCAATAAAATAGGGTAACTCACCAATTTAAACCAAGTTTTTGGTATTGATGGATATTGTATTTGAATACATTTTTTTGAATTAAACAAATATTTTATCTGTAAAGTGAAACAAATAAAAATATTTTTTAACTAAAAGAACCTTTTAAAATCCAATACTACTGAAATTCAATTATTGTTTATTCAAATACAATTATTAATTGTTCTGATCTATTTCAACCAATATTTTGATGGATGGTTTATTGGTTACGTAAAATGCTTTAATTTAAAACTACTGATTTTTAATGTCAAATGACAAACCCTGTGCTTTGAGAAAAAAAAAAACTATACAATTAGTGTACCCTATAGCTAATTCGAATTGAGAGATAAACTAAATATCTATCAATTATTAAGTAGTTTGAGTAAGTCCTTCCCCCTCTTTTAAGTCATATTGAGTTAGATTATAAAAGGTTAATAGATTTGAGATGGAGATGGAATGGAATATGGTAGTTTAACATAATTTATTAAATATGATTAATGTTTGATGATTATTGAATATGGAATCAGATTAACAATTAGATTGAATTGGAAGTATAATTTGATCTAATATTTATGTTTGATTGATAATTTAAATAAGAGTATTAGTTGAATTGTAATTACATTAAATTATATAGATGTCTTAATCTAATTTATATAATTGATTGCAATCTTAGTGATTTAACAATATTTAACACTCTTTTGATTTCATAATTATTTGATCATCCTAAATGTAATTCTTAATTTAATATAAACATTCAATACTTCCATTCTTTAATAACATAATATCAATATCATCATCACCATTCTTATTCAAACTAAATATCTTCTCATTTCCATTTAAATCATTAAATTACCTCTTTTCTATACTAATCTCCTCTAATATATCAACACTATAATTATTCATATGAATTTTTTCTAGATTATCATCATTAATATTTATTGCATACTATTCATTTTTTACAAAGATCTTCTCGTCAGGAAAAATATTATAGTTCATCTCCTTTAATAAGGTGGTTACACTCTAACATAAAGTTATCTTTATAAGCAAAAATATTTTTAAGAACATATAAAACTTGTTTATTTAATACTGAATAAAAATTAACTTAAGTAGTTATTGTAATTTTTGAGATTTCTATGTTTAGGTTATAACTTAATTTAATATTATAGTTATTTCATTCAAAACAATGTCAATGCATTCAGATATACAATAATAAATCTATTAGATATACAAAATTAGCTTTAAGCAAATAAAATATATAAATTCATAATTCAACTCTTTTATACATTTTTTCTCCTTGAAAACCTTAGAATTAGTAAAATAAGTATAAATATAGTTATAATAATGCAAACTTCTACTTTCCTTACTTCTAGACTAGATATTTTGTTATACTCAAAATTTGAAATTTCTATTGAGATTTTTGATACTTAATTACTAAGTTATATAGATTGAATAGGTTTGCACTCATTTTAACAAGTGAATTTCAGTTCATCAAGAGTGATAAATTAGATTCTAACCATAGATTTAAGTAAATAGTGAGATTAATTAAACCTTTCCATTCCTGTAAAATGGTTATTTTCAAATCTCTAAATACTATCAATATTGTTTTAGGCTTGTTTTCTACGAGTATCATATACATAAACAAACTCAATTTTATTGAAATCCAAAATCAACAGGGTAATATTATTATCAACAAAGAGCGGCCTTTCTAATGAAAAATCCTTCTAATATCTCAATATTGCAGTATTTTCTACTTTCGGCATTGATTAAAAATTGATATCCATTTCATATGAAATCAAAATAGAAAAATACTCAAGAAAAAAAACACCGATTTGAAAATGAATTACTTCTTATTCAATTTGAACTTCAAATATTTTTAAACTCGTTGTTTAATAATATAACATGTTTATTAAACTTTCTGGAATTATTTCATTTAATTTTACTTGATACTATAATCTAATATCACATTTAATTTCTTTTTCATTCTCTTCAGTAATTACAATAAACTTCATAATTATATTTTGTGGTGATTATTTGGAAAGAAAAAGAAATGTAGAATCAATTAAATAAGCTACCTCCAAAAGAGTATTATCTTTAAAAGCTTCTCTTAATTATTCGGCATAAATGTTGTTGTATGTAAACAAATTATTTTAATAAAAGAGCTCAAAAGTTGATAGATTTTATGTTGTTTAGATTTTTTTAATTTTAGAATCTTAATAATAATAAATTAATACTGTATAAGTCTTTGTAATAATTATCTGGGATTGCGGTTTGTTTGATTTCATAATAAACTTCATCTAATTTGATATTAATTGTCATAAAATTAATATTTCCTGTTATTGATTAATAAAAAACTTGATAAAAAGTTTTATCCTTAGCATAACCAACATTGAGGATTACTTCTATGGTATTATCTTATATATAGTATTGATGGTCATCAAAACAATTAATGATAAGTCTTTTTGACTAATCATAACATATTCCTTATTCGTAAAAAGTAAAATCTTTATGCACATCAGTAAATGTTATTGGATATATTATTTAATAATCGTCTAATGGTAAAATTTCAATCTTCTCTATGTTACCATGTATGTTCCTTAAATTGATTGTATTTTTGGAGATTATGGTTTGTTCTTATTTAAGTATCCTTAAATTGTAATCATCACTAATAGAAATGAGTTCAAGTTTAAAGGGTAAAATTTCTTTATTAATTTAAGAAATAATTTAAAATTGAAATTCTTAATTTAATATAAACGTGCCATTTATAACTTTAGGAATATTATTGAAACAACTAATGGCTATGTTTTTGATTCTAAATTTGTCTTAAAAATAATACAGGAACGAATCTGAAGATATGATTTAAAAAAAGGTTTCATATTGATCAATCTATGTAATTCGAATAAGAGATAACAAAGCTGTTTTACTTACATCATAAGTCAATAAATAATTTTTATCTTACTTCTAAGCCCTGATAATAAGGAAGTATTCAAAAATTTAATATGATATTTAATCTTTGATTTGGAAATCATAAGTCGGTAGATTATATAAGAAAATTGCCTCCGTCTTGCTTATGTGAAATAAATTCAATTAGTATTCATCTTCCACCTACTTTACTAAAATCAAAAATTGTCTGAGTACAATTGTCATGATATTTTTCTAACCTTCCAAATTAACCAGCTTTCTCCTAAAGCCCTTAATTGGGAAACATAGCATTTTATCTTAAGTGATAAATATTTCATTAAATATAAACTAAAGACTGAGCTTACAATCAAACGGATACTTATCTTAAAAAATGGCCTATATATCTCTAACTCTGATATTTGCATCGGCCTTTGTACAATCTTCGAATAAGATATTTATTTATTCATAATTTTAATAATAATTTAAAATCTTTTTATCAAAGTGTTGTGTAGATTAAATAACTTATAAGTTTTAAAATTCTATGAATTCAATTTTATAATAGTAAATGATAACCAGTTAAAAAGAATGGGGAAATGATAAAATATCTCTGTAATTCTTTTAAATCAATATTTTATTAAAATGTTTTAGTTTATTCTTCTCACAAGTATATATTGATAAAATTTGATCTTGTTACGTTATTATAATATCAATATTCTAATATTTATTTTCAAAAACAAAAGCTTTCCCTTTAGAGATTAATTGCACCATGCAGAAATTTATATTATCATTCTATTCAATGATGTTAAAATTTGATTGTTCTTAACTAACGAGTATTTCAAAAGCATCTGTTTTTTGTAATATGTTGTGATGAATGCAAACTGTACTGTTGATTTTTGGAATAAAATATGTAGCTTTCGAAGTTAGAAGTAAAAATTTTAGATTTTATTTAGCCGAGACTTCAATCGTACTATAAAATAAATCTGATGGAGGAAAAACATAATCTGTATTTATTCTTATTTTCTTTAAAAGGTGCTAATCTTGAGATACTGTAAAAAATTGTTAAGGATAATTCACCTTATATATGATCATTAATTTTTCCTTAATTGCAAAAATTACGGGCAACTCTGTCAAAGCTAATACGTATTAAAAAGAATTGGTTATGTGTTATTTTACTTTATTATTAAAAAGTACTACTAATTCATCTTGTTTATGAAAAACCATCAAGTAATTAATCCAGTATGATTAGATATAAAATGAGGTACTTATATTTAGTGTCTTTTTCCTAACTAAAAGTTAATTGCTGTTCTCATTTAGTTCGACATAGTTGCTATGACTTTCACAAGACTAGAACCTTTACACAATTTTATGTGCATTTGTGAAATACTTTTTTTTTGAAATTATCTTCTAAGGTAAAATATAAGTGATAAAAAGATTATGAAAGTTGATATCGATTAAGTCATTTGAACAAAAGTGCATACTAAACAAAGCACTTGGAGTAAAGTCTTATATTGAATTATCATCTTTTAAGTCATATTGAGTAAGATTATAAAAGGTTAATAGATTTGAGATGGAGATGGAATGGAATATGGTAGTTTAACATAATTTATTAAATATGATTAATGTTTGATGATTATTGAATATGGAATCAGATTAACAATTAGATTGAATTGGAAGTATAATTTGATCTAATATTTATGTTTGATTGATAATTTAAATAAGAGTATTAGTTGAATTGTAATTACATTAAATTATATAGATGTCTTAATCTAATTTATATAATTGATTGCAATCTTAGTGATTTAACAATATTTAACACTCTTTTGATTTCATAATTATTTGATCATCCTAAATGTAATTCTTAATTTAATATAAACATTCAATACTTCCATTCTTTAATAACATAATATCAATATCATCATCACCATTCTTATTCAAACTAAATATCTTCTCATTTCCATTTAAATCATTAAATTACCTCTTTTCTATACTAATCTCCTCTAATATATCAACACTATAATTTTTCATATCGTTAAAATCCTCACCATTTACATATATTGCATATGTTTTATCAAATTAGAATACATTTTCATTTTCTAAATAAAGTACCCCAGCCTAACTATTGTTTATTAAATCATCTTTTATAGCCTATTTCGACAGTATAACTAATTCAGCAAATAACAGGATGATTTTCATTAATTAATTTAGTATTATAATTGATGTTGATAAGTACAATCACTATATATTATGTACACTAATCCTAAGTCTATAAGTAGTTAAATTATTTCAATAGACGTAAAAGTAAGAGCCAATATTACATATTATATTATAAAAAATCAAAAAATATTTGATTTGTTTCGGAAACATATAATGCGAGGGCAGAATTTGAAAGGATAGAGGATGATGGAGAAAGAATAAATGACTTAAAATGTATCAATCTAATAATTCAATATTCTTGACAGCATTAATTATGACTTACTTAGAGGTTTCGATAATTTCCCCACCAACAATCATCTCATCAATAATAGAGTATGCCTTGGATTATGATAATTGTTACTTTGTTAAAGTTGAAGACGATGTCCAATTCGCATACGTTTCCAAAGTATTTGTCAAGGACTTCAACGTAAAGGTGTATTAATTCAAGCATGGTGAGTTCATTGTCTGAGACATCAACACACAAAGCAAAAAACAAGCCAGCATATCTCTTATAAATGATCTTGTAATTCCTGAACTATGGCAATGAATAGGGATGCGTACTTCAAGAAAATTAGTGTGCTTGGTGTCTCTGCAAACAATCAATCGATGGACTTCGTTTTGTAATTTAACTTTTTCAGCATCGTCATAGTAGACATACCACTTGGATAATCTGGTTTTGCCCTGTCTATTCTAAAGTAAAATAAATCTGATCTACAAATAATATTGCACAATAGTACCATTAGATTTATATATAATAATTAAATTTATATATTAATTATTTATAAAAGTCATTTGGTGATCCAAGGATGATTCAATATTTGAGTGATTGAAGGTCTCTTATTGCAATCATGCTAGAGAATCCCCTTCACGAAATTTTGGAAGTCTTTGCTGCTCCAATTGGGAAACTAGAACATCAGATTCATGATCTTCTTTTTTGTATCTTGTTCATTGTGAGACTCAAAGGGAGGTCTGCCTGAATAATGAGATAGAGTCAATACCTACTACCAACTCATAAGCCAACACGCCAATAGTCCACACATCCACCCGATTGTCATGGGATTGGTAATTGATCATCTCTGGACACAAATAATCTAGAGTGCCACATAACGTCTTCCTTCTATTCGAGGGAGTGTGCACACTCCATCCGAAATCAGATATCTTGAAGATCTCATTATTGAAACATAGGATATTTTCTGGCTTCAGATCCCGATGGATCACATTCATCGAATGCATGTATCCAATAGCCTCAGTGATTTACCTAATAATTTTTGATGCCATCTCTTCAGTGAATCTTCTATTTGTCTACTTCTTCATCAATCCATACAGATCTCCCAAGGGAGCCCATTCCAACATCAAATACACTCTTTTTTCCGTCTAAAAAAAACCATAAAACCCAATAATATTTGGATGTTTCAAATGACTTAGAATTTCGACTTCTCTGGTCAAGGAACCTGTTAATTGGCATAGGTTCAATTGTCTTTTGCTGATTACCTTTAAAGCTAAGATGAATTTGCTCTCACGCTCTCTAATTGGATATAAACAAAAGTGTTTACCTCGCCAAATACACATGTCCAAATTTACCATTACCTAAGTATCGACCCATCTCAAACCTACCCAAACTCCATTAAGTAGGATCGAATTCCTTGGTCTAGTCCTTGCTCATGTCTTCCTCCTCACTGTAATTATTTCTTGTCTCTTCTTCAATACACTCCTCCATTGGCTTCCTCTTCTCTAAACAATCAAAACCTCTAGTGTTTTCATAACTATTTGTAATATTTGACAGCACAGAATTAGCATTTTGCCACATAATTTTAACAGCAAAATTATAAATATATATTAATTAAGTATCAAAATCCTCAAGCTGTCTAATACTGGCCCAGCCATTTCACTCGTTTGCCATTCAACCACTCCCCCTCTCTACACAGTCCGCTTTTCGAATAAAATGTGCCATTTCCATGTTCCCTCCCTTCAAACCAATTCCCCTTGTACATAGACCCATCCTGGTAAGTAAAGTCTCCAAAGCCTTGTTTCTTATCCTTGACATACTAAGAGGGATATCAGAAACAGTTACATATCCATCATACTATCTCCCATCAGGCCATGTGAATGTACCATACCCATCCATCTGATTATTCTTCCATTGTCCTTCATATTGTCTACCATCAGCAAATTTAAAGACACCTTTCCCATTAAATTTATTTTCTATGATTTGTCCAACATAACTAAACATATTGATCTAATTAATAACCTTGACCCATCTTAAAAGTGAAATTCTCCAAAACCCGTCTTCATACCATCAACGAACTTTCCTTTGAAATTCGTACCATCCGGATATTGTTCGATGCCTTCACCCTACTGTTTGTCATTCACCCAATCACCCTCATACATATATCCTAAGGTAGTAACTTGTTTGCCTTTCCCATTGGCCATATTCCTTAAAAATTCACCTTCATAATAGTCTCCTGTTCCTAAAATAAGTCTGCCATATCCCCACATCTAATCATCTTTCCAGAAGCCCTCGTAGATGCTCTTATCCTGGAAGATTGCTCTACCTTTACAATGACGCAATCCCAATTTCCATTAACCAACATACACAGTGCCATCTTATAGTTGAAAGGGATCCAGATGAGGCAATGCGAGTTCTTCGTCTGTGTAACTCAGTTATTTTGCATATTCCTTGTAATTAAAATTACCAATTCTAAAGATGAGATTACTTACGATTGTTGAATATTCACTACATTTGCGATCTACCTTAATAGCATTTTAAGGGGAATGATCAATCTAGGATGATTATTGAAAATACAATCTATTCAACAACTTCGACTGGTTTATCAATTACAACAGTTTCTTATGGAGGAGGTTCATTGCTATGCTGACTATCAATGGTGATGATTAGACGATTCTCCTATTCTTCTTTTTTGTGTTTCCACTCTAAGAGATTAATCAAACGAATACTTCGATATGCTCTCTAAATAATAATCGCATTACGAGAGTAATATGTGAGAGTGGAGAATTCAAAAAGACTCCCAGTATGTGGTCCTTAGGTACCACAACAAGTTCCCATTTATATTAATATATATAATTGCTTATCAAAATAATATTGGAATAATGATGATATATTTGTAAAATCCAATGATTTTCAGATGAGAGGAAATAGAGAGTGAATCAAGTACATAGAAATTGGGTATATTTCTATCAAGATCATCTTAATTTCAATAGTTATCATGATATCTACTTTATTTAAATACCACATATTCAATTAATTTTAAAGTTAGATCAAAAAAGGGTTGATTAAGTGTAAATTCTCATCACTACTAATTACTACTAAATTAATATACCAACAAATTAAAAATATAAATAATAAAAATGGTTTATCTCGAATAATTAGGATGTTTAAGATATTCGAATTGGAAATGGTGATCGGAGATTGGATTAATTGGAAAGTATGCAATTTGAATTTTGATTGGTAGTCAAACAAATTAATTCAATAATGTTAGATTGAACTCATTATTGCAAGTGTGGAAAGATGATGATATACCTGAATGTCATCAGAAGTACTATTATAATGCGTTATTGGAACATTAGCAATTGGCTGATGAATTAATGAGAATTGAAATTGATAGCATTACTAATAATAAAAGTATGGTCAATATATTGCATCAACTGACGGTCAGAAGAGAAAGATGTGTTAAAGGAATATCCAGAGCAAGTTAGCGAACTTTTCGGATTTTCTAAAAATCATCTCAAAATATATATATTATCTACACAAACTTACCTTAAATCTCATTGAATTCCATATGAAGTGGAAAAACTCTCTTAATTCTAAGTTGGATTACAATTATATTTGGAAAATCAAGGATCATGATTACTTGCATTAAATAATAGAGGATGACAAAATTATACAAAATCATCATCCCAATATGAGGGATTAAAAATGAGGAGATGATGAACAATTGCACGATCATCTCCTAAAACACAAAGATGAATAAGAAATACATAGATAGGATGATTGATCTTTAGGAAGACTTTGATAAATAGATAACTGAATAGAAACCTCTGAATCTGGGCAAGTAATCTTATTAACATTTAGACATAGACCATGCAGGATCCCCAGGTTTCTCAGGTAAAAATAATATCACCTTGCCAATTATGCAAGAAGGTGATAAAAACTAACGAGGACCTGTAATTCACTTAAGATTCATATCCATTTAAAGATCTGGAAGCAATCTTCGAGTTTTGGTCTACTTGTAATGTTCAAGAATTGAATGACAGTTTTAAATACCTAATGTCTCATATCAAAATCTGTTATTGTATTAGTAGCAGGCAGCCTTAGTAAGAGTCAATCATACAGACTCATAAGTTATTGATGCATTTAACAATTAGTTTTACTTACTGTAAATGAGTATTGAGTCCAAAAACTATGAAATGAATTAAAAGATCTTCTATTTTGCCACTTAAGTTCCTCTCTATTTCCTGTATTTTATTGAATTAGATAAGCCAGGTTTGATTGAATAAATCAAATAGGATTAACTTAGCATAGTAACCCAAGTATTGCAAATACATATAATATTCAACAAGGGATTCGTAACCAAATATTAAGTAGCCTGTGAATGGTTCGGATTGAATAATTTCAGAAAATCGCAGATCAAAAATTTCTTGTACATTGAGTTAGCAATTCTCAATAGAGTAATCTTTAATAATGGAGGAAGATCCAAATAAAAATTAATAAATCTACAAGATGAATTTGCCTATGTATTGAGGACTATTGAATTCGAATGTGGGAATACAATTTGAACGTCCACTGATAATTGAATGATGATTAATCTATTTTTACTTAGAAATAACACACAAGAATTGCAAAATATCAATTTAATCTAAAATATTAGAGAGATGATTATTATAATCCCAAATTCTGGTGTTGAGCAGATGTGCTAAAACACATTTTTTGATATTGTTACTTCCTTTTCGTTTTATGTTAAATAAATCGTTAAATTAAAAATTCAAAAAATGAATGCACCCAAAGCCATTCCTTTCATAAAATACATCAACAATCAATTTCAGGTGGATCCTCAAGCTGAATAGTTTCTGGCTTCCCTGGGTTCTGAAAAATTGGGAGTTGTCTCCATTGTAGGAAAATATAGAACCGGCAAAAGTTTCTTTGTCAATCGAGTTCTCCTGAATCAACAAGCAGGAGGTTTTTCAGTAGGTCCCACGATAAATCCTTGCACAAAGGGATTGTGGATCTGGAGTCAAACAATCACAGCTTAAAATGCTGAATTCCCTGATATGAAGGCCATTATCATTGACACCGAAGGTTTCGGAGGTATGGACGAGAATGTTAATCATGATACAAGAATCTTTCTGTTCAGTCTTCTACTAAGTAGTTACTTTATTTACAATTCTGTTGGCAACATCGATGAGAATGCCTTAAACACTTTGAATTTGATTGTCAATCTTGCTAAGGTAATATGAAAACAGTAACAATTAGGACATTTAATAAAATACCGAGAATACGTTTCCACAATTCTTATGGATTGTTAGGGATTTTTCACTTCAAATGGTGGATCCACAGGGAAACTCCATCAATCCAAAGCAATATCTCGAAAACGCCTTAGAATTGCAGAAGGGATTGTCTGATTCTGTGGAATAGAAGAACCGTATCAGAAGAATGATCAAACACTTCTTTCGAGAGCGGGATTGCATGACAATGGTTAGGCCAGTCGAGAAAGAGTTAGATCTCTAAAATTTGGATTCGCTACATGATAGTGATTTCAGAGGGGAATTCGTTTAGCAATTGAAAGAGGCGAGATCTAAGATTTTCAAACGAGTTAGACCTAAGTCTGTTTAAGGAAGCATGGTGAATGGAATGTAATTACTGTAATTGGCAAAGGCTTATGTCGATTTGATAAATGGAGGTAAGGTACCAAATGTTGAATCTGCATGGGGTTATGTGTGCAAGGCAGAAGGAGAGAGGGCACTCAGAGAATGCATTAACATGGCTGAACAACAAATTGAAAAGCTAAAGACTTAGGTGATTTAGGATTTACCTGCTGTGAAATAGCAATTGATCGATTAGGTTAGGAAATAGTTCAAATTGAAAGCCATAGGATCTGAGGATGATCTGAAATAATTCACAGAGAAGTTATCAGAGCAATTTGAAGAGAAATTCAAAGAACTCAAATAAAGCAATAAAAGAAATCTCAAGGTATTATTGCAACCTTATCTTAGAATCATCAATCAAAAGTGTTATAACCTCATATTGAAAACATTCTTGATAAATTAAAAAATGACGAATTTTCTAACTATTATGAATTATAATCTGAAATGTTTAAGATTAGAGATCAGTTTCAAAAGGAAGTTGGTAGAAATCAATAGGTTTCTTAGTTGTTTGATGAAATGAGCTTACAAATTTATTAATAGGCAGCAGAAAAACTGACCAGAAAGGCTTCTCAATAAACTAATTAGGAGAATAAGTAGTTGCAATACAAAGTTTAGAATTTGGAAAAGGAGTTGAAGGCCTTGTAAGATGAAAAGCATTAGTTAGAACTATAATCTAATAGCAAATTAGAGCAATTATTTAAAGAGAATGAATTATTATCGAAAAGTGAATTACATCTCAAAACATAGTTTCAATAAATCTAATAACAAACATAATAAGTTTAATAATAGAGTCAGCATCAAATACAATAGCATGATAAATAATTGGCATTGATTAGTTAAGAAAATGTGTATCTTTAAAAGGAAATATAAGCATTGAGTGATAAATCATCTCAGTTAGAAAATGAAAACAAGAAACTCAGATAAGAATTGATCACATCAAAAGCAGGCAATGAATAGTTATAATAAAAGTGTCACTCTTTAGATTACGGGAGAGCTCAGGAGATTCAAAAGTTGCAATTGGAATTCGAAAAGAAAATTCAAGAGTTAAATAATGATATTGATTCTAAGAAATAAACAGCTAGGCAATAGAGTGAATGGATGGTAGAAAAGTCTTATTTAGAAAACCAAGTAACATTCTTGAAGAGTTAGTTAGATGAAAACAAAAGATTGCATGATGCTCTTTTAATTGCTTTATAATGTATGTATTACTCTCTAATTTCAAGCTTAAAACAATCCTAGTAACGATTATTAAGAGTCCACTCTTGAACTTTTAGAGACAAACAGAAATCTATCAGCTGCAATGGATAAAATGGAAATGAGATGCAAGTAATTAGAAGAAAAAGTCACCAAACTTAAGAAATTCAAAAGGATCTTCAAAAATAGTTCCAGTATTGTTTGTATACATTGTAATAGACAATATTAAAGTAATGGATTTAGTTAACATTTATCAACTTGTATTGATAATACTCCATGTAATCCTATTGTTCCAACTTAATAATAATAATCATAGTAATAGTTATAATAGTAATCATAATAATAAGCTTAAACTCATTAATAAACACATAATCAATCTCAAACTCATCCTCTACCACCTCCAATTGATTTAAGTTAATTATAAATTTCAATCAATCAAACTATGGTTAGAGAAACTCCTGATAATAAACCATATACTGAGTATATGATAAGAGTTCAATATAACTTAAAGAAATGGACTATTTCCAGGAGATATAAAAACTTCTGTGAATTACATTAAGCAATCATTCAACAATATCCCAATTTGAAAATGCCAGAATCTAGTTGTGCCATCATCAATACAGCTGATATTGGCAGTGTCTTTAATGCTAAACGACCCACAGTCATAGAAGATAGAAGAAGAGCTTTGCAATCATATATAAGAGATTTGGCTAAACTAGATCCTGTTAGAAATTGCACAGCTTATCGCAAATTCTTAGAATTGGACACAATCGATCAAGTTGAATAACCTAGCAGAAGCATGTCATAAAGTAAGACTTATGCTTAAAATTAGTGGGATCACCTAAAAATGAAGGACTTTAGTCGTCTAGAGATTATGGAAGAGATTCTCTGTCAGTTATGCCTAAGCCTTTCTGGAAGTAATCCACTCAATAAATCGCCATTGGAGCCTCTACTTCAAGGGATTAGAAATATGAAGAAGTTCCCATATAAAATAATTATGTCAGATAAAAGGAAAATTAACCTACATCTTCAGCATAAAATTTGAACACAAAAATAGATAGAAAATTATTGCCTCAATCACCTTAGTCATTCCTAAAGGCCTTTTAGAAATAATAAGAAAGTAAACTTATCCATTTAATCCCTAGCCTCCAAAGTGTATAGAATGCATCATTAACATTCCTTATTAGAAATATCTGGAGATATATAATGATCTTATTTTTAATAAATTATTATTAGCATTATTATCAACTTAATAATTTCAAACTTCAATATTGATATAATGTATCCAGAATTTATATACTATCAAATATTAAAGATAAAGAACCTAAGACAAAGTTTATAAGTTCATGATAGTTATTTTTTAATAAAACCTCAAGAATTGGACTCTATATTTATTCATATCATATAGCTGGAAGTTAAATAAAACCATTCTTCCAAAGGGTGTAATATTATTCTAAGATTCAAAGAAAATTGATAAAGTATGCAATATCTGCATATGTTGCAGAATAATTTAATTTATCACTAATGATGTATAAATTTATTAGGGAATTTTAATAATATTATTAATTATTTAAACAAAAAGTGTAATTCTAATTCATTTATAATGTAGAAGTGAGTAAGAAAGTTAGGAGATTGAATTCAACATAGGGGGGGATGATCAGCGTAGGGAGGGACTTAGATTATATGCAAACAAAGGGAGACTAGGTAGGATGATTGAATAGAGTAGAAGAGCATTTGAGATAGCATTATATCTGAATTAACAATAAATTTAATGGTTTGAGTATATGACAATAAAGAGTCCGAGTAACTTAAGGAGTGTTTGATAATTATTTTGGATTCAACATCAAGCACTACTTGATCAAATGAAATTGGATAGCATGATAAAAGGATATAGATAAACAAGGCAAGAGAACAACAAGAAAATAGAAACATGGATAGGAAACAAATTGTTGAGTGGGATCATATATTTTCCAGTTGTCTTAGTAAGTCATGATTGCATTTGTGATAATGATTTGTGAAATTTTTGGTTTCTAGTGTGAAATAAGACGATTGAAGATATAGATGGAATACGAATTGATCTTGTAAATAAATAAGTTGCTTTGTGAATACATAAAGATTCATGTAACTACAATTCAAAGATGATTTATATCATATATTGGTAGGTGATATAATAGTTGCTTGAGTGATTGTTGTGATTAATTAGATATACATCTTATACTTCCATGATTAGTGTAAAAATATCATATAAATTCACATAAAACTTCTCAAAATCTCACCAATTTCCTTGAATTCCATTTGTAACATTTTGAATTCTTGGATGGTTAGATTGATAATTTGTTTTTGCAGATTGCCCTTCTCATCTTGGATATGGAATTCTAATAAAATATACAGCTTTTTCAAATTAGGGTATTTGACATCTCCATTGTATTAATTGACTGTCCATTTCAACTCTTTCAACTTGCCTAGACTCAATACCTTCTTGACTGTCTCTGGATCAAAGCCTTACAACACCTTGACTAAGTATTCCCTATGATCATCCTAAACAAGTGTGTTCTCATTCAACCATTTACTTAAATGTTCTGCAGAGATATTATTCTTTTGCACAAATCTAATCAAGTACACATAACTATTGATGCAGAATTCGGACTCTGAAGTATCCAAAGGTACAGATTCACGCTAAAATATCTGAAGCATTGATTAGAGTGAAAAGGCACTTTAGTAGGAGAGTGTGAATTTGTAAATCTCATCCACCATGTATGCGAAGAGACTCAATGGCACCTTTAAGGAGAGATTGAGTCCCCTGATCGAATCTATGTCATACACATAATTCTGCATTATTATTAATTTTCTACGAATAACAGTGACTTTTTATATTTTTATACATATTCATTCTATTGCATGTTTCAATCCTCCCAATATGTCTAGGTTGATTAATATTGGTGCAACAAATTGTTCATTCAATTTGACCTCTTGTTTCTTGCCAATCTGCACAAACTTTGTGTCTGCCTTGTGAGCCACCATCATCACCCAAATCACCAAAGTAAAATACAACCATGGGAACAAATAGAACACTATGCAGAAGGATTACAAGATGGCCAATTTAAGCAATCTCTCAGCATTACTCTATTTCTTGATCTCTTCCATTGTGATCTCCTGAGCCTCAGCTGGAATAGCACCCAATTCAAATTTTTATGTTCCTCTGTCAAGGAAGTTAATCATTTGATCCAACTTGGTTTCCTCCTATTGAATGTTGAGAGACAAGTCATTGACTGGCTTAAATTATGGTTATGTTGAATTCTTACATATTAAATTTAAACATTTATGAATGCTAAATATAATCCATAAAGATATGCAACAACTTCTCCTAACAGGTATCCAAAATGAATGAATCCGTCGTCAAATACTGAAATACTTAGGTCTATAAAGAAGATTGCCACAAAGAATATTATTGAGTATTCTATATTGATACGATATGCTCTTTACATTTCACACTTATGCATGCACTCCCAGATGAAAGATGGATAATCATTCCCAGGGTTATCATAGGAAATAAGAAGGCCATCGTAAGGAATGGCAAATAAAAGAACCATCCCAAGTACAATACATTCAACAAAGTCGAAAATAGAGTTGTTGCAAACGAATAGCATACCATCCAGCCCAGCCATTACAACTTCATCACTCCTTCCTATTATTATTCAAATTTTATAGATACTTCTTTCTTCAACCCCCTTGCTTTGTATGTGGCTATAAATAAATGTAGACTCAATGTGAAGAAGAGGAAAAGGAAGAAATTACTACAGAATCCCCACTCTTCGACAAAAGCAAAACTCATGGCCAGTGATAATTGGAACATCTGTTACACCAACAAGGCTCTCAGACTCTGAGTAAGAAATTGCTTTCTCTCTTCACTTGAAGCTTCTCCGATGGTTCTTGCTTAAGTGTTATTGTCTATAACAATATTTTATTGAATGACTGGAATTGCCTAGGAGGCTGTGGGTTCTTCAATCTAGTGATTTGATTCTTGTTGTTCATCAAATTAAGGATATGGATTAACTTCTTGCAAATCGTTCATTATTTTTTAGAATATTATTAATAGTTTTTGTATTTGTGAATTATCAATATAGCGATGTTATAAAATCAAAAAAATATAATCTGGATATATAATAAAATATTAGCAGTTAAAAAAGTAAACTATTTGGAGTGACAACTCCATCTAAATTATGAAAGTTAATTGTCATTAATAACTATATTTTATTCATTTTTATACCAATTTATTTTTAAATTATGTAAGTCTAAGAGTCAGAAGTATATAAACGCATCAAACTCCTTGGATCAGGAGCCTATGGAAAAGCATACCTGGCTGAGAGTATAAGAGACAGGCAGTTATGTGTGATTAAATAGATCGATGTGTCTTATATGAAGTAGGATGAAATTGCAGTAAGAGTATCGCTTTGATTATTATAGTAAGCATATAGAGAGGCAAAAATAATGTCGACTTTGAAGCATCCTAATATTATTAATTTCAGGGAAGTTTATAAAACCAAAAAGGGTAAATTGTGTATTGTTATGGATTATGCTAATGATGGCGATTTGGCTCAAAAGATAAAACAAACACAAGGTTCTTTGTCAGAATCTCAAGTACTTGATTGGTTCACTCAATTGAGTTTGGCTGTCAAGTATTGTCATGATCGAAAGATCCTTCACAGAGACATCAAGACATCAAATGTGTTTCTAACAAAAGAAGGAATGGTTAAGTTGGGAGATTTTGGCATTGCCAAGATTTTATCAACAACATCTCCATGTGCAAAATCAGTTATCGGTACTCCATATTACATGGCTCCTGAGATGTTTGAGAATCAACCATATGGATTTAAATAGGATATATGGTGTTTGGGAGTAGTTCTTTATGAAATGTGCAACAAACGACCCCCATTTGAAGGTGACAACATCGCTCAGCTGGCTTTGAAAGTTGTCAGATGTGAAATAACTCCTACTTTGGAGTGTTATTCAACCAAATTAAGAAAGTATGCAATTGCATTCACTTCTAGTACAGTTTAATAGGGAAGCTTCTCTCTGGTAAAGAACATAGACGACCAGCTATCAATGAGATTTTAAGAGAGTAATTAATCAGAGATAGAATCAAGTCATTTCTGAGTGAGACACTCTAGAAAGAATAGCAGGTGATCGATCAAACAACAAAAGCCAAAAGATCTGTCCAGTAATTACCTCAATTGAAAAAAAGAATGGCTACTCCAAAACAAAGAGCCAGTCCTAGTGTTCACAAACTACCTGAAATCAAGAGAACCATAGACACTCCCGATTTTAGTAGGAGAGTGCAATTGAAACATAATCAATCATTTCTTCCTATCTAATCTCCTAAAAAGTAATCTCCAAAAAGAAAAAATCAATTTTCAGAAGGTCCTGAAACACCCAATAAAATAATCAAATCCCCTTCCCTAAACATTCGCATTTAGAGTGGCAAATAGCTCACAGACAAACACATTTAATTAAAGAAACAAATCAAGTCATTTGATCGATAATAGAGTGGTAGACAAATAGTGAACAATCATTAGAGCAATTTATTTTTTAGTCCTAAAAGAAAGCTCTAAGAAGAAGAAGAGAAAGTATTGGATCCTATTGAAGAGGCTGACAGTACTCCTTTGACACTGACCAAATCCAATATTGATTTTTAGGATTTCAATAATTCCATTGAAGACAGAAGGAAGAAAAACAAAATTATCTACAAAGACCCTTTTAAAAAAGATGATGAAATGAGTCAAATGATTTCACAATTACAAGAAATAGTTGAAGATGATTTTGACACTTCACCAATTAATGAATAGATTAGAGTATGATATCATTAATTAATAAATTAGAATCTAAAAGCAAGATTGATTTAAAAATTAGGTAGACATTTTGATGAAGTCCTTAAGGCGTGCTTATAGGCTTTTAAAAAGAATGGTGATCTTGGACAAAGTGAAATGGTCAACATTATATAATCAAGATTCTCTGGTGTCTCTATAAAGAAGGTTTCTGGTATAGCAACACTCATTCTCACCCTTATTATTCAAACTCAAGGAGAAACCATCAATACTGAATTTTGACTATTTATAATTATATCATGTTTTATTATCTATCAGTAACATAAAATAAATATGAGATGAATTCTATTCCTTTCCTATGCTTAGTATTGAACTAAACAGTATTAAACTGAGGAGCATCATGCAGAAATAAACATATCTTGAATAATATAAGTAAGATTTCTAACCAATAGACCATATGTGAACACAATTTAGATAATTTTTTTCTATGAATATATAGATATGTTTTGTTTTGTTTTTCTTTATTTGTTATTTATAAATCATTATAGCGTTGTACTTTTTTTGATAATATTCTTGAATGGACTCAATAGATCCATGTAGGTCAAACACACAGCAAATTCAACGTCATTTTATTGTAATGACTAAATGATTTATAAATAACATTACTTTTGAAGCAATCTAAATGTTCAAAACCAAACTTAGTAATGACAAAGAAAGTACTATAAATATAACCAAAAACAAAGTATTGTCAAATAAAATGCACAAATTTAGAACTAAAAGGTAGAATATGCTTCCTGCTACAAGAGTAGCTATTTTTCGATTCACGACGTAATGTGTAGTGTTTAATTATTAGATACTTTCCTTTTATGGCCCTTCTTCATTCCATATTTAAGATATTTTTCTGATATTTTAAATTTTATCTAAAATAGATTCCTCCTCAGGTAATTCATGAGGCAATTTCAAGAGTGTCGCATTCAGTTGATTAAAATAATAGAGTGAATAAAGAATGATTGCTTAAGCGATTGCAAAAGATCGATCTAATTCAAATCCACTCAATGCTACACAAGCATTCAAACTCACAAATCCAATGACTGTCCACTTTATATAAGCATACCCATAGTGAGTTAGATTGCGTCTCACCACAAAAATCTAAACCAAATTATTAAACATAAATATAAATAAGGAAGTCTCTATCCAAAATGATGTGGAATTAAAATGTTGATTATAAATCTAATAATTACTAACCCCAATCAACAAAAACCCTAATAGAACAGATTAAACCCTAAAAATGTGACTCTAGTGTTACACCTAGTTTACATAAGAGTTTTTACTATCAATCGATTTTGTCGAATAATCGGTAATCCTAATCCAAGCAAAATGAGCAAAATCACAACTATATAGAATGTCCATCTAAATTCCGTTGAATGATGTCCTATATCAACAACTGTTTGACCTATCCATTCCACTGATCCCAGCTGGAAAAACAGTATTAAGTAGGCAAATTAAAGTTAGATTTTTCTGTAGTATTAAACAAGGAACTCCTTTCTAGATTTTAGATTAACTGTTTAGTTTTATCTCACCTGTGTTGTCTCCGTCGTTTCATTAAGTTCGATATATTAGGGTTAAACTTGTGGGTTTTATGGCCCATTGATTATTATTTCTGTTTGATTCGCATCTATCATTATAGTAAAGATAATTATAATAATTTAACACATAGTTCTATTCATTCATTTAATGATTTAAATTTATCATATTTAATCAGTCTCCAATTCCTTTAAATTACAAACCAAACTTAATCACTATTTCTGTCATCTGTCCATTTCAGTAAGAAAGCAGGATTAACAAAAATTAAATGATAGCTTTCCAAAAACTGAGGAAAGTCCTGCATGCTCTTAATTAATATCTTTCAATCTATAAAATAACAAGATTAAATCAATATAGATAAATTACAGCTTAATTTAAGAATAATTAGGAAAATCAAATTGTTATTATATTAAAAATTTCATTAAATGAGAGGATAGATGATGTAATAAGGGAAATTTAGGAAATTTATGCATTCTATATAAAATTTGTATAATTACTAGAAAATTACATATAATAAATTTCTTTTATGGATTATTAGATGATAACATCATTAAAATACGAAAATAATCTGGCAGGAATCATTTAATTCAATAAATTATGATATTTATAGGCTTATCACTCTTGATAATAGCAGCATATGGAGCATAAAATGCTATCGTGAACATTCCTTCAGATGTGTGTCAATGTAGCTAAATTTCTTCTTAATTGGATTGCACTTTGGCGAATAGATGCTAATGGAGTTTCTAATCATCTTCATGTGAATCTATCAATTGCTCAAAAGTTTCAGATCAATATAGCTGCGCATTGAACTCCTAGTGCTATTGGACTGGATTAGCGTGCACAGAATTGAAACACTTTAACTGTGGATCGATCTAATTAAATGCTCAGAATGGTCTCACTTCATGCTAAGAAGCAAATATATTTTGTGCCCCTGACCCTAAAAGTGCTACCACTTGCATTACAAGAAGCTCAACAACTGTTAACTGTGCTTCTTGTACCACAAGTGTTGAATGTGTTAAGAATGGTTTGGCATGCAAGTGGGAATCAGCTACAGGTGGGTCAGGTACTTGCTAACCTATTGGATGTCCAAATTTGAGAACCTAGGAAGATTGCCTCTATTATGCTACAACTACCGCATATAAGAGTTTATAATTATGTACATGGTAAAATGGAAACTGCATACCCGCTACAACAGCCCAAGTTTCCAAATATTCGTACAATACATGCTTCTTGAATACTTTAGGAACATACACATTCAGCTCAAATAATGTGGACGATCAAGGAAATTTCAAAGGCTATTGCATGAGTTGTTTCGACCTCTTATTATCAGGGTTAATTGTATTGGGAGCTTTGATCATTTGATAATTTAATAAACATATAGAATATGATAAATTTATAGAATTCCTCATTCAATAGCTACAGCAAATCCTTATTCCTGCTGTCGCCTCATTGGTCCCAAGGCATTATGCTTATTTTTACGAGCAGCGATCATTCTTTCCCTGAGCTAATTAATTTATTATAAAGGTTATAATTACCTCATTATCTTCTTTTGTTTGGAAGTCATCTTTAGGATGATCACCTAATCTGTACCCAATAAAGTCTATATAGATATAATTAGAAATAAATACCTCCTTCACTTAAGTTGATTGGATTTTTTCTTAAATTTTAGCAAGGATTTTATTATTGTTATTGTTATTATTATTATTAATTCTTACCCTATTAACCTTTTTTCTTATTATTTTAATTTCCTTAGTTACCCTATTTACCTTTACCCTATAGTTATTTCTCTATAACATCAGGATCTATATGCAACCATTAAAATTCGTAGATTACAAATTTAGCTAATTCTAATTAAGTTCCTTCTTAAATTCCCACAAACTTTGAAATTTAATCTTTCAATTCCAAAAGAGTCGGAGTTTTGGATACCTTAAAGACAAATTCTTATGGTTTGATATATACTTTATTTATGGGGTCTCTCTCCTTTATTAATAATAGCATTTCATCCTCTTGTAGATTCTCTGGATTTTCTAATACCTAATACACAATATCATTAGTGGAGAATTAAATTTTCTATAGAGGTAATTCTAATTTTCTAAACACTTATCCAAAGAATCTGTTTTTATTGATGTCTCTGACTCTCAATTGATCAATATTGACATTCAATCCAAAACTAGAAATAATCATTTATTTCAAGTCATTCACAGTGGCATCCTTTCTCATGGTTTCGTGCTTTTAAAAGACGCAATCATCAGGATAGCCAGTAGTTGTTGAATAGAGCTAAAATCTTATCAATTCACAATCAATTTATGCTGTCCTTTCACATAGTATGATTAAATCCCTATCTCTTAGATAACATTAAGAAATTGTTTTTGCCTCATCAGTCAATCCTTCAGAAGGTACTTGTAACCAATCTACCTTATAGAGTCTGTGTTAAGCAGGATCTAAATTAAAAGATTTACAAGATTCAAGTTTGATCTGTTCAATCTTATCTTACCTAGGGTCAACATGTATTTCAAAATTCTACTCTTTATATTAAACCACAATTGAAATCTTTCCAGTTTCAGGAACTTCTCCCTTTTCGATTTGCAATCTCGCTCCCCTAAGATATTATTAAAATTCAAAATTACCCTTCTCTAAAATCTTAGAATTCCTTTAATTATACTGAAAGGTCTGATTTACAGAATAGAATCTTTCCATTGAGGTTTCTTAATCGATGAGCTTCTGTCAATCCAAATTACTCTTTAATAAATTCTATCAATTCCTAGATAGTCTAATTGATATTCACATCTAAATATATAATAAGGATTTTTACAAAATTTTGAAACTCCAACTTTATCATCCTATTCAACCAGAATTGATATAATTTCCTCTCCTAATTATTAGTTTTAATCCTTCTGGTTCTTACTAGCAGTCTAAACCTGATTCTTCTTTTTAACCAAGATTTAAGTCTCCAAAGTTAATTACATTTCTCCTAATTATGTTTCATCAGCCAATTCTGATACTACTTTCTAATTCTGAGTATTTCTTAATTCTTATTCGTTTTCAGGAATTCCAGAGAGAGCGAATACTAATTATTTTAATTCCAACAACGTTGTAGAGGTATACAATAGAAAAGATTAGGGTTGCTTGTTAATGATAAAATTAAGACGGTAAGGCACTTTCTGCTATCCCACCTAAGGGATGTCTTAGTCTTTCTTTACCAATATCCAAGTAGATTCGTGTCCAACTTTCTCTTCTTCTAATGTACTTTCTAAATTCTTCAAATATCTTGGGAAATGCAATAACTTAGTTTAATAATTTTCTTAAAATTCCAATAACCAATATTCATCCTTATTAATTTATTCATACAACTATTTGACTGTTGTTGACAATTTTAATTTGTATGTCCCCTTCTCATACTTCTCATTAAGTAATTTATGATCTTATATATCAACAACTGAGGCATCTGCTACTGAGATAATAATGTGTTGTTTGGCTTCCTCATATGCTTATCTGTCCTACTCAATCTTTTCATTTAATTTGTTCACATAATCAAATAAATATTTAGGTATTTCCTCATTTGATAATTTGGATGGTACTAAATTCCTATCTCTATAAATCAGAATGTAGGCACTCTCTGAACCCTGATATTGTTATTATATCTTATTGACAGGAATGGGAATAACAGAGCTATCATTAAAATCGTACCATCCTTGGGCAACTTTAGGATTGCTAATCTCGAATGGCAATTTCACTTCATCATAGTCAATTTCATCTGCGTTCTGTTTCTTTTATTACTATTAGATCTCTTCCTTTTCTTACCAATATTCTGGAATGTGAGATAGCCAATCTCCTTCATCCAATAGATCTCTAAAGTAAGCAAAATAATGTCCTCCATGAGCATTCCCTCTATGAATTATTACCCCTTATAATTCATAGACTAAATTATCGACTGGATTTTCCAAATATACTCCCATCTCGATCTCCAAAGGAAACTCAAATCTATCATTTAATTTCACTCTTTGCATCTTCTCATAATCAAATGTGTATCTATTCAAAGTCACAGTCAAGATAGGTGGCAATTTTCTGATCTTGTCCCCTTTCAATGCATCTACCTTTTAAAATATTGAATAATAATACCTTAATGCCGCAAAGATCACAAAAATACTAATTGTTACCATCCAACAAAAAAGGATTGATGTAACTGAATAATCCTTCAGATAAATTTTTATTGCCTTCCACTTAAATGTTCAAGTCATACATGATTTCTTCATTTCCATGAGAATTCTTGCAATTCAAACATGTTATATGATGAAATACCACTCCCTTGTAAAATGGTGCAATTATATAAGGAGTGCCATATAAAGATCGATCAAGGGTCTCAAATAGTACTCTTAAATATAAATTTATGTCATTTTTACTTATTTGCATCCGACACATCTTGTTGCCACATTTGCTGACCTTCATTCCAACCAAAACTTGAAGTTAGGGCTTCTGTTGATGTCGCTTTAGATTACAAACTCTGCAATTAAATAAATAGCTTTTAAAATTCCAATAGGAATCTATTTCTGCTCTCATTCTTAGCCAAGTTAGATGAGTCCTCAATTGTTTCTTTGCATAATGGCAGTGACAGAATGACTTTTCTAAACTCAGGACACATATAAAAGGATTGTATTAAGCTGTTCAAGTAGCATGTGGCACCTTAATTTTTTAGACCTGCAAAATGTTTCAGTCTTGGAAGCTCTGGCAGCTCCATATAATCTGCACAATTTCTGGCCATTCTTGTTTGATAATTAGTAATTGTTGGATTCAATAACTCCTCCACTGTTTCAAATGTATCTCCAAACATTTAGATTTTTTATTATTGATTTTCCTATAATATAGTAAAATATTTGTGATCAATTCAGAAATAATATACAATAACTGGAATATATATACAAGCATTTAAAATGCTAACTAAAAATATATATTATATATATATATCATTCAATTCCTATCTTATACTGGTTTACTTAAATTTCTTTTGCTCTTTTTTCTAGTTTCAACATAATCAAGATAAATATCAGATTAGCTAGAAGGATTTCTGATTTGATTGTAAATTCAACATTAAAAAGTGACGAATTTTTAAATTATATTTCTAAACTTAAGCTTGATACATCATTAGTGAGTATTAAATTTGCTGTTTCATTGCATTGACCTTAACACTCTATTTTAAATGGATTTAAAGTCATAAAGTAGACTCCACCACTATTCGCACTATAAATAACATAATGAGATTCGTTAAATTTCTCTATCTTTTTATACTTAAATGATTCTATTCTCTAAATACTATCCAAGTAATCTTTATACTTCATATCCCCTTTGATATCATACACATGAATATATTCTTAGGAGTCCTTTTAGAGTGTCAAAACTAAGAAATTATTATCTGCGTAAAGTAAATCCAAAAATAGAGTGTTGAATTCATATCTTAGAAATCGATATGATTCAATTACTAGATTATCATAACTAACTTGATTGAAGGAAACTTCATATAATAAAGTAAAGTAATGCTTATAAATCAAAGCAATCTTAATGAAAAATAAGTCTTCCCTTTTTTCTAAATTAATGATCTATAGCTACTTTAATTCCTTATGAAAATGATGTGAGTATATTTTTTCGATTTTTTTTTAAATTTTAATATCATGATACTATATAATATCCCACTTCAATTAACATTATGAACCTAATTAAATATTATTAAATGAAACAACTGATATTTAAATATATGAGTAGTTCCAATGTAAAAATAAATATATATTATTTGATAGCTAAGCTCCATCAAATAGGTAATAAACAGCAAGATTGTTAAACAAACCAAATATTTAGCAGTTGTTGTAATACATGAATACATCTAATTTGTTTGACATAAAAATTACATCAATTTCCTTGATCCCTTTTATCTTCCAAACCTAATCAATTAATTGTGTAGATAGTTCCAATTTGATTAGTGTAAATTCATCTGGCTTATCTTTGTTCACTTATACTATAAATTTTTAGACAAAATTAATTTCATTCGAAAAGATTGAATAGGTGAGAGATTCTTAATTAAAAACAATCTTTTTAATTTAGCTATCAGTAATTTAAAACGTAAAACAATTTTTTATGTTAAGAGATTTTATTTCAATTGTATATTTATCTCTTAAACAAATATTAGATTCAAAATATAAACATGAAAAGTACTCTTATGTAATATTCAGAGGTACATTTATGGTAATATTTTAAGATGATTAAACTTTAAAATTTACAATATTTCCTGTGATCGAATTCCAATCAATAAGATCTTAATTTTTTATAATTCTCATCTTCTAATTCAATAAACTAAGCGAGTAATCTCTATATAAACTAAAAATCATCACGTCTAGGAAGGTAGTCAAATTATTGATAAGTGTGTTTAAAACCAACGAGACTTATTTAACCTATATGATGCTACCTTATTGAGTAAAAGTGTAATTCATACAAATCTAATGTAAAATACTAAATTAGAATTTTCTATCTCTTAAAAATGCTATTTTTTTGCTGCCTATATCATAGTATGAAAAAAATTAGGGCGACGAATCAATTTCAGTAACATATATTAGAGAATTAATGGCTTAATTTTTTAAATAATATACTAGCAAAAACGTTTTACCTTAATTTTTGGCATTTAGCATCAAATAACCGCTTTGGAATTTATAAGTGGCAGAAAGTTCAAATATAAAATTGTAGGCAGGAACATTGTACATAAAAGTGAAGTCATTTTTAAAATAGCGAAAAAATTTGAGTATCAATCTATTTCCTACTTCTACAATTACTAGATATAGACTCTACTCTACATCTTCCAAAATCTTCACCACTTTCCCTTCCTACACATACTTCTCTATCCAAGTAGATCTATAGATAATTTCATTTTCAAAACTAAACAAATTAATTAATTATGTTTAAGTACAATTATAGGATTAATATTTTTATTCTCTTATTATAAGGTTATTTTCAAAAATCCAGAGTAGGTTTGATTTGCTACAATCATCATACAAAATAACAATTTCGTTGTGATAATTATTCACTTTTATTATTTTCTTTATTTATGGAATCTATTTTTATAAAATTTATGCTGGATTTTCAATCTTATAATATTGAATGCAATCCTCACTAAAGATCAGGATATTTGTTTTTTAAAATATGCTAATATCAATATAATTTGGCAGTATTTTTATTTTATATTTTTATATAACTTTACCAAATTTGCAAAACACTAAATTGACTAAATTATTGGATTAAATTGATATCAAAACGTTTGTTAAATCATTTAATTTCTAAAAATGCAATATTTTTGAGTCTTCATCAAAATTCATGAAGTATGCCTCTGTGTTTTGAGACTTAATTGAATAAGATTTTCCACCTTCTTTAATAGCCTTTATATTTATCGGCAAATTTTTTGATATTTAAGCTTATTCCAAGCAGATTTCTTCAGTTGTGAGTTAAAAAATATTAATATCTTATTTATTAACCATTATTCTAGGCTCACTTTCATTTAGTACTTCTATGTTCAATTACCCTAAGTTGAATTAAAATAGGTTGTAAAGTCTTTAAAAAATCAAATATATTATTTTCTATGAAACATTAAATGAATGGTAATGCGTTGGAGGTTACATTTTAAATAGCCTTAATTGTCCTTAGTAAAGTCCAAAGATATAAGTAGAATTAATTATTGGCACCAATTAAGAAATGGTTATGTCTATTTTCTGTTGTATTTAATCATTTATTATAGCAATTATTTAATCTTTACGATGCAAAACTAAAATTTTGTCTATCCAAAAAGAATTTATATAATGACTAAAATTAACATTTAAATCAAAGTCATCAAATTTCAATTACTATCTATCATTATCTATATACAAAATAAATTGATGTCCTTTGCAAAATAAAAATTCCTTCAATATTGTTGAATTAACCTAATCCAAGAAGTAAGGCTAACTCAAAATTTCCTAGTTGTAATACACAATTTTATCGCTATAAAGAATATTATGTCTCCACTTATTGCAGATATTGATATACTCTATTTAATTGTAAGTAGAGTTTACTTTATCATCATTCTTGTTTGAAATGTCATAAATTTTGAATGAGGTATATTAATATGATACTTAATCGATTTCCATTTTATAGAAATTATCAGAATTACAATTTTAATAATAGATAAATAAGATCGAATCCCCATAGGAGATTTGCAATTTACAAGTAGATTCAATTTCAAAGACCTTTTCATCCAATACTTTACCATCAAAATTAATAATAGAAATGGCTACCTAGTTTGAATTAAGTTAGCAATTACTAATAATAATTTAATTCTTTATTTATAATAGGTTGCTGCATGATTGGTATGGTAAGGTAATGTTACAAAAGTGTGGGATAATGACTAATTATTAATTCAAAAAATAATTTTTAATTAAATATAAGCAATACAAGTTTGAGTTATCCAACACCATTATCATGTTGTCCTATTCACTTGTTATATTTTGAAAGTAGTATAATTAAGTTTAATCCGAAATAAAAGGTAAATGATGTTTCTCCACTTTAACTTCTTGCATTAATTCTATATTAAATTGAGCATCTTTTGAGTCTAATAAATGTTACTCAAATGGAACGTAATATCTAAGTTCTGGAGTGTATTTGTTTTCCCCTGGATAATAGTAAAGAGTCTATACTTCAGATGTAATTTCAAGGGAAATGCTTTACCGGAGTAATATGTTAAAAAAGAATATAAAATTCATAATCAATAATAAATTTTTAATACTTTTAAGGAAGCATATAATAATGGCAAAATGATATTTACAAGTGATTTATATATTTATAAAAGAGGGTGGAATTTGTGCTAATGAGCTATATATATATATATATATATTAATATTGGATATATGTAATTGTTATTATTTATTAACAGGAATATAGTATTTAATAATTTCTAACGAATAGTTATGATTGAGTTTGCCAAATTATCAAAATAGGAGAAAGAGAAATATATCAAATTTTTGGTGGATAACAAGATTGAATTCCAACAATCTGATTAGGGATTCACTGCTAGTTTCAAAGTGTAAAATAAAGAAAATGTGGATCCGAGTAGAAAGTCGATAGAATAGATCAAACGAGCATCATCTTATTTAAGAACCCCAACAAGATCAGTGTCGCCTTTGAGAAGGAAATTTACAAGGGAAGATGCAATAAATTTGATTTAAGAGATATACTCAAAGAAATTCGATGATGCTTCAAAGCAATTAAAATTAAAGAATGTGGTCAATGAAGACTTTGGTGTTTATGTGATGAGATTTGCTCAGAACAAATAAATTGACATAAAAGATTGTATGCAGATTTAGGATGAGAATGTGTTTCTATTTAAGAAATTCTTACAAAAAGAATACGAAGAAGAAGACCTGATGTATTATCTGTTTTTGAGGGCGATAGTGGAAAAGGAAATTGGACAATCAATATATTAATCAAAGAAAAGTCTAGATTTATAAAAATAATACTTAAGTGTTGGTCAAGTTTAAAGTATAATATCTACAGTGTATGAGAACCAAGTAGATGAGGTTTAGGAGTTACTGGATTATTTTATGAATCATTTCGAAAACAATAGAATCAGTGCATTTGATTTCATGGCTTTGGCATTAGAGAAGTACAATAATGATCGTAAACCATAAGATAAGAAGATATTAATTGGTGAGCAAGTTATAAATGAGTTATAGAAATTCTTTTATTAAGAAGTTGAGGAGTGCACTGAGCAATTGTTCGATCAGGTCAAATTGATAGTGAATGACTTGTTGTAAAGCATATTTAGATAGGACAAACGAATTTGGATCAATAGGGTGCAGAATGCGAAACCAGAGGATGTGTTGTATTTGGAAGGGTTGTAGAAGCAATTCAAAAGTTTGTCTGCAAACAAACAGGACATTAAACTATTCAGCAGGAAGGTATTGCAAACACCTTAATTGAGCAGATGTTTTGGAAAATTGCTGGAATGATACTATTATATATATATATATTATTTAAATAATTAATATGCAACAAAGTGATTCATAATAGCCACAAACAACACAAACAATAGATGAACAACCGAAACCGAAGGACACACGATATAAGACGAGTGTAAGGTCTTTGCCTAAATTGTAAGGATGTCACCAAGACAAAGGGAGTAGAGTTTGAGGAGTTCGATTTGAAATAAGAATTAATGCAAGGATTAGCAGCTGCAAATTACGAGAAGCCCTCTCCTATTTAAGAAGAGTCTATTCCATTTGCTTTGGCGGGATCTAATATTATAGCAAGAGCTAAAAATGGCACAGGCAAGACTGGGGCATACATCATTCCAATTCTAGAAATGTTGGAGATGGAAGGTCAGATCCAGAGTCTGATCTTGGTGCCTACAAGAGAATTGGCTCTCCAAGTGTCAAGTCTCGTGAAGGATATTGGTAAGTACATGAAGGTGGAATGCATGGTATCAACAGGAGGCACTGATTTTAAAGAGGATATCTATAGATTGAAACAAGTAGAGAGTTAAATCATTGTAGGTGGTTCATGTATTGGTTGGAACACCTGGAAGGATTCTGGATTTGGCCCAAAGGAAACTAGCTGATTTGTCGAAATTGAAACATTTCGTTTTGGATGAGGCTGATAAACTCCTGTCAGTTGATTTCCAACCACTCATTGTTAAAATACTTCAATTTGCTCCTCCAGAAGTACAAATCATGATGTTTTCTGCAACGTTCCCTGTTGATGTTAAAGGTTTCATTAATGAACATGTCCCTCAGATCCAAGAAATTAATTTGATGGAGGAATTGACATTGAAGGGTGTCACCTAATACTATCTTTATATCGATGAGAAATAGAAAGTCAATTGTTTGAATTTCATTTTCAGCAAACTTGAAATTAATTAAAGCTATCATATTTTGCAATTCAGCAAGAAGAGTAGAATTATTGACTCAAAAAATCACTGAATTTGGGTATTCGTGTTTGTATGCATTTTCATTCATTCTATTAGCTACATTCATGCAAAAATGAATTAGAAGGATAGAAATAAAGTATTCCATAGTTTTAGAAAAGCTGTAGGTAGATGTCTCGTCTCTACAGATCTCTTCACTAGAGGAATTGATATTTAATCTGTCAACGTTGTCATAAATTTCGACTTCCCAAGAACTGCTGAAACCTATTTACATCGTATAGGCAGATCAGGAAGGTAATTGTTCATTCTAAATTTAGATTTGGTCACTTAGGTTTGGCCGTCAACTTTATAACCGAAACAGATAAAGACACTTTGGTTTAAATTGAACAAGAGCTAGACACTGACATTAAACCATTTCCAAAAGAAGTTGATAAGAGTTTATATTGATAATTTAATTACAAAAATTAATTAATTAAACCCATTCTCGTATTAAATAAATAATTTACTTTGTTATTATATTGAATTTCTTAATAATAATGAAGAACTTATATGACTCCTAGAATATTAAACCTCCCATATGTTGTCTAATGATGTTGATTCTATACTTACTATATATTTGCTATAAACATAATTAATAACTAATTTCTAGTAAACATTCAGAATGAATTAATCAAATACTTACTATAATATGATGATGAATGGTAGATTTACTGTCTTAACTTTTCATTTTCTCAAAGACATTAGTCAAAAGAGGATTCTTATGATTTTTAAGAATATTTATTTTCTGAATAGCCAATCTCCTATTTAGAAATAGTGTGACTGTGAAAGTACAATATAGTTGGGACTGTATTATTTTCTTCCAGCAGGGGATTATTCTAGTTACATTTATTGATTTTAATTATCGAATATTAAGAAATATCAATAAATTTCATTCGGTCTTACCTTTCCAATTTTTTGTTTATCATCATTATTTACCTTCTCCCATAGCAAAGAGATCGTCAAATTGAAAAAAAATGGCTTTGCGTACATAAATACCATCAAACAAAAAGGCTATTTTTATCTTTCTGATCTTCGAATTTCGATGATAGAAAATTTAAAAAGTAGCAATCTAATTGTTAGGCTACTTTAATTTAATTTTTCTAATACGTTACGTTTATTCGTTGCTGTAACATCTAATAAGATTTGAGTGCATTCAAAAAAATGGGTGATCTGAATATTTTGAATCATAAAAATGTCATTAAGCATAGTTGTCCCATTTACATAAAATTAAACATATGAGAATATACTATCAATTAAAATAAGAATGGACTCGTTGAACGAAGGATGACAAAATGTCTGTAACTTCAGGGAAGAAATTCATCTCCTATATAGTTTATTCGATGTCCTGGTTAGGATATTGCTCCCCTTCTTTACGACAATTAAGATGTAGATAGTCACTAGAAATAATATAGAATACTCTTCTTACTTTCCTAGTACTTGATCCCACCTGAATCGAAGGTATTTATAATACCTGTTCTTGATGGCATTTTGATTTCTATCATTAAAGTACCTCGAAACAACTGAGAACTTCGGCCCGTGCTCAAGTACGAGGGACAATATTTTTTGATCTTCATTGAAGTTAAACGGAGCAGTGTTATTCAATTCAGAATTTTTATTGCTTCTTCTCTTTCTTTTATAGTGGAAGTCAACTCGCTTCCTTCTCTTTATCTTTTTGGCTTGATGACTGGAAGGCCTAAGATTTAAATCAGCTATCTAAGTTAACGAAGGATTCTCTTGATTTGAGATAATTAATTGAGAAGAATTTTCTTCAAACTAACTCCCGTCATTTTCCAGTTGCAAGAAATCGATGAAACTTTGCTCTGTGGCGCAAACTTACATTAAAATTAATATGAAATTTAGCTTTGTACTCACTAGGGATATATATAAAGAAAATTCATAATATCTTTTGAATTAAGACATATTAATACAGTCTAAGTATTATTTATTTAAGATTAATTAATTGTTCAGTTAGTAAAGGTATTTACAATTACTACATATTACTAGGCCGGTAACAAGTTATATTATTAATTTATTATAATGTATTATATATGAGAATGATATTTACATCCTTTTAATAATTGAGTATTCTTCTAAAAATTGTCATTATTATCAAAAGGAGTTTATTAGCTTTCATAAATGAATTTAATAACTAAATAATTATATTGACTTAATATACGTAATTAATAAACGTCGTAGTGGTCACAATTTATTTGCTAACTTTGTTTTGCTTTAATAATTTTATCCAAGTTAGAGTTCCTCCGTATCCAAATACGAATAACCATATAACTATGATGGTTTTCAGAATTTAAACTTAGTGTAAACTTATCTGGCATTTACTTATATAATTACTTTTTTATTTTCTACCATTTTGTTAAAACAACACTGTGAGATGAAAGCCATCAGTTGGGTGATAGCTATGGTGAAGCTTTAATTGTATCAAACTAAGTAAATAAATTCTATATCTTTTGCTTTTCTTCTTTTTTTTCTTGTCTATTAATGAAGTTACCTTTAAAAGACTGGGTTGTGCATGGATAAGTGAGACTCCTAGATTTAGTAAACTCGAGAGTATTTGATTTTGATGGCATTTGCAATTCAAAACATAGCTTGTTGTAAAATTATGAATTTATATTTAATTAATATTATTTATTTATTAATTCAAGCATCTCCATTTCCCGCAATTGATTAGCAAGCAAAAGGTTTTTCAACAAATTGAGGTCGATAAAGAGTGGTTACCATAGTTCCCATAGACTTTTAGAAAATAAATAGATACATTAGCAAAATCATAAATGTAAATAACGTATATCAATACTTAAAATGGTTTCTTAGTTCCTTGTCTTGAATTGCTGAGATAATTTTGCAATTCGGGTGATCTTTTTAAGAAGTCGTACATTTCTTAGAATAGTAAACAAAGCCAAAATATAGAATTGATATGAAAAAATAACGTTTATTTTTTTGGAGTATTTATATTTATAAATTATAATAAATTTCATAATAAAATGAAAAATGAAAATACAGATAAATCAGTGTTTAGGTTATTTTGGCTGCATTTCATTAAGGAAGTCACTATAAGTAATGTACTATTGTTCATTTCTATCAAATCTTCTCATTAATAGTTCCCTGTTTTTTTCGTCCAAATAGACTCCGTGATTCTCAAGGAAGGTCCTTAATTCCTATTCAACTATAATTTGATTGGAAGTGATCACAGCAAACAAGGATTTGAGATTAAAGTTTGGTCTTTGTGATAACTTCTTTCTGATACATTCGATGGCAACTTCATTCTCAATTTCAGTTTTGATGACATTCTTAACTGCATTCAGTATTTCCTTATCCAACTGTCTGATGTTGATTTTCTAGTAGTTTATTGGTTTGAAAGCACCCAAGAATTCCCTGACATTCCATTTGCCATCTCTGTCGATGTCGTATCTTTTCATCCACAAATATAACTATGATTAGGTTGGGTATATTTCCAATTCCTCTAAGGCTGCTTTGACATCTCCTGGAGCCAACTTGCCAGTCTTATCTTAATCGAAGAATGAGAACAATTCCAGAAAGTCATATTACAGATATCCCAACTCCTCCTTCCTAAATTCATTCTCATATTCTAATTCTGAAATGATCTTCAAGGCCTCTGCCAAATAATCCATATCGTAACACTAAACTTTCTTCTATTGCACAATCTTTTTGTTTCTATCAATGTGTTTGGCCACACTCTGCTTGGCTCTTCTATTTGGAAACTGATTTTGAGTTTCGATCTGCTTGACTGAAGTCACAGCTGAGGCTGATGATTTCTGAGAATACACATTTCCATATTGAGGTTCAAGTGCAATTCTGAAATCCTCAAGGTCGATCTAACTATCTCGATTCTAATCTAGTCTTCTCATTAAGGCACTGCAATCCCGATCGACGAAGTGTTCTAATAGATCCAATTGTATGAATCCTGAGTTGAATTAATCTATGGTTTGGAAGGCTATTCGATAATCAAAATCAGGAGACTGGACGAGGTCTTGTTTGTAAGCCTGAATTTCATCGGCGATTTGAATTTCTTTGTAGAATATTCTGCATACTCCATACTCTATTTCGTAGGAGATATCCTTAGCAAAGGTGGGTTTTTGTGAGACTAGTTTTCTTAACTCGAGATTATTTGCTGGGAGGACTATCTGCAAGAAGTCAGCATAGGTGAGTCGGTTGTCACATTTCTGTGAATACCATTTGACTATTGGATTGACTTGTTCCAGTTGTACTATCAATCCATTCTATTGCAATAATTAGTAGATCTCTGATGAGCCGATGTGTCCAGCATTGGAGATTTTCTTGAAAACTGAGTAGGGTTCGAATTCATCCTATTGACAGAGGATTTGTCTCATAGATTCTGAATGAACTTCGAATTCTTCCAATTTGTTGAAGAGTTTAAGCAATTTCTTTTTGGTTTGAGAATTGATCATTTGAAAATAATATTCGTTAAATGTATATATTAAATAATGGGTATTTTAAATACAGAAAACTGCAAATCTAGGTTAATTGAGAATCAATTTATATAAGGAGTAGACGCCAATCCATTGATAATTCTAGTATTAGAGTATTCTCTTTATTCCAAATAATCTCAATATTAAATTTATGTATTAACAAAACTAGGTAATGTATCAGTAACAACCAAATTAATAAATCCAGGCACCATAGCATCGGGATTACAATATTCCTCCCCCAGGTATTACTAGGATCCATTAATATTTAAGGTTACAAAGCACCAAGGTATCCCAGAGAAGAGTTGCCTGAGAATCAAGAGCAGAATTTGGATTTGGGTGGTTCATATTAGAGTTACCTGTATAATTGTGGGGAATGCTGTGGTAATTGTAAGGCAGTTTGTCCATGCAATCCATGTGTTGAATACCCGTATGTTCAAGTTGAGTAGAGCTTTGTCGGAGTGTATTTACGTTTTGGTAAGTACATAAAGACAGGTATACAAATTCGAATAGCATAGTTTAACCGGGATTGATATACATAAATCCATGCACTGACACAATATAGAAGGTGGATTGCAAGGTTTAGATGATCGATTGCCCAAGATAACAAGTGATGACAAAAGATAACATTCTAGTTAGCATCGATGCAACGGTTTACTATCGAATAGTCATACCTAGGAGATCCATCTTCTACATCAACGATTTGCATTAAGCAGTGACTTAATTAACATTGGCTACAATAAAGAGCATTGCAGGATCACACACTTTGTAGGATCTCTTGGAGAAGAGAGCAGAAGTGCAACAATAAATAGAGGGCTTTGTGGATGAGCATGTGTGGGAATGGGGAATAGACATAGAAAACATGTTAATCAAGGATATTCAATTGAATGCTGATCTACAGAATACTTTGTCCATGGCAGCCAAGGAACAGAGAGCTGCTTAAGCCAAGGTGATTTCAGCTTAAGGAGATGTGCAATCAGCCAAATTGATGAGGTAGGCAGCAGAGTTGTTGGATTCGAAGGCAGCTATGCAAATCAGATATTTAGATACTATAACAACCTTGGGATAGTAGGGATCAACCAAAGTGGTGTTGCTTCCTACAGATTCTAAATGATTAATTTTATATATATAATTGGATGACAATATAAATATTATTATATAATTCTGGTTATGAAAAGATAGAGGAGTGGATGAGAATACTTAGTACTAAGGGTGATTGGAGCAGTTTGTTTGATTTAAGAGAGGGTTCAAATAGAGAATTGGGAATTGGGAATTTGGTTATAATTATTTATTTTAAGTAGTGAAAGTAGAAATTAGATTTAATAAAATATGAATTGGATTTATCATTATTATAATTAATGAAAGCATATATCCTAATAGCTATTTTGATAGGCTTAGGAACATCTTAAGTTTAGGTCACATCATAAACCATCTGTGGTTGTACGCAATTAACAAATCAACATGATTGTAACACATTACCAGGTTGTTAATGGGCAAACAACTCATGCTCGTAATAGAGTTGCTTATCGCTAAATCAATCTTCATGTTTAAAGGCTTCGTAATATTGCCAATGGAACTTCACAGCAGACACTCCTTCATGTTCATCATTTCAATCATGTGAAAATTTAGTAGCTACTGATAATTAGCAATGTCTCTAATAAAATGTTCGCTGCCTAGGATTTAATTCTAAATCCAAATAGTGTTTATACTATAATCAAATTACTTCCAAATGCATTGAATTCCCATAAGCTATTTGCTCCTACAACTTTGGTAAAGATGGACCCTGTTATTGGACTGATAATAAATGTCAAGTAATCAATAATTGTTCCATGGCTACTTAACAAGATTAATGCTATTAACTCAATTATTTCAAATCCGAATATCCCTAAGGAATGGTATGCCAATGGAACTCAGCTACTATGTAATGCCAAGCTATTTCAAGTTGTAATCAATTCAATAGTGAAGACACTTGCAAACACTATTTTACAAGTTTGAACTCAATCATATTGAATGTCTGTTATTGGTCTTAAAATACCACTCCCCCCTCATGTGTTCCTGTGACCTACCTTAATAATTTGAATTAATAGAATTGCTTGTCGAATACAGGTCTACTCTTTAGATGGTATGGATAATAAAATAACCCTACTTAAGGTTTCTGTGGTCCCTGCAAACAAGTGTAATTAATAACTAGAACCTAATGTACTTGTACTGACTATGTCCTAGAAACTGATTGCAATTCACAACAGAGTTTATGCTATTGGAATACATAAACTCAAACTTGCACATTTAATACCTGTTCCAAAATATTAACTTAAAATATTTGCATAACAATCTCTGGTTGTTATTGGAACTTTAATGGCTATTCATGCCAAACTTTGAATAATTGCACTGATCTAACATTTAAAGTGAGTGCAATTGGATGTGCAGCTTAAAGTTTATAATGTGCTGGTTATACAGGAGGAATTTGTAACAGTACATCAGCCATAGTTCCTACTTGCAGTAATTAACCGAATCAAGAAACTTGCTCATAATTCATAAGCAATTAGGGTCTATGTGTTTGGAATGTTTCAAATAGTTCATGTTCACTATTATAATACTGTAGTCAGATAACTGATGCTCCAATTTGTGGAAGTTGGTAGAATTAATGCACTTGGAATGCATCAATTTCATAATGCTAATAAATGACCTGTGCAATGATCACAAACCAAAACAATTGTACCTATGTTCTCACACAATTCTAATAAACGCAATATTAATTGTGCAGATGGAACAGTTCAATAGGAACTCAAGGAACTTGCGAAAATGCTTATTCTGCACTATTGTAAACTTCAAAGACTTGTGTTAATGCTACAGGAAACACTTTTAGATGGAGTACCAATAATGCATCTGCAGGGATGTGTGTTTCATGTAGCACCAATCAATTGCCATTTTAAACACCATCTTCGTGCCAATGCTAATAGTTTTAGTCTTAAGACAATTGTAACAACTCAGGATTCTGCACATTCAACAAAGCATCTAATATTTGTTAGCCCTCACCTTGCACTTCATTTGAAAATTAGATTACTTGTGCTTTATTAAGTACTTGCTATTGGAATAACAATTACTGTGCACCATTCACTAGTTGTTCTGATTTACCACCAGCTGCCAATCAATTAGAGTGTGTCAGTATGAATGCTTCATGTAATGGAATCAGTAACCAGATCTGTCAATCCTACCCAACCTCCACTTGTTCAGCCATGTACACAGCCGATGGCAGTTGTTATAATAACATAGGTACTGATGGAGTGTGTTTCTTGAGCACTACTGGTTAAACTACCTAGTGCTTTGGATTCTCTTAATGTGCTCTTGCTTAGAATGCGACTCTGTGTTTAAGAAATCAATTCTCTTGTTAATGGAACACTATAAATAATCAGTGTTTATAAATTACTTGTGCATCATTCCTAACAGAGTTAAATTGCAAATTCTATCTACCCAGCCCACTCTCATCTGAAATCATCCCATGTTACTGGAATACCAGTAATAATACATGCTTGATAGCTGATGATATTTTAACTACATTAAATTAAAATACATGCTCATTAAATACTTATAATACGTATAGTTGGGTGTCAATTTCGTAAGGATATTGTGTGAAATGTTAGAAGTAAGTCACTCTTCCCAATTAGTGCGATTGCACATTTCTAAGTTAATATGATTGTTTTTAAGCCTTGGAATGTTACTGGAATAATTCCTTTTGCCAACAATTAGAATGTCCATAAATATTATAGAAAACTGTATGTGCATCTCAAATAGGTTGTATGTGGAACAACAATTAGTGCCAAGTATTCAATGGACAATGTAGTAATTTACAAGGCAGCTCTCAATATTAATGTATGGCACAAAATATTTATTGCATTGGTAGCAATGGAACCTAATGCACCAAATCATTAAATAATTGCTAAGAGAATACCTAATAAGCTTCATGTATCTCTACAGCTAAAGGACGGGATGGAGTTTGCTTTTGGAATAATCAATAGATGAAATGCATTGCTTACTAAGCTTGTAACCAACTGTCAGAATCTGAGTGCAGATTCAGCTCAACGTCTTGTTATTGGGATTAGACAATTTGCTAAGCTTTAACATGTGGCACACTCTACTAATAATTTGGATATTGCACTTATGTTATGAGCTTAACATTCATCAACAATTTATAGATTTGCTAATTGATTAATAATCAATGTGCTCCAATACAAGATCCGTTTGCTTTGCCTTCAAACCAATGTTTTAGAAATACCAACAAAACAGCAAGATGGATGCCAAATTAGAATAGAGATGGAGGAATTTGCTATTCTTGTTCTGCAAACATGGTTCCATTATACTCACCTACCATCTGTTAATGTTATTAATACATGACCTAAAATGAATGTTCAGACTCACCACGATCATGTGTTTGGAACAACGGTACATGCAATGTACAAACTTGTGCCAACATTTACACTAATCAAGCATGTGCTCAAACTGTAGGTTGTGGATGGAGAAATGGTGTTTGTGAAAATTTCACTTCATGCAATTCGATATCTGGATTAGGAATTAACCTAGAAAATTGTCTGAGTTATTCAATCTAATGCAAAGGTTACAATGGATAAACATGCACTTAATATCCCACTTATACTTGTACTGCATAATAGAGTCCAAGCACTTGTAATGGCAACTTTGGATCTGATGGTCCTTGCCTATGGAATTTGGCTGGGAAAGCATCATGTTAGGCAATATCAATATGTTCTGATATATTTATTCCCAAAATTTGCAGTTACTACAAAAATCTGTGTGTACTTGTAGATGACTAATGCTAGTAACTTACGTGTGATTATTTCAAAAGTCCAGCATCATGCAAGTATGTGATTTCCTCTTTCTTGACAGGGGAGCTCTAATTATGTCAATGGTCAACAGTGTCACAAAGTTGCATTAATATGATTACATCTTCATTATTGAATTCAATGACTTGTTCAGTCAATACAGGATACACATATAGATGGGTTCAAGGTAGTAATAGTGATGGTTATTGTACTAAATGTTTGTTGAATTCTCTTTATGTTCCTGGACAATGTGCTTGTAATTAATTGATCTACAAGAATGATTGTTTATCAAATCCTACTTGCTCTTATTCAACTGCATAGTATACACCAAGTTGCTATAATAAGCCATGTTCTGAAATTGTTTTACAGGAAATTTGTAGTACCAATCCTAGATGCTCATGGTCAGCAACTTAAGAACTATGTCAACCATTTACAAAATGTTCAGATCTAGTAGGTATCAATTCTGGAGAATGTGCTAGTTATTCTTAATTTTGTGCAGCAACTGCTAATGCAAAGACATCACTTAAAGATAAGTATTTTTGTGCCCAAACAGCAACTCAATGTAGTACTGTTTCAGAAACACCCTCTGCTTCAAAATGTGAAAACACTATTACTTAAAATGGTATTTGTTTATTTAATACTACCACTTAACAATGCACTTTAGCCACTATTTGTTCAGATATTAAATCATAAACTAGATGTCAAGAACTCATTCATTATTGCTACTGGTAATAACCAACAGGACAAGCAACCCAAGGCTCATGTATTACTACTTAATGCAATATCATTAACAATCAATTAGAATGCACTTATGTCTTGACTACCTTATCTACTCCATCACCTTCGAGCGTAATTTAATGTTAATGGTCACCAACTGTAGGATGTCAAACAGCTAAAAATATCTTTACTACTTTAAATTCAACCAATTGCTACACCAATACCTTTATGATGTCACGATGGATATCCACCTCAGCAGACAGTGGTCATTGTACAACCTGTAATCAATATGCTACATCACTATCATTCGATTCCGTTTGCTCATGTGCAGAATTGTCCGAAGCCGAGTGCCAATAGGCTTCCCCTCAATGCTCTTACAATTTTACTTCCTCTAAATGTGCTATATAAGATTGCTCGTCAATTACCTCTAAATATTAATGCGTCGTTAACCAAAATTGTATTTATATTGGATCCACTTGCTATAAATATTCATCAAAACCTAGTTCAACTGCTGCTGGATGCAAGAACATCACCAATCCCAAATCTGCTCTCGATTGCTACACTACCTCAATCAATTGTCCAGTATTAACTCTAAATGCTTCCCATAATTCAAATTCTACTAATAATTGTAGTGCCCCCACCTAATGCAGTTACTTGAATCAAACTGAATGCCAAGAGTATAATTCAGAAGTCTGTGTTTGGAATGAGAACAATAAAAAGTGCAAGACTATTGACAATTGCAACCAGATTACTGATGTAGCTCTTTGTAGCCTATAAACAAACAGGTGTCAATGGAGTGTTGTCCTGAATTCCTGTATCACCCAATCTTGCAACTCCTATACTAGTCAATCTGACTGCACCTATGTATACACCTCCTATTCACCTATCAATATCGCTCTTTGTTACTGGGATTTCAACTATAATGAGTGTAGAGGTGCTCCCTTATCAGATGCAGCGTCCTATAATCAGACTCCCACTTAATGCTTTGTCAACACAGGCCATGTCTATCACAACGTTGAAAACTAGTGTAAACAGTGCTTCTAAACCATTATAAACATTCTTCTAATTACGATCCTCCTCCTATTAATTTGAGAGTATTAATCAATTTCACAATAAAATCATTATTTTGACTTTCTTTTTTCGTTCTACTTTCTTAATCATATGATTCCTCATCTGTGTCATCTCCTCTATCTCCTCTTTGGCGCATCAGTTAAATTAATTGCATTTAAATTTTGTCACAACCGATATAGTCAAATTAAAAAATACATAAAAAATAAGTAATTCCATCTCATAGTAAACTGCATTAAATATGAATAGTCAAAGTAAAAAAACAACATTAACCAAAAACAAACCCAACCAACTTACTAATCCCTCAGCATCCGTTGAAAAAACCTACTTCCATGCACCTGACGAACTTACATTTTCAACCAATGAATGTCACTCACATCAAATCTTACATAAACACAATTCCAAATAGCTCAAAAAATCACATCAAATCAAGAGGAAAACCAGAAATTTCACACTAAGTGAAGATCAAAAAATATTACACCTTGTTCTAACTCTCGGACCCAAATTCAAGTAGATTGCCAAGAAAATCACTGGAAAATCTATCAATGTAATCAAAAATAGATACTACAGGGATCTTAGATATAGATGGGATGATGTCTTGGGAAAGTATACATTTTTATATAAAGTTATAGAGAATATATTCATCTTAATGTCAAGAAGGAAGAATCATACTTCGATACTCTAGTTGCAAATTCATAAATGCACCAAGACCTATCCAACATTTTGATCCCTATGTTATCCTAGATCCAAACAGTGATAAATTAATTTTTGCATTGAGTTTATAAATCATTTGGTGTATTTTGTTTGTCATATTTAAAAATCAAGTTGTACTAGAAAAATGCGTTTAATCGGATGTGATTTAATTTATAAAGCATAAAAATTAAAATGTGTTTAATACTAAAAATTAATTCCCCCCTTGAAGAGACACATTTACTAATTAAATACCTTTCTTTATAAACTAATCAAAGATGAGAATTCGCAATAGTCGTGCCTTTATCAATATTCATACCCAAATCTAATTCTATATATCCAAGCTTGCGAAATTTAATTATTTTAAATTGAATATTCATGTAGAATTGAGTTGAACATGACAATTAAGCGAAATCTACCCTCTTTTTACTACATTGTATTAAAGAACCATCATCTTTGAAGGAGTGTAATTCTCGCATTATTTATCTCAATAATATTACAACTTGGATAGCTATAACTTCTATTGATCTCCTTTTTCAAAATATAAATATCATTCGCCTTTTATTTATTAGTACAAGGATATTTTAAAATTTAATTGGTAAAACAGTTTCAAAAATAATAGTAAATAATATGTCATCTATGACTCCAGAGTGAGGAATGCTTGGCCAATCAACAGTAAATTATCAAACTAAGTGGAACTAAATAAATATTAACTAATTCTTTGATAAAAATAAGGTAACAAGAAAAGAAAAGATAGTTTTCAAATATTTATATTTTTTAAAAACGATTAAATTATATTTTCAATTTATTGCCAACATAAATATCAACTGATTTTCAAATTAACATATGGATAATATGTTATCTTAATTCATTTGATATCATTTCGATGTTTGCATTACCACTTCAATTTTCGAACAGAAAATGATGAATCATAGTTGAAATTAAATTAATATTAAAATGTAACATTAATGACTTAAATATATGAATTGGTTTTCACAGTCTCTTTAAACTAAGGAACCCTTCCCCCTTTTCCTCCACTATAACTAACTTAGAGTCTAGCTCTATTTGGCAAAACTATAAAGTCTTGAGCATTTAAACCTATGGATTACTAAAAAGCCGATACCAGTATATTCTGAAGATTTCTTCTTTTGATCTAAGGTGGCAATGTTCTCTCCATTGATAAGCACTGAGACAGTTTATTTTTCTTTAGAGAAAAATGCGTAGGCAATGTGATAGACCCCAGGGGCAACAATTAAAATAGAGCTTTTTCCTTTTTCCCACACAAAGTTCTCTGGTAAAGTGTTGATAACTTCATATTCCCAAGGGATTAGATGATTTTGTGTTTCACCTGATCTCCACTAAAATCTAGCCACAATGTTTTCTTAGCAAAGTGATTCATAGATTTAATTTTAGCTTTTGAGATAATTAGATAAATCATCTGCTGATACTTTGGTTTATAAATCATTATGTATAGCTTCAAAGGCTTGATTGATTTCAGGAATGTCTAAGTGTTACTAATATAATACTTGCTTTAGTGTCTAGGATGGTAATCATGTCTTATATTCCAGCTTTGAGCATCATGTCCTTTTATATTAAATCCAATGTATATTTGGTCAACTAAATATGTTTGGTTAAATCCTTCTGATAAGCTCTTTCATCTTGATCAATACATAATTTTTAGATAATATTTTTTAATTCTTCAAAGTCTTAGTAAAGGACCCTCTATTTTAAATTAATCTCTAATTGATTTAATTGTTATTCAAATGAAGATATCTTTTTAGTGACAATTTACGAGACTTCTTATTTGATATTCTTAACCCCATCTTGATTGGAACCTGTTTTCTTGATCTCATTAACTCTCCTCTATAGTTATTATTCAATTTAGACTTAGATATGTTATTCGTCTTCATATGATAATTACTTGGCTTTAACTTCGCTTATTTCCTTTATTTATTATAATAATAAAATACTTTATTCATCTATTGAACTTATCTTTATAATTGTTTAAACACTTGATCGGATTTAAATTCGTCTAGATACTCTTGCATTTAGTCTACTTTTTATTAAATATCTTTTTTTTGTAACCTCAGATTATTAACTATTTTTTTGAGATCATCTAATTCTTCTCTCTTGTCATCATCCATTTGTTTAATATTCTCAGACAAGTTGTACAATTCCTCTGTCAATTTCTCAGATAAATGAGTAGATTTCATTATAGTAGTTTGCATCTGTTCACTTGTGAATTATTTAGATTCTAAGATCTCATTCCTCAATCGATCAAGGTCTGAGATGATCTCTTGAGAAAACTTATTAAATCTTTAAGAATAGCCATCCAATTCTCCCTAAAGTGAGTTTATGGATTGCATGTATTTATCGAATTCCTTATTATCAGCTTTCTTGTTTAATTGTTTAGTTACTCCATCAACTTATTGTTTCATTTCAATCATAATAGAATTGTTGTCTTGTAATCTGGATTCCACAACATTTTTTAATTCTTATTATTGTTCTTTAATCACTTCTAATTGATGTGTTTCAGCCTTGTTTTGTAATGAATTGATCAGGATTGAGAAATCTTATCTATCCACTTTGACTTCTAAAATTGAGGCAATCTTGTCAATTTAATCTAAGGATGCCTTCTAATCTAGATTTTAGATGATTGGTTATAGGTCTTCTAGAGATGAGTAATTTTACAAAATCTGATCTAATTCTTATTTGCTGATTTTTTTATTTACTGCTTATTGCACTTAATGTTTGCTAGCCTTGGTTTCTAGTAATTCATTCATTTCTTATAGATTGGCTTTAAGTTCTACATGTTAAGACAATTGTGAAAAATCTTTCATGCTTGGAACTTGTTAGAATTTCTTGGAGATCTGTGTTTGTAGTTCTTCGATTTTGTGTTTCATATTTTACATTTCTCCTTTGAATTCTCCTGCTTATTATTTTTCTAACAATTGCTTCATCTCGTCGACATCAATTTTGCTAAGAAAATCATCTTTCAAACATTATACTTGCTCAACAAATACTGCATGTCTGCTTTCAACACGTAATCCTTCAATAAAACTTGAGAATCTTCGTATGTAATTTTGGTATCAAGATTGGCAGCTATCTCTGCTATGGTTCTTGAGATGTCATTAATATTGGCTTTTAGTGCTAATCCCGAATGAAGTTCGTTTTTAGATGCTCTTGTTGAAAGTTGCTTCTCGATTTCTCGAATACTTTCTCCTTGAGATTTTACAACATCCGTTAAAGCCTTAAATGTCAATCTGATAATATCATTGATATTTTTCCATTCAGATTAAGACTAAGGTTTACTATAATGCATTCTACCTACAGCAGATCTTCTACGATGGCCGTACTATATGGATCATTATCATCTCGGTGATGCATAATTTAATTTTGAATTTCGGTTGATAATTAAATATATATTAAAATTTCATAATGGTTTGTTCTACATATACACTTAACTAAGGTCGGAAAGATCCCTCTTGATTATTTTATATAACAAATATTAAATATTAAGAATAATACAATAATAGTAACTCACTCCTTGATTTGGTCTTCGGCTAATCTAATGGATTGATTGGATTGCATCTGAGATCCGACACTCTCATCCTCGTAGTCATTTTACAGTTCCAACAACATCGCAGATTCCTTTTGCAAGAGGAGACTTGCTATCAACAAAGGCTTCACTTTCTTCTCTATGCCAGATTACTACAGATGGGAAGACAACTCTTGAATTTTCTTTTGTAAAGTGTCTATAATTTGTCTCCACTAATCCAATCGATCAGCATCCAGTAGCACGATCTAATCAAACCTTTATTCTATAACTCCTCTAATACTCGGCCACGATTCCAGCAACTTCGAAAACTTATTACGATGTCAAAATTCATACTTATATCATGATTTCAGTCTTCTACCCCTTGATTTATAAGAACTAATTTTAAGCTTCCTCTGAGAATAGACCAAACTCAACACAAACGACTGCAAACTTTTCAAACGAGAAGTTCTACTCTCCTTTAACTAGTAAGTCCGCATTCGCAAAGAATATTTCAGAAATCTATTCACTACTTAAACGATCAGGCTCAATGTGTCTAAGCAATAGGAACCATTCTTCAAAGTTGCACATCCCATTTCCATCTATAATTAAATATACTCCATTATACCTAAATCGCAGGCTGCAAAGGCATTAATAACATACTCCTTTGCTCTGCTTACAAGGATCTTATATTTGGCAAACAGCTGTATCATAAATTAATCAAAATCGATTAAATGCTATTTATTCGCTTACTTGGGGTCATTCTCCTTAAGCAAGTCTAACTCCCTTCTCAACTCCTCTTTCTCTTCTGCTGTCATTCTTGAATCTGCAAAGATCCCTATATATTAAACTACTCTCAAGTATGGAACCATATATCTAATTTCTTAATCTTGATCAGAGTTCAGAATACCCAATTAGGAGATATTCGTTATATAATCATGGGCTTCTAAGTATCGTTTGAGTTCGTCTAAGTTAAAATTAACATAAGTGTCGAAGAGATTCAGGAATTTCGCAAAATTATTGATTCTCACAATACTTTTATAGTGCTTAACTGAAACAACCAAAATTAAGAATTTTTGTTCAGCAATCTTTTTAATACCAAATTGGGATAGAAAATAAGAATAAACAAATGAGGCCAAATCTTAGTCTTTAATGTTGCTATTCTCCTTTTATTATGTAATTCTATCTGCATATATCACATTGATCTATTTTATTAACAATTTAAGAGGCATAAAATGTTTTATTTTAGGTAATTGTTTTGACTTGATTTTTTCGATAAGCAGGGGTCCTGCATTCTGCTTCTAGAATTCATAGACCACAGTGACTTTCTGTCCCAATTAAGGTCCCTTGAAGATCAATTTAGCCTATGTCATCTTTTTAGCATCTCGCTTTCTGACTGCAATCTTCTATTCAGATTTTAAGTTTTAACTTTCTAAGAACTGTTCTATTTATTTCTGTTCTTTCTTTATTTATTCCTTGCCACATGCCACATTATACATATCAGCTTCTGTAAACAATGATAACTTTCTTTTCAATTCCTCAATTTGCTCATTCAACGATTTGATATGGTTTTGCATTTCCATCAGTTTGTGATCCTTTGATTTGTTCTGCATTTCAGCTCCAGACAACAATTCTATTAGAGTCTTCACTTTCTCTACATCTACTTGCTACACATTGTGTTATTTCTATAATTAAATATCAACCTAAGTGTGAATTATCCTTTTATTCTCATCGAAAACCTCAGAGTCCAACATAAGGTTTTTGTCGGTCAAAGACGGTATGTCAGGATCTTTTTAAGTGAAAAACTTCTTCTCGATCAAGGAATTCAATTATCTGCTTGAGGGTTGATTTTTGAATTTATCTAAATTATAAATTTAACTCATTCTTACCTTCATAAACCTTAACTATTTCCTCGATGTTGTGTTTAATTTTCTACTACTCGAAAACCTAATCGAATTTTTCTTGAGATTGTGTAAATTAATTGAAATCTGACCTTTGCATGGAGATCAATGTTTGACATGCTTTTTCTCTAGTGGCATATTCAAGGAAGTCTAGCCCTGTGATTTAACCAAAACAAGCAACGGTGATGATCTTATCCATACTCATGACCATGTTGTCCATTTCAATAATATTCTTATCATCCATAAGTTCTTCGATAACTTCATCGTGATCTTCTTCTGAAGAGGAGTCTTGTTTCACTTGTTGGGATTGCACAGAGTTTTATAGGGAATCTGATTTTTGGGGGATGATGGAGTTGCGACCTTATTTCAAATAAAAAACTGAGGGAGCATTATAGATACTGTTTTATTTGCTCAGTAGATGTTTTTCTGATTGATTGACTATGATTTCAGTATGTGGAACAGCCACTTAAGAGAATCGATGTTTTTTTTCATTCTGCAATTTTTTTGTCAAGAGTTCTATTTCGCTATTGGCCTACTTTAATTTTTTGGTCAAATAGGCGACAATTTTTTTGAGGTCATTGGATTGCAATCTCATTTTTCCGAATTAATCTTCTAATTCCTTATAATCATCTTTGAGGATATTGTTCTTCTTGTTTTCAGCAGTCAATTGTTCTGTTTGTTTTTTGAGTTCTGCCTTGAGACTGTCAATTTCATGACCGAATATTTTGGATTAAATTGCATATTCATCCAACATCTAAACTTTGCCTTTGGAAATGAATATCTCTGTTTAAAATTTCATATCATTAACGATATTAACCACTTTGGTCCAAATTTCTTCAATCAATAATCCTCTTTCCAAACATTCGAATTTAATTTACTTTATCAATTCCTTAATGGTAACTGATAACAAGTTTAAAGTATCAGATTGATCCACTTGCTTCTACTTGTCAAACCATTCCCTTAATTTGATCGCCTAGACCCTGCCCATGGGAGCATCTGTTTGCAAATTCCGAATTTCTGAATTCAGAGAAGTCTCCAACTTCAAGTACTCATTCATGTCCAAAAGGGATAGTTGAGGCGAACTCATCTGCGATATCTATCTCCTACTGATTTGTGGTTTCTTCCTATCCAATCTCTTTTTCTCATCCAATAAATTATCAGACTTCTTCCTTTCCCCTTTGATCGGATCATAATAATGACTGAGATCCTCCCGAACTCGAGACATAACTGAGACCTGTTCCTTCTTGTCCTTCTCCAACAGTAGATTGGCTTGTTTCTTACTCCTAGTAAACTTGACGAAGTCTTCAAGATCCAGTTGATTGCGAGAAGTGTTTTTATGGGGCAATTGCTTCTTACTGTTCTGGAAGACCGAATTGAAAAGGAAACTATTTTGATGGCTCTTCTGTTCTGCCTTGGCCAATTTCAATTATTCTGCTATATGAAAATTATTTTAGGTGACTGTGGAGTTGTTGCTCCTGGTCGATATCTATTGACTACTGATTTGCTTTAATAAGGAATTCGTATGAGATAGAGTTTAAAATTTCAAACCAGTTTCTGTGAAAGAAGGTAATTATTATTACTTCATTGAATAAATTATCAGTTGTTTTAAGATAATATATCTTGGAATGAGTGAAATACTGAATCTTGTTGGCATCAGATGTCTGAAATGAGCATCACGATCAAAAATCAAAGAGGGAACATTAAAATGAATTTTTCATTTGTATATAATTGTTCGTATATAATAAAAATGATTAACTTAAGTTAAATACTAGAAGGAGACAATGGAGAGATCACGTTTTGTGAGGATGCCAGTCAAGTCGATTTGGAAGATATTCTCCAAGAGGATGACGAGATGAGAGAACAACTCAATCATTTGAATAGCGATTCCCAGACTCTGGAATGCAATAATCAGAACAATGAATCATTCATTTGCGATCAAGAGGAATTCATTTCCCCAATTCAAATTATGACTCTGGGACACCAATCCAAAACCTTTGGCATCTCAACGAATTATCTGATCAATTATTGGGAACCCTAGCTTGCATTGTTTTCCAATAACAAGAATTGCAAAACCATTCAAATTTAGGATGTATCATACATTTCAGTCAAGGGACAAATTATAGCTGTCGGATTTGAGACTGGCCTAATTCACATCTATGAAGGAAGTCAATTAAAATTGTTATATAAAATACAAGAACATCAAACCACAATAATAGGTTTGAATATAGTCGATGTGCAAGCCAATGAAGTAGTGATTGCATCGTCGGATCTGGATGGCAATGTCAAATTGATTAGAGTCGGTCAGAACTTATTCAGAAGTAAAATTGTAACCAATACCATATTGAATAAGTTTGAGTACCCAGTCACCTAACTAATATCATAGCAATTCAAATACTCAGATACCGATAAAACCAGTTTATTATTAACTCTGGCAAACAGCAACATGGTTATAACACTCTCCATCAATCCTGAAGTGAGGGTAGTACATGTTTTTGATAAACAGAAATCAAACAATGACCTCCATTGGGGTAAATGCCATCATGAAGGCAATCAAATATAATTGCTATCCATCCAATGGAACTCATTTATTTAATTGATCACCTTCTTGGAAAATTCCCCATGGTATTTTTCATTCTATTCTGCTGATACTCCTCTAATCGGAGCTAAATTCATCTCCGAAAACCTAATCCTTGCTGCCACCGAAGGGTAATTTCAAGTCCTTTACATACCTTATTTCTCAAAAGGCAAATATTGTTTTAAATCTGACAGCAAGGCTAAGATTTCTAACACCCACTTCCATCAAAACATATATTGTCTAAGAGTAATAAGCAATGTAGTCTACTTCATATCAGAAAATAAGTTGTATTCATTGCACGCATTGAGTTGGTTACAATATCTGAAATCGCTAATACAAAATGATACTCCACAATGGTCAGTGGCATTGAAATTTCTTATCCAAGTCTACAGAGGCAAGGTTAAAGGCATGCCCAATCTGGAATTGGATGAAGATAGAAGTGCAATCCAAACTTTGGCTCCTACTCTAATTACTAGTATTACTAATTCGAAGATGAATAGAGAGTTGATATCAGCAGTCGTGTAGTTTATTCTTCTTTGTTAAATCCCGTAGCATTTAATTATCGTAAGATAAGGATGTGAGAAATAATAGATTTTGGATGACTATTACAGAGTGTTAGAACTACATCTAAAGAAGATCACTTAATTGCCCAAAGAAATATTCTTTGATTTGGCAAACAAATTCTCTCCTGAGTCATTCCAATAATTGGTAATCAATTTGGATTTAAATTCAATTGATATCGGATATACATACGATGTCTGTCTGAGTAAAGAGATTTACACTCCATTATTGTACATTTGTCCAAGAAAAGAGGAAGATTTTCTAACGCCCTTGAATAAAATGTTCGAGAAACATAAATAGGAACTATATGAAAAATGTTTATGGTTTATAGAAATCACATAGAAGTAAATTCTGTTTCCTAACGATCAGATACCATTGGAAATTTGGAAGAAAGCTGTTAGATAATAGATGTTGTGGTTGATGGAAGTGTTAGACGTGTTCTAAAGTGACAAATTGTTCCAAATCCTAACCACTTATCTTAAATAACCTTGTTTTGGTGCATTGCATCATGAATCAGTGTACTCTTATTTCAACATCACTTAAGAGAACTTATTGGCAACCAAGATCTTTGAATAAGTAAGCAGCATCAAATAATAGTATTTACTTTAATATCTATTGTTTATCAGTAAGATAATTGATTAGATCAAAGTCAAAGACTCAGAGAAATTATTATTACAGATCTTTGAAATTAATAAATCATATATTGATAACTATGTAGCCATGCCTGAAGATTTAGATCAGATCTTACAAATGATTTATTATTTGATGCCTCACACCTCATTAATCGAGTAGGCATACGAAAGCAAGTGTGTTGATTATATTGCTTATTACTTCTTATCCCAAAATCAGTTCAACGAAGCCATCAAAATATTCTTTGATTATGAAGAATTCAAACTTCGAGTCTACAAATGGCTTGAATACCAATCCTATGATCCGTTGATGTTGGATCATCTGGATAAGCTACTTGAATTAGATCCTGAGAAGTGTGCTAAAGTCTTTCAAAGTTGGCCTATTGAGACCTTACAAAAACTCATCATTTATCAACCAAAAAAGGAATTGTTGCACGTATTCAAATATCTGTCCATTGATCTTTCGCCATTTCTCCAATTGAAATTGATTGAATTGATTAGTATACATGAACCTGAAAACACCATTCCATGGTTGAAGAACAGATAATACTAATTGGAAGACGTCGAACAAATTTTCCATTAAACCAACAATATCGAAGGATTGGGATACATTATGGAATAAAAAGGACTCTATCAATAGGCTATTGATAACTACCTTTAAGTCTATAAAGAGGAATCTAGGAATTACATTTTGTCATTTAGGAACTAAGATCGAGTATCCTAATTGTTCCAGAACCTTATGAGAGCAACTAAGATTGCTGTCTAATCTGATGATTATCACTAAGATTTGTACTTGTATATAGCACATCAAATCTTCAATCCTTCGATGCATTAAACTCATTGGTGTAAACTCAAGCGATCCTTTGTTTTCAATCAGCAATTTAGTTAGCTCTTTATGAATTTATTCCGTTACTCTCCTACAGAATTAATTAAAATCATAGAGATAAATCATGAGACATTCAACCAAGTTCATTTGAAGAGTAGTTTTATTACAGTTTTTAAGGAATTTGGATATGAAAAACAATTAGTTGAAAAGATATCTAAGATAATTAGAAATGATAACATCAAATTGCTTAAGTTACTGTATTCTTTGATGAACAAGTCAAATCTATATGAAATAATATGTATAGAGTGTTAATAACCATACACTCAAGACTAGGCTATTCTGCTAAAGTGTGGTCACACAATGCATCCATTTTGCCTGGAAAACAAATATTGTCCGATTTGTTAAAATATCTCAACTTAATCATGTACCCTTATGAATATAAATTTATAGTGCTTGAAAGTATTGGAGTAGAAGAATTAAAGAAATCTATCTTAAAGTCTAAAGTAGACAATTAATAGTTGCAATTGTTGAAGAATGTCGATGACATCGATTTTGAAGATAATTTCATTTCATCAACCACTTAAGATGACAAAGAAATGATGGAATTGAGGTTGCTAAATAAAATGGATATATATGACTAGTTAATTGATTCTGGATTGCAATAGGTATTGAAATTTACTACTTTTAGTACAATTCATTTCTGGAATAATATTATTGATTGTTGTCTGACTTTTTGGTATACTTTATATATTTGTGTATATAAATAAAAAATGCAGTTATAACATATAATTTAACAATAATTAAAAAAAGACCAGAATTCTACATCATGTTTTGTGAACACAAAGGAAAATAATCATTTTGTATTGGTTGTCAATAAATAATCTGTGAAAAATGTAATTGTTGTAGTGATCCAAAAAAAATAAATTTACCAGACAATGATTTAAATGCGCTTTGCTCAAGGTGTGATTAAACCTCCGCCTAATTAAGATGTGAATAGTGCAAATTTCAATTCTGTGAAGAATGTTATCAATCTGTTCACAATATAGGAAAATTCTCTAATCATATCAAAATTGCAATTAATTAAGAACTACACTAGTAAATAGTGAAATAATTGTCGATCATTGCAGAATTCGAATAATACTCATAAGATCAAATGGCTTTTGTTTTGAGATATTTTGATTAGATTTAGGAAGTTTTAGATAGGAAAAAAAAATAGTTGATTGATACCATCTCTAATTATCAGGGTTAATAAATGAAAATGCTTAAATAAAGAAGAAATGTAATTGAAGCAGCTGTCAAAATCAATTCAGAACAATCTTTTGAAATCCCAGAGTGTCTCAATTATTAGAAGGAAACATTTAATTTAACCTCCAAAGAATAGTTTATCGAGTTTATTTTAAATATCGATTTTTAAAAAAACCTAGAATCAAGTACAGTTAGTCCACGTAGAATTCACACTCAGTCTAGTGTGAGAAGAAGTGCAAGTTCTCGAAAATTGGAAAGTCAAGAAAAAATTGTTGAAGTTTGTGAAACTTTTGAAAAGCGGAAATTTATTAAATAGTTGTGCTAATCAAATTCTATTTAGTTATAATGGACTCACTCCAAATAAAAGGTTGATTATAATTTAGAAATGGGGATTGGGATGAAAATCAAAGGAGTTGAGTAGTTTAAGTAGGTTTATAAAGGTACGGACCCTTAATTTACAATCAATGGATTATAAACAAAAACAAATTATAAATTCAGAGTGTAAAGTATCTTCGAAAATAGAACAAGTGAATTCAGTGAGATCCTGAATTTGACCACATCTCAACAATAATCCGTTGAAGATAGTCTAATCATTTCTAAGAAAATAATTAATAATGATATCTAGGTGTAATTTGAGAAGCCTGGGTTAGTGTTGGGCACAAATCCATTAAATTTTGGAGTGTGGTCTTGGGAAATCAAATTAATAATCAATGGCATAATTGAAGACTTGACAGCCAGCTTGGTTGTCGGAGTAGCCAATAAGTAGAGAAAGATAGTTGGAACTACGTTGAATTATGGTTATCAACGAGACTCCTTAGTTATTAAAGTCTTGGTTGATATGGACAATAAGTGCATGACTATAACTTCGAAGATGCATCCAAATGGAGAGAGATTCCAAAACATAATAGGTCCTGTATTCCCAGCATTTTAGAATAAGAATACTCACAAAGGATCAGGATGTAAATTATTGATATAATATTAATAATTATGAATAAAAAAGAATTGAGAAAGCTTAATTCCTACGTAGACAAAGAAGTACTCAATCTGACTGGTGGTCTCTATCCGTTTGCTCTTTTCTCATAAACAAAACCTCAAAACCATTAGAAATGGGCTCAAGAGGAGATATTGTTATCGAATTAGTAAATTGAAAAAGTAAAGGCATGGGTGCCTGAATAAGAAAGGGGAAAAGTGTTCACTGGGGAGAAGGTCAATTAAGATCCAGAATACCTTGAGTTTAAAGAAGGAGAAGTAAGTGTTGATGATGATTGGAGTTTTGAAGAGACTTAATATTTATTCAATCAATTGAGGAATTACAATTACAATTTCATTGTGCTTTCTGATCGATATTCATATAAAAATAAAAACAGAGATATTTATGAATTGAAAGACAGATATTATGGCGTTGTTAATGAGGTCTTGCAGAAGAGGAATGAAACATAGCATTTTCTATACAATTATGTTTACGATGAAGAGTATGATCGATTTAGAAATATGGAACTTGAAAAGTATTTAAAAAGAACAAAGTAAATTTGTGATGAAGAAAAGAAGTTGCAAGAAGATTTAAGGAAGGTTGATCAATAAATAAAAAAGCAAGAGAGAGAACATAAAAGTCTATGCAAATCTATTAATCTATAAGAATATGATGTAACTAGTATTTGTCATTTAGGACATTGACGACAAGTCTATCAATTACCTTATAGACATGTCGTCAAGAAATGAAGAAGTTAAAAAGACAACTACTGAGAGAATTGTGTATTTAAGAAATAAATGGATTAATGAGGCATTACCATTACCAACTTCAATCAAGGATAAATTGGATAGGCAACTAAAGGAAGTGCTTTAAAATACTAAATTAGCTTTGAATCAAGAAATCGAAGAGTTGTTCTGCAATCTACGTAAACTCTAATTGGGTGTATTGAGTTAGCAGAGATTACAAAAGAGAAGAGAATAAGATAAAAGATATTTGGAAGATAAAATCAAAAAACTTAAAGCCTAACATGATTCACAATAAGCAAGTGATATGAAAACTAAAAAATGAGATAATTTATATTCTAATAATAATTAATATTGGATTCATTGTTTTACTATTTCAGAAAATTCGTGTTCTTTGGCTAAGTAAATTCAAATTAAACAAAACAGTTACCTCTTTTTTCTAATAATGATCTAAAATATTTTGCAGAGAAGTCGACGATATCTCCTGGCTTGTTTCTAATAACTTCCTTTGCATAATGTTTCAAAATCACTGGCAATTCAGGAGGTACAACAATCTATTCAGCACAATAAATTCTCTATTCTCTCACGTCTGCCATTTTATTATATATTAAAATAATTAATTAAAATTCATAATCTCACTAAGCTAAATAGATGAGTAAATCATAAAGAAATATTTCTCATATGCACATATTAAATACGATTGATATTTATTATTCTGTCTATTCTCATCTTTAATACTCTCAATTATTGACAAATTAACTAGTTAAGTTGGAATACTATTCTAATTATTCATTATAACAAATCTATTTAATTTAAAACCATACTTATTATATGATATCTCATCCTGGTAATTTCTATTAAATACACTCCTAATCTGTTCTTATGATGTAAGTATTATTCAACAGTAATAAATATAATATATATTTAAATAATCAATTATAAATCAAATTGATCAGAGAGAATAGATGAGAATTGTTAAAATAATTATTTTAATTCATGACAATAAAATAAAAATTAGGATCAAAGTTGACATGACATGGGAATAGAATTCTTCAATAATGATATCAGTGCTTAAATCTATGACCTGTTTTTGACCCTTCATACACTTCATCTGCAAAGGTTCATAGTAACATTCCTTCGATCTAGAAGTACATTCATCTGAATCAATAATTTTAATGCATTCTTTTACACATTTCTCAACAATAGAATTATCCTCTTTCAATTGAGCACTCCAATAACAACGGTCTTATGCCTATAAACATTCAACCTTTGTCAGGAAGGAAGAACATAAGATTGAAACACATTTACCATTAGCATAAGAACAGATCTATTATTAATTTTCACATTGGCACTTCTCTACAATTTGTTCACATTATGAACAAATCAATGAATTAGAAAGAATGCATGAATAGCCATTTATTTCATTTCCATGGCATAAACTTTTTGATGATCCATATAATTGACATGGTTGACTTGTACACACTTCAATAGAATCTAATAGAGACATTTTCTGCCAATTGCATCTAAAACCTTATACTGATAATTGATTGCAAATATTCATAGCAGACTCTCCATAATTATTTACCAAAGAGCACGAACTTAGTATTTAGCATATCTTATTTGAATCTAAATAGCAACCACCTACACCATTGCAATCTTTGATACTGTAATCAGAGCAAGTTCTAACTTTACAAATACCAAATTGATATTTGCATTTAGGATTTGAGCAATCAGAGTATGGACAATATAGATCTAGATTATTAGATGAAGCACATTGATTCCCTGCTTAACTGCATTGAATAGAATTGATAACATAGTTAGAACATGGTAACTTTGAATCAATAATATCTTCACATCTACTTGCTGATTGACAATCATTTAAATTATTTAAGTAGCATTATTTATCATCTAAAATGGAATTGCAATCTTCTGATTTTAAATGATAACACTATTTTCTGGTGCATTAATTACCATTGAAATAACAATTTGAGTTTGCTTTGCATTCATTAATTTTATCAAATTTGCAAATTTCTGATTGGAATTCAATACATGTACACATTAACTTTTCTTAACTCCAATTGCATAGAGAATTTGTTTCACAAAACATTTTATTTTTGCCAGAAACATTACAAGTATTAGATTGATAGATAGGAACATTACATTATAGTTTTACAGAATCATATATACAATTTTCATTAATTATCGATGCACAAGCCAAAGCATTTACATTCTTTACAGTGATACAAGATGACTAATAATCATTAAATTTCTAACACTTATTATTCCTAAAGATACATGGTTCTTAAAGGACCATGCTGCATGCATGTAGATTTAAACCAGCTGCGTCACATGTGAGTGACCATACATTAAATTAGCTAATGCATTAATTTAATTTATTATTGTATAAACAAGGGGTGTCAGAAATGCTTTAACAAGCAATTGAGTTAACTTACAATTTAGAATCACAAGTTATTTATATTTTCAAGTCTTCACAATAATTAGTTTCGTTCCAATACACAGGTTTTTAATTATTTTGAAGACATGCCAATTTAGATAGACCTATCATTTAATTATCTTGATCAGTTGTAATACAACTAAATGTATCTGTATCATGAATACAAGCATAATCTGAGAGCATTTAACAAACAAAAGGTGAAACTAATTAATAATCTGAACATTTATTTTTTTTATTGTCTTAAACAAATTTTTAACACTGATTAAGTGATGCTATCCATTAACAAGGTTAATTAGGAATTGATAAACATGTTAGTTTACTTATTCCAACCGATGTGCAATCTATTGTTTATAGATCCTTGACTTAACAGGAATTCTTAGAATATATGCTACTTATACTATGATTAATGCAAACATTTATATTAACATTTGACATAATTGGGTTATCTTAATTCCAATTTAAACATTTATGATTCCAAAAGCAAAGTTAATTGGTACTTGTAATACCTAAACAACCCCAGATGTTGAGTGCATCCGAACATTTCAATTTATCAAAATTGGTCACTCTTTGACATGTTTCAATCCAAACACAGGGTTAATCTTCTTTTCTTGAATGAATACAATCGTGTTTAGTTTCAAATTATTCGCATTAATTAAACAATAATGGTTATGGATAATCCAAGGTTTAAATCTCTAGAAGTTGTGAAACAGAAACATAATCATCAAAATTCTGGGAAAATGATTGGGATGGTAGGCACATCTCTAATTGAAAATTTAAATTACAAGGATCCATTGCATTAGTTAGACAAGCAAATTTATTGAGTCCTTTTGGCAGATTTACACAATAAATCTTTTGGTATATAGATTCAAATGATTCACACTAATTATCAACCCATTAGCATCCAACTTATTGGTTATTCAAACAGACAAATTTATTTAAAAACAATTCACACCTTAATAATATTTATTACTTGCAAGAGTTCAAATTCCAAACACAACCTTTGCTAGATTAAATGCAAGCTTATTAATTATAGAGTTCAGAGCAATCTGTTAGTGTATCAATTATCTTTTTGCATTAATTAAATAATTCATCATATTAACAAAGTTCTTCAGATACAGCTTTACATGGTAGAATTCCATTAAGGTAACTTGCTGATGAACAGGTTGTAATCTCTTAAAATTAACAACGTTTTTGATCGATATCCCACTTACAATGTTACCCTAAATTCTTCACATTCATGCAAGCCTTTTCGTTGAGTAGATCTGAACATTAAGATTAATATAGATTTGCATTTTCACAATATCCTCCGTTGTTGTATTACTTCCATATACAGGGTACATCATTAGTTAATTCTACACAAGCATTCAAATTCAATCCAAAAAGAACGCAAGAATTAATTTTAGTAGTAGCAGGAGAACATTCAGTCCCATCAAGGCGTCTTACACAATAATTAGATGTTTGACCACTGCATAAACTTTTAGATGTATTATTAGTTTAATCAGTCAAAGTGCAATCGAACTGAGTGATTATAATTGTTTCACAGCTTTTGATTTCAGAATTCCATTTACACTGAATATTGGAAAGTGCAACTTCTAGACAAACTCTTTGATTTAAATCTGAACATGAAGATATTTCCTTATTTTCCTATATGAGTACAGTTTTGCACTTTTCATTTATCCATCTACAATGAATTTCTTTAGTGAGTTCACTCAAACAAGCATCTTTAGAAAGATTTTGGCAAGATTACTGATAATCTGTAGATTCTAATAATTTGCAACTTCCTTGGTGGTATTTGTAATAGCCTGTTTGATGGATGCATCCATATTTATTAATTTGATCATTAGTTCCAGATTTTACACATGTGGAAGCTTTAAAATAACAGATGGATTCAATCTAATCACATTATTACTTAGTAGATCCCTGACAAGTTGTACCAAAGTATTCATTCACTAATTTACATTTATTGTCTTGAAAGGAGTACTTACAATCATTATTACCAATGTGCATACATGCAGCATAACTGGATTTATACTATGATAAATCATCACAAGTCAGAATATTATAATTTTATACATTCCTGCATGTTTCCTCAGTACTATCCCAAAAGCATGTCAGATCACCATTTAAATGGGATAAATCTGATAAACAGAGATCTTAAGGTAATTGTTCACAAGTTAATTCAACTATGTTTTATCCTTAAAAACAAAAGCCAAAACCATTTTTTGTGTATCCATATTAACAATCCTAGAAATTTGAACATACACTTCTTGAATAATACCCAGAAAGAGATGGACAGATATCTAAGAGCTAATCAAGACTATCACATTCTTCTATATATTAACATTAGTGTTCACTGTTTTAGACAGTACATGTAGTAACATTATCGATACTCTAACAATCTGTGTATTTCTGATATTATTTAATCTATTAGCATTGAGAATCTTTATAAATGCAATTAGGGTATTAAAGACAAAATAGGTAATTAGTCTTCTCAAAAGAATCACAATCAAAGAGAGTATTTGTTATGGCAAAACATTAACCATCCTTAAATACACATTATTAATCATTAGTATCATTTGATTCACATTCAAAAGTGGTATCATCACACAATACTGAAGAATAAAATTAACACTTATTATTTAGGTATTGACAATATTATGTTGGAATTGAATAGCAACCATACTTATTCAACCCTGGAGTATCACAAGTGTATAAATTGTAATCAGCTTAGTCTATTTCAATACATTCAGTTTCACCAGATATCATGAATATATTATCGTGATTAGAAGAACAGAAATAATCACTAGTAATTGATTCTATGTAATAAAAACTCATAAGCTCGCATTCCATATAATATTCATTCCAAACACATTAAATAAATGGAGACGAGGAACAAGCAAATTCATTAAGATATTTGCAATCCTTTGTAAATACATAATTTTCTGAAATATATTTACAAGTCTTGTCTATAAAAGCACATCTACGTTCTTTTGTCTAACTTATACATAACTTATATGATATTCCTGGCTGCTCACAATCATAATTTAAAGTTGTATCATAAATAGACATGCAACCTTCTGCTGAATCATAAATGCACTCATCGGTTGCTTATGAACATATTTTTGGATTTAATAAATTAATATCTTCTCCATATTTATAATTCAACAAATAACAATACTTCTTATCCAATTTCTGAAATCTGCATCCTTTATTTATTATGATATTATTGATATCTGATGATTTTGTGATATAGCAAAATTAACCAGGAGTTTTCACTTATCCACAAGATTTCTAATTTGCTTATTCACAAGTAATTGTGTTTAGTATTATTTCTGTATCCATGCTGGAATCGATCAATGTTATACACTTTTTAGCAACAAAAGCACACATTTACACAAAATAGCCATCTTAGTCAATCCCTGTCATACCACTACAACGATGAATATTCATTATATCCTCATCTCCACAATCAATCTAATTTTCTATTTTTGAGATACATTTATTATCTTAATATACACAATAATTTTCCATCGTAGATTCCTATTTATTCATATTTTTCAATTTAACACATGTTTAACTACTACCATTTTCAAAAAATGAACAACTAGGAAAATTATCAAAATAATTTTTGCATTAGTTTAGAGATGTACTCCAAATACATAATTGTCCATCAGTTATAATACTTAAACATGTCAATTTATTAACATATTTTTCTTCGCATTTTAGTTTCATTAAATAAATATCTGAGGTTGAATCAAATTCAATACACCTATTTATCTACTCATCAAAGTATGTATAACTATCTGACACTGCCTAACATGCATACCTATTTAAATTGTAATTATATTCTATTAAATCCGTTGAACTTAATTCAATGCATGAATGAGTAACCTCATTATATTTACAAAGTGTTTTATTAATAAAATACATTCTACAAATCTATTCATTTACATTAATTAGAGATGAGCACTTTAGATTATTAATGGTATTTATGGAAACTTCCATACACAATTCATCTTAATAAGTACAAAACTGTCCTTTAATATTGTTATTTAAACATTTCTCTTCTGATAATCCATTCCCTGAACACCCCAAAATATTTACCTCATTTTCAGTTTTTTCAATACAGGAAGTAGTGATTTAATCATAAACACATCGAACAGTAATTGAAGATAACTTACTATATTGACAAAATCGTTCATTTACATCTACCAATTCCAAACAATATTGATTTTTGATTTGGGATTATTCAAATTTTTAACAAATCTACTTCTCCTAATTCCATAGATAATAACCTTTAAAATTGTGGAGACAATCATATTTGTTTATTAAGGCTAAGTTTTTATTCAAATTTAATTAATCGAATAAGCATACTCTTTTTACCTCATCAAACTCAGTTGCTAGCAAAGAGTTATATTTACAGAGATTCAAATTGCAAACCAAACTTATTTATTATTAATAATTTTCATCTAAATTTCTGTCCATAAATATAGTTTGTACCATCAATAGTGGTTAATCGAGTATGTTGATGCATTTCATCATCAGTTCAGACCAATAACACAACTAATCGCTTAATGATATGAGAGTGCAAACATGTAAGTTTTAGACATCTGAACATTTCATTAAAGAAATCGCATTGTCCTGCAATTCATAACATTTATTTTCATTATTATCCCAATCACATTTTGCTCTTAAGAATATGCAACCAGATTTGGTTAAACCGATTTAATTGCATATATTTATCGGTGCACAAATGATTTCCGATTATGTACTCTTAACTCCTAAATAATTGCAATCCTGACTTAGACATTCATTCATATTTGAAATTGAAGTACAAGTATTAACACACATATTAGTACCTAAATCAATATAATGATTATCTAATTTTTGACATTGTTTGATAGTGCAAAATGCATCACTACAATCAATTTCATAATCATTTTAAACTTCCACGCACTAATATTCGTTTTAATCATCTTCTATTTAACAATTATATTCTTTTGGGTTAAAAAATATACATTAATATTTATCTAATGATTTACAATTTATGTTATACTCCTCTATAATTCTTTAGTTTGCTAATTCATTTGTATCAAACTTCACACATTTATTATCTATGAATATATATTTTTAGTTTATTTGAGGATTTTAATTTAAATATTTGCAATACACATGATTTACACCTAAGATTTCACCTTATACACTAAAAATTGAGTAAAAGTCATCGTCATCATATATTTCTAATGCAATACAGCCTTCTCGAAATCTATTTGATATTTACACTTAATATATCAATCAATATTTTACAATTTGTTTAACTAAATTAGAGAGATTTTCCTAATTTATACCAAATAAACTTTCCGTTTTTTGTTAAATAGTTATTCTGCATCTCATTTAGGCTTGGGTCATCGAAATTTATATCGTCAGTGTCAATAATATTCAAATCTCTTTATTATTGTTGAAACGCCTCTAATTGTAAATCAGGAATGTATGAGGTGAGATTCCATAATAAACTACTATGAATCACTAAATAATGTTCTATAAGTGAACAAGCAGACGCGCTATACATCATCTTATCGAAATCATTTTATATTAAACTTGATTATGATGATGTTCCTAGGAAATAACATTTCTGATTTTTCCAAATGCAAATCTATTTTGGATTTTAAACAGATAAACATCCATACTTTGATAAATTATTATAACATGTTTCAGTCAATACATCAGGAATATTTTCACAGAATTTTTTGAATCGACCTATTTCAATCTTATATTATACATTTTGCAAACTAACCTAGGGCATCTCCTAATTACTTTTAACAAGCCAACAAATTCAAAAAAGTACTACATCCTTGCATATAATCATTCGTGTGTTGACAATGATTTCTCACTGAATCCCACATACATTAACCCTCGATGCTATTGATACATGATGAATAGGATAACTATTGATTGCATATATCTAAACAATTCCCTCGTAGAAAGAAATCAGCAATCAATATTTGTTATATTATAAAAATCATAATAATAAAAAAATTATATATGATAATGAGATTTTTATTCATTTTACAAATCCTGTGTGAAATTATTATAATTTATTAAATTATGCAACAACCATACAAATCTTAGAGCCATAATTCCGAAGATATTATTGACATTCTTATCAATTAGTTTTTATAAATTTATGATAATATTATTTTAAAAATAATCTAATTTAATATTGTAAACGATAAAAATTTTGATATATTATTTAACTTTAAGAATTTATCATTATATAAAAATATATTTCAAAATTAGAAAGATTATTAAATGAAACAAATGCTGAAACCATTGAAATATCCTTCAAGCAATACGATCTTTAAATCAATTTTCTATATTTGCAATTAATATTGACTCTAGATAATGCCTAAATTAAATCTAATCTTTTATGTAAATATTAAAATTTTTTTGTAAAGGAAATCATCAAAAGATTTAAATTTTTAATCAAAAATATATAAAATCATTAGTAGAGAATTATAATTTTAAGCACAATATTAAAATATGATTTTAATGTTATTGTTATTATTAGTTATATTCAAAAAGATTTATTTAAACTTTGTCCATACTTTTACTTCAATCCAAATTCTGCCTGGTTGGATTACTTTTGTAATTTCATGATAGTATTTAAATCTAATGGGCGTAAAGGAAAACTTCTCTTTTTGCTTTCTGTATACATTCTCAAAATAAAATAGTATTTTGCATATTCAGCTGGATATACTTGAAGTCTATAATCTAATAACATCAGAAATATTCTTTCCATTTCATTAATATCTTTTGTTCTATATTGGGGAAACACTTTTGCAAAATTGTCATTCTCAAAGGATTCATCATCCCAAATCTTAGATGCAATAATCTAATATTATAATAAAGAGAAATACCAATGATATAAGAACTACTCTTTTCCAGGTTTATGGTTCTAAACTAATATTAGCTAATGTTAATAATCTTTCTATGTAAACCAGACAAAGAATTGTCACTTCCTTTTCCATTTTTGAAGTTATTATAACATTTTTACAATAGTTACTTACAACTTCTGCTGTTGGTATAACTTACTCAGAATTAACATCAAAATAAATTTTTTAGTATTAGAGCTTAATTTCTTTGTCATCCTCTTCCATCTCAATAAAGTCAAATTTAGATTAAAATAAGGATTATTACTCTTAATACTGCATACTTTGAGAGTAGTTGTATATTTTTTAAGAATCCTCAATATGTTGTAAAGATTCTTCAGAGATATTATTGACTTTAACCAATTATTATTACTAATGTTATATATATTTAGGTTTAATGGGACTAAAAGAGTCTGACTCATTCTATTAAACCTAAATAATTTAATTTTCATTATCATTTTCTTCCTCTGAACAAACATCATAATCTTATTAGTAGTCATCATTTTCTTCATTATCAAATTACTCATTATGAAGATAACTTTCCTTCAAAATATCTTATATTTCCTACTTCTTAATCTCAAACTCATTTTCGTCTTTGCTTAAGGTTTTCTCACTTATTTAGGCCAAGGTCTTATTCTACTTATTACTCAAATTGGTTTTATCTAATTTTGATATTTATTATGATTAGAATAATCCTATCTATTGTTATTATTGTTATTCACTATAAAGATGCAATTGAGTTGGTTCTTCAATTGGATTTTAGGAAGTATCTTAGTAATTCATGCCAGTTCCACGAAATCTTATATCCATGGAGAAAGGAATACTGGAATTTTTCATTGTCGAATAGTTAATCCTCTTACTAAATTGTATATGCTTCAATATAGCCCAAGCTAGGCAATTACTCATTTCCTCAATATCCAAATTCACAAGGGTTGAAGTCAATTTACCAGTATCATAGGATAAGTACATGTGTTTAATTTAGGACATTTGTAAATCTGGCAAATTTTCATCCTCTTCAAAATTTCTCTTTCTTCTTTTCTAATTTAATTGCTTCTCCAAATTCTTTATCAACCTAAAATCATAAGTCTAAATTACTTGTTCTCCTTAACTTCTGTAACCAATTTATCATCTTGAAATTTACTAACCAAGATGATATCATCTTTTGCTTTTGGTTTTGTATGAGTTCTGCTGGTATCAGATAATATTGGTCCTGTTGTAGTTTATAAAAAATTATTAGTTTTTGTTAATATTGGTTTACTATATTGATTTTAGAGGGTCTAATTATTAGAATTAATAATTGTAGTTGTGTCTCCTTTGTATTTCTCCATAATTTAGTTTAGTGCTTAATTGAATTCATCTTCATAATCACTCTCATCTTAGAAAAAATCAAAGCCAATGTTTGTAATTTTCATTTGCTTTTATTTGTTGATGGCTTGTATTTATTATTATTATTGTTATTATTGTTAATATTATTGTTATTATTATTATTATTATTGTTATTGTGGTTTTATTCTTTAAGTTTAACTTGTTTTGGGTTTTTATTGTGTTATGATTTTACTATTTTTTTTTGTATAACTAGTGTTTCTAAATTTGGATGAGTTTGAAGGTGTAATAATCTCTTTAATGTAGGCTATCAGATCCAGGAGTTTGACTTTGTGGCCTGGCAATACTTTGATGTCATTGAACAAATATTCAATTTAATTGTCTGTGAGCATCGCAAATTTAATTAAATCATACCCATATCCTCTTGTTATTAGTTATTGAGCATATTATTACAGCTGATACAATTTCAACAATTTGTATAGAGGGATTGATTCCTTATCTTCTTTTTCTTTGTGTGTGAATCCTGAAATGGAGGAATTCATGGAATTCATTGATTCGTTCACTTTAGTTGATTTCTTCTTATTTGAAACAGGCACTTGCGCTTTGGCATGCTGGATTCGCTTTTCATAGAGCTTCTGACTTTATTGCTTCTCCCACTACTTCATTTAATCAATGATTTTGATTTTATAAATTCAAATTATTTCTTATATAGCAAATTAATTTATCTACAATTCTAATAAGCAAAAATTTGATAAATATTGATCAAAAAATACTAAGCCAAACAATTATAGATGATGTATATATATTTAATCAGAATATTATTATAATAAATTAATAAATCAATGGATTAGGAATACGATTTATAACTCTAAGTAACTAGAAGCAAAATCAATTAAAAGAGTGCAGTGCCTAGGTTTGCTTTTTAGAATAATCAGCAAGATTTTGACGAATCTTTGAAACATCTCTCATTATAATAGACGAGAATTACTGCATTCCCAGATGGATTGGGGAAACTAAAAAAATTGATATCTTTAAATTTGAATGACAACTACATTAAACAATTAGATTACAATATTTTGGATGGATTTAAGAATTTGGAAATATTGTTTATCAGAAATAATCTATTATAAGAGTTCTAATTTGGAAAATTCAAGCATTTGCAGCAATTGGACATATCATAAAATCATATTAAGAAAATTTCTGCTGACATAGGCGACTTATTGTAGCTTGATCAATTGTTCATCTCACATAACAGTTTCATGGAGATCCCAAAGAGCATCACCAAACTAAAATGTATTAAAGTGATTAACATAGATACTCTAAATGTGTTCCAACTTGATTGGTTCAAGTATGGAGATCCAGGAGTTCAGGAGTTATTTCAATCCCAAGAGCTGATATATCAGTTGTTTCACACGATTGAATTATGTTGCACAGGCGAAACGATATCAGCAAAACAATTGTTAAGTTCGATTGCATTTAAACAATTTGCCTTAAAGTACCAGGACAAAGACATTTAGATCCAATATAAAATACACTAGACAATATTGGATGAGGATATTGGGATGCTGAGAATACTGCTGTCGGAACCCAAAAAATTCTAGATTGACGAAATTAATCAGGATGATTACTCTCCTTTAGGATTGTCGATTTGGGAAGAGAAATATTTAGCAGCAAGATATTTGTTATATGCAAATGCTGACCCAAATAAAGGAGCGTATGTTTATAATTAATATATAGTTCATGGGCTAAGAGTTGTTTAAATATTGCAGTATCTAAATTATAATATTATTTAGTGTTTGATTTAATCAAGCGAAATGTAGGATTGCATGAATAAGATATTTACGGTAATAATAGTATTCATTACTTATTTTGTGTGTATTAAATGAATGAAGCAGAGGCTCAAAAGATTCTGCAATTGCTATTGAAGAATGGAGTCAATGGCAATCATATCAATCATAATGGCTACACTCCTATTCACTTGGCTGTATAAAAAGGATACATCTAAGTGATTGAATACGTCTATAAACAGAAAGAATACAAGTTCAATTTCAGACAGAAAACCTAAAAGTAAAAGCACAATTGCTTGCATTTGGCAGTCCTTACTAGACAGATTTATATTGTAAAATTCTTCATCTACAAATTTCCTGAGTTCATATTTTAGAAAGATTATCATGATTTGATTCCAATCGATTATTTAAAGAATGACTTAACCATTTACAAATATTTGAAGGGCTTTTAGAAAGTAGAGATTCAACATATCCTAACAAAAAATGAGATATTCTATTAATCACAATTGTCAGATGAATGTGATGAGATTTTTTCGATAAAAGTATAGAGCTTAGCCCAATTAGATAATTTGGGATTGGAGAATAAGATTTAGACAACAAGAATAAATGAAATCACAAGACAAATTCCATTGTCTCCTAATAATCTAAAACGATTAGAAGAGAAAAACACTCTGATGAATCCATAAGACTCTCAGAGAATTTAATGTTAAATATATAAGGGGATCAAGAAGATTGCGTATGAATTTGATAGGCTACAATATAATAATATTGAGAATTTACTAAATTAGGATCAATTCTAAGAATAGGTAGACGATCTAATTCAAATTAAGAAGCTATTATACTAATTAAATAGTATTAAGAATATTATCGACTCGAATGACATCTATAACAAATAGTGGCATTTCTAATTGAAGAGTCTGAAATATCAAATTAATAAGCATGTGTATAGTGAGAGGAATCTAGAGGATTAAAAGAAAGTTTCAAACCAACTCTTGCAAATATTCTTAGAAATTATCAAGAAGGTTGAGCACCTATTCAATAAAAAAGAAAAGATAGACAGTTTATTATCCGATTTTGTGACAACACAGTTCTTATCAATCCATTCTGGATTTGGATTGGGTAAATTGGTAGTGTTTTTGGAACAAAATCTTAAGGAATCCACTTCAGATGCAAATCACTTGGAACTGCTATTTATTAAACTTCAATTATAACACCTATCGGTAAAATATAATATTTTCAATCAAAAATAACTAATGAATATATTTACTATTTGAATTTATATGTAATTTAGTGACATTTTCATATTATATATATTAATAACTACTAAGATGCTCATATTTCTAACTCTCTCTTTCGTTCGCTCCTTATAGTAATATGAAATCCTTATCGGCAACCCTCAAATAATTGAGTATTATTAAACCTCAGGAATCATAATAGAACAAAATCTCACATCATCTGTAGATATGAATTTAACTACTTCCCCTTGTTAGGTTGTGCCATAGTAACTAATCAATCAGAATTTGTTATAGCAATCATTACCTATAATACCTTAATATAAAGCTGAGTAGTTTTCCTAATTTTTTAATGATGGCCAATTTTCAGGATTGATACCTCGTATCATTTCATTTGTAAATGTTGGGAATGATGTAGTCATTTTAACAAATTCAGCAGAACTTATATATCTTCAATTTTTTAATGAAACCTTTGTTGTAGCAGATAAAATTAATCTTAATATTAATTTAACCATTTTGTAGTATCCCGTTTTTATGGAGATAATTTAGAACTAACTTATTATTATCATGTATTCAGATACTATAGGTCTTACTTTAGGCGCAAAGGCTGAGAATATTTTTGAGAAATCCTTTAGAATTTACGAATCTTTCAATACTAATAAAATCATGAGTGTTGCTGTAGTCAATAATATGTTATTTATTGCAATGGGGGTTGGAGGCTTACACATATTTTAATTGAATGGATAAGTGCTAGGTTCAATTGATTTTTAGTATTCAATCAACAATGCAACTGATCTCAAAGTGTTTCATCAATTCGATGTATATTTTATTTATTTACTTGATTATGATTTGGGAGTCGCATCCTTCATATACAATCCCAAATCTACTTTGATTTATAAGAATGAAGAACTAGGCACAATACCATTTTCTGGGGATATTATTGATATTTACAATAATACAATGATGATTGCTCATTTTTAGGATTAATAAACAATTATTTAAGAAATTAAATTGAATTATTCTGATTTTAGTTGGAAATAAGTAAATAAACATGTAATCAATTACATTATCGTTGATATTGAGATTTTAGATCATGTTGCCATAACTTTGGGTCAAAATGGAAACACAGTTATATTTCATTCAATTCCATCAGCATTTCAAATAAAATAGCAAAGATTTATTATGCCTTCCTTGATTAAATTGAATTTCATCAAAACTTAAGGATCATTGTATCTGATTGGTGTTAGTCTACATAACTTTTACTTTTCCAAGTTGGAATTGAAATAGAGTTACTTATATTGTTACTTTGAACATGAATAATAGGTTGAACTCAGCTATTCTCATATTTCTGAATGCACAAAAAAGGAAACTGGCATCTGCACTTATAATCAAGATTATATAATACAATCAATCAAGCCAATAATTACAACAGAGTAAAAGTATTTAGTTTATTTAATTCTATTCTTTGTTGCATCAGCCTTTATTTCAATTGTGGTTGTACTAATCAAGGAATTCAGGAAATATCATAGATTTGTTGATAACCTCGAGATGAATGTCCAAAAATCAAATGAAATTTCTATGGAGACATTTGAAAGCCCAACTAAAAATTTTAAATACAATTAAACTAAAACACACTCATCATAATTTTCTATAATCAGTAATATATCTAGATTGCATTAAGTTTAATGAATTTAATATTTATATTGTAATAAATAATTAATGCTAATTTTTTTATTACTCACAATTGTGCAGAGTTAAGAATATAATATCTCTGCTGATTCTGAAAAAATAATTGACAGATTTGAACAATATGGCGAAATATTTTTCTAGGAGATGGAATACATGGACAAATCATTCTAACCTTGCCATTTCACTAAACAACAGTTAGTGCAAAGTTCAGGCTTAAATATAGATATTGTTGAATCTTTTAATGAAACTTTCTTCGTTCAACATTATGAGGAAGGTCATTTAAGTGGACAAATAGATGAAATCATAGCAGCTGTCACAATTAAAAATGGATCTATAGTTTTAACTCGATAAGGTAAATTATAACATTTACTGATTACCAATACAATCACTTTAGGAAGTTCAATTCAGATAAACATTACAACCACAAAAAAGGTACATTTACAATACTTTAGTAAAAATAGAGTGTTAGTGATAATAGCAGATTAAGAAACTTTAGCTTTCTAACTCTCAAATAACACGGATGTCTTTGAAGATTCACAAAAATTAAAGTTGTATGATAAATTCAACGTGGATTAAATCTCAAGTGTAACTACAGTCAATGACATTATGTTTATTGCAATGGGAAAATTGGGCATTTCGATCTATTAATTTAAAGAGAAGAATTTTTAATCAATTCCTTGGGTCGTGAATGGCTAAACAAGTAGTCAATTGTAAAATGTGGTGGACATCAAAGTGTTCTCATAAAGCCAAGATCAAATCTATACCATCTATGTTTTGGATAAGAATGTTGGGGTCTAACAATACATATATAATTCTGTTACAACCTTGATCTCTTAGAATACTAAATTGGGAACTATCCCATTGGCTGGAGATATCTTTGATGTAAAATAGTCTGTTTTGATCATCATCAGACACCAACCTACATTTTCATCTGTAAATGAGTTAGAATTAGATTTAACAAACAACACATACAGATAAATCAATAAATATAATACTTTTAAGGATGTGCAAGATGTAGACATTCTGAATAAATACGTGATCATCTTAGGCTAGAATGGTCATTAAGTGTAAAGACATTCCTTACCTCAAAAGTTTAGTAATCAATCATCAAATTCAATTATCATTCCCAATCTATAACAATTAGATTACATTGATTATAAAAACAAGACTATTATTTTTGGATTCACAAAGCATAGATTCTTCTACTCCTCCATCAGAGAAGTAAATGTTTATTCAAATACTAGGCTCCAAGTTTAATTGTATGCTAGGCAAATTATACTGAGATGCTTTCGACAACATTTGTTTATAAGCAAAAATCTACGAAATGTCCAGATAATCTCAATATTACGAAGGGGGAGTACTGCTAGATATAAAAAACTTACACAATTAATTTCATCCCTCCCACGAGAGGTGGAGGTTATTATTACATTATATTAATTTATGTGGTTGCATTTATCTTAGGTCTTGGGTTTATGATGTTAATCTGTCAGGTGTGCAGAGAATTCAAGAAATATGAAAATTTTGTCAAATACAATGAGATGGTAGAGAATGACTCAATAGAAATGGAGGGACATAATTTGAGTCCTTCTCAGGATTCTAAAAAATAAATGAAATTTGAGAAAATAGAGAATAAAGGATCTTCAATGACTCCAGTAGTTTATGAGGAGAGGGATGATTGATAATATTTTATGTTATTATCTGATAAATAAATGGATTATATTAATTTGGGGGGATGCGGAGTAATAATTTTAAAATGATTTTTAAATGTATAAGAAATTCTTAAAAGATAATTGAAATTTATAAGAATAATGAAAAAGTAGCAAAGTCCTGAGATGTACTTAATAAAGAATGACCAGTTTTGGCATTGTTAATTTATATCATTAAAACCAATAACAATTCAAATTCGGAATGGATTTTTGAACGGCAACTTAGAATAACAAGAGACCATAGAAATCTCATTAACCAAGTTCCCAACCATGGAAAGAGGTATTGAAGTGATGAGTGATTAAATCTAGTAAAAGTTGCACAAGGGATTTAGAGAAATCAATAGCAATGATATATTGAAGGCAAATGAATAACAATTCTAGGAGAAAATGGTTGCAACTTCAAAAAAGGATTTGATGCAATAGAAGATTTTGAAGAAGGTGAACTTGCCAGAATAAAGGAAACCAGTTGTAGCACTGACAGATGATGCTACTTAGGGGAAACTAGTGGGAGAATGGCCAAAATACAGAGCCAGAACTCATTTTGGTGAGACCTTGGATCTAGGTCCTCCTGGAGACACAAAACCTATTGCTTGTTTATTGGCTGGACAATGGAATGAAAGTATTAATCCAACAAATTATTTATTGTCTGAGAAATTGGATGGGATGCGTATAATTTGGAGTGGATGTGAAATGTTTACTCGGACTGGTAACTCATTAAACTTCCCTACTTCATTTGTTGAAGGATGGCCAACTACTTATTTGGATGGAGAATTATGGCTTGACAGGGGACAATTTTAGAAATTGGTTAGCATAGCCAAAAAGAAATAATCTGATTACAAGGCTTGGAAGGATATCAAATTTATGGTTTTTGATGCCCCTTTGTTGGATGAGCCATTTGTTAATCGATACTCCAAATTGAAGAAGGCTATTGAGAAAATAAAGAATCCTCATTTGGTTTATGTTCCACATGTTGTATGCAGAGGTTACGAACATTTAAAAGAAGAATTGGCACTTGCTCAATAGGCAGGAGGAGAAGGATTGATGTTGAGAGATCCATCATCCATATATGAAGGAAAACGATCAAATACGCTATTAAAGGTTAAAACCACGATGGATTCAGAGGCTACTGTAATTGATCACATCAGTGGTATGGGTAAGTTTAAGGATTAATTGGGAGCATTGAAAGTGTAGACAGATGCTGGAATCACCTTTTAGATTGGAGTTGGATTCAATAGCAAATTAAGGAAAGACCCTCCCAAGATTGGTTCTAGAGTTTCGTATACTTATTATGGATTGACTGATGATGGCAAACCAAGATTCCCTGTATTCGAGAGAATCAGGGAAGATATTTGATTTATAAAATATTAATTTTATGTTTGAGAAATTAATTGAAAATATCCTTTAATAGGTTTTGGGAGAATACATTGATGGTTTGGATCAACAATCCCTTAAGGTTGGGATTTGGAGTGGAGAAGCCAAAATTGAGAATCTTAGATTGAAACCAGACGCTTTTATTAAATTAGACCTCCCCTTCCTCGTTAAGTATAGCAAGTTGGGAACCCTTAATTTGAATATTCCTTGGAAGAATCTAGCGAGTGCTCCAATCAAAGCAAACCTCGATACTTTGTATTTAATACTAAACCCTCAAGAAGCACACGATTGGAAATTTGGGTGTGTTACAGGGGCAGACAAATTAATAGAAGTTGATTCCTTTAAACAGAAACTCCTAGAGAGAATATCGAATAAAGAACAATAAGATGGTATGATGTAAAGAATCATAATCAGAGTGATTGAAAATCTGTAGATTAGCATCTAAAATATTCACATCAGAGTGGAAGATGCCTAGATAAGCTATGGGTTTGTACTGTAGAATTTCACTTTACTTACAGTAAATGAACAAGGGGTGGAACAATTTATTGATAGAACTTCAAATAAAAATTAGCAGTTGATTAAGAGTTTGATGATTAGTAATATTGGTTTATATTGGCAGAGTTAGGATGGTATTCAGTTTTCTGAATCTCTGTTCGAAAAGGAAATACCAAAGCATGATTATCTATTTAGAATCTCCTTATAGAGTAAGGTTGTACAACCACCGAAATAGAGTGAGAATCTTCCAGACTTCAAATTTGATCTAGATTTGCAATCATTTGACATCCAATTATCGAAGCCTTAAGTCCAACAAATTATCAATCTTACGCACTATTTGAATTCTTACAATAGAGCTAAGATCAAATTTTAGAAATAACAGTTGATGATCTAACCATTGGATGAAAAGGATCAAGGACGAATTAAGCAAATTTTGCAATCAGTACAATTGGATAAAAAATATAAAGATGCACTCAATAAAGATTAAAAATAAGAGCTTTGTGCCATTTTAGAGAAAACATAGATAGAAGAGGTAAAACCAATAGTGTTAGAAGTTATCAAAGAGTAACAATATGAGGACATGAAATAAAAGGCGTTGAAAAAGAAATAACCTTAAGGATTCTTATAAAATTGGTTTGGAAAAGGTAAATAGCAATAATAAAATGAAACTCCAACTCTCTTAGCTGAAGAATCAGAGGAAATCTAGAAATTTTTATAATAAAATTTCTCATAGGATGAATCTTCTTAAGCCAATTAAGGGAAGGTTACCTAAATAGTAGTGAATGGCAAAATGAGACAAGGAACTATAATTTTAAGCAATCCTAGATAACAAAAAGTGGATCAAATTAAAATTATATTCTAAGATCTAAAATGCAATTTAAAATCAGATAGGGATCTAAAAGTGGATCTATCTTTAATAGATATAATTGTTCTATTCAATGATTAACAATTTCTAACCAATACAAGCAATGATAACTCAAAACCTATAATCCTATTGAATTTCAACTTGATTGAGTCTACCACCACATAAATTTAATTAGAAACAAGATCCTCCAAACTAAGATTTCATCCAGACCTAATTACAGTGCTTAGTGATTTCAGTAATGTAGACTTGAAGTCAAATTAGATTAAAAATATGGCCAATGATAGAATTCAAGAACTTAAACAGAATGCACAAGCAGCCTTGGCTAATTAAGTAATTGTTGAAAAGAATAGATGGGTTAATATAACAATGGAGCAGTTCTATTTTGAAATCCCCTTAAACAACTCATAAGAATCTTGGCTATTTTGTCCAGGTTTAATAAACATTAATAGTAGCATCATGAACGGTTAAGAGTTGTTCAAAGTGTAAATTTCAAACATAGGATTGAAATATCTATCTTAAACTCAATATAGTGTAATTGACAATTTTACTATTCTGCTTGATTTATAGTTACCAAATCATAAAAACAAAAATCTGATCATGAATGGTAACATCCAAGAAATTATCACCAATTTGAATCCATAGATATATCAAAAACTAAAAAAAATTGAAGATTGTTTAACTCCGTCAATAAGTGTTTAAGAATACTAAAAGTAAAATAAGTTAGCAGAAATCGAAAACAAAATACTAATTGAAAATGCTACAAACATTGGACCACTTTACATTAAGGAAGGTCCATTGAATTAATGGGTTAAATACACTTGTGTGATGGATGGTTCTAATTTATATTTTTATACAAATCCAAAATCCTAATAACCTATCTACATCAAATACGTAAGAAATTCAACAATCGTCGAAAAGGGAATTGATGAATTTAAAATGAATGTTCTCAAAATTGTAAATGAGAATAATTCATTTGAAATTGGTATCCAAAATTAAACTCAGATCCAAGATCTGATTCAAAAGATCTCATCATAGAATGATCTAGAGAGATAATTGCTTAAATAATTAGAAAATGAATAAGATAAATAATTGATAGAACCTATTATGTTTAAGAAGTTCATTAATTTTACAATATCCGTTGTCTAAATTAATTTATAAGATTCAAAATCTAAGTAATTTCTAGTTCTGAAAACTAACGATTTATCTCTTAGAATGAAGGTGCACTCTGAATTCTTGGAGGCTCAACTTTCTCTTTCAGGATTGCAACTATAAGATAGTCTAAGATAATACTGTAAGCAGTAATTAAGTAACCTTATCATATCAGAAAAAGAGAATGGAGAACTTATTGAAATATAATTTCATTAAACTAAGAGGAATTCTAAAAATTATAAGGATGTGGATAAACAAATAGATTTGAAATTTGGTAAGATGCACATCAACTTCAAAAGTGAGACAATTGCCTATTTGTTATAATTCATTGGTCATAAAAAAAAGGATAATTAATAGGAGAAATCATTTAATAAAATGGAAAAAGAGTTTTTGGAAGCTGAAAAGCAATTTCTATTATTAAAGGCGAATGTGTAGATCAATCAAATCAGTTTATCTATTATTCACGAAATTACCAAATTGCCATTTTTAGATATTCAATTCTAAGATTCTGCTATAGAAATACTCAAGTATCAGGATGAATTATAAATGTAAGCCATTTTAGGCGATCTATAAATCAATGATTTGACCAATCATCCTTATACATTGACATAAGAGGAAGATTACCATTTGATTAAACCTTACTAAATTTTGGGAATCAAATAAAAGGGTCAATCTCTATTATTTGTTAAAATTATCTTAATAGAACCATTATCTAAGAAAGCCTAATTAAATCGAGATATCATTAACATTGATGCAAATATAAGTTAAATTGTGACTGATTATCAACAATAGCCCATTCTCAGAATTATTGATTATATTCAAAACTTGAGAGAACCTTTCATCAATCCCTATTCGTTTAAAGTTTAAGGCTATTCAATTGAAAATATCTATAAAGAGATTGTGTAACCTAGTATAATTATTGTTGAACCCTCTAAAGAGGATTCAATTAAGATTACTTAAGATCCCCCTAGAATAAAGTTAAGAGTAAAGATTGACAATCCTTAGATTATCGTTAGAAACACATTTTCAAATGAATTCATGATTATCAATTTAGGAATGATCAGTGTTACTAACATAAAGTAATAGATAAACTCATTTTATAAGGACATTTATACAATATAAATCACTCAACTAAACATCACAGGAGAGTGTGACAGCGAGAAGTCTATCATTGCAAGTGATTTTAATTTGTTATTGACTGTCACTGTACCTGATTTAGTAAAATATTATAAATAGATCAGTAACTATGTTGACGAAGCATTTTATGTTAATTGTGAATTGAGCTAATTTATTTTAAACGTAGATAGAAATACTGTTAAATTGATCAATAGATTAATAGTGTATAATTTCACTCTAAATGATTCATTTAATCAATATGTATTGCTTAATACTCAAAAATCAAATTAAATAAACTAAGAATAATCGAAAATTATATTAAAGTAGGATGTTGAGAAGAGAACAAGAAATTAGGATTACTTTATTAAATTGAAACTGAAAATTATTAATGTTTCAATATTTTTATGTTTGCATAGACCATTAATTCGATTGTCAATAGTGGATAGCAATATAGAATTTAAAATGAAGAGGGATGGTAAGAAAGAAATAGTTATCAACATCTCCTCATTCAATTCATGTGTATATGAGTAGATTGATGGATATTATGTCAGTAAACCACTAATAGGAATACAAGTGGAGAAGAAATATGATGATTTACATAATTTAAGATAATTGATAGAGAATGCATCTAATTCAGATAAGGAGTCAGGTAAAATTGAAATATATATCAGCCCCACTTAAAACCAGACCCATAATAAATTATATTTAAAATTTGAATCATTTTTACTTACAATTTAGACAAAGATAATCTTATAGGTTCTGACAATATTTGAGAGAGAGGAATTGAGTCAATTTGTAAATACACAATTATAGGAACATTAGTTTAAATATGATGAATATTTGAGAAGCTAATAAAAGGAAGAAGAGGTTCAACCTACAGATTCTCAAATCTTTATTACCTTAGGGGATGTAATAATTGGGATTCCATCAAATGAGGATTCAATTCTAACGTTTACTGGTAAATTCAACATTATTTTGAATACACTAAACACTGTGAGTTCAGATGAATTGCTTTGTTTAATTAAAGAAAAAAGTTTGAATTATAATGATTAAAACGATATGAACTACAAAATCAAATCATCAGTGTCGGTCGAACTGGTGCAAGCATATGTGGCATCAAAGTAATAATTGTATAGTTAATAATTCAATCAAATTGAGAATAAAAGGTAAATCATATGGCCATTTACTATGCTCTTAAATCAGAGTTAATAATTAGTGCTATCCGAAGACTAGGATGCACTTGTCGAAAAACAGAGTATAAGATTGTCATTGAGTCCATTTGAATTCAGGATTGCTTTCACGGATGTGTTATTTATTTAAAATCAGATTAATAACTAATTGCAAATTATTAATGAATTAACCAACAATGATATAAGGCAACAATAGTAGGAAATGAGTAATTAACAAAAATAAAATAAATTATAAAATATTGATTTAGTAATTGATGGCATTGAAGTGATGATTTTGAATGATATTGAGAATCATTATTAGTATATCACGAAATTTACATTGTTCTAAACTGAAACCAAATTAGATCAAACATCTAGGAATTTTAAATTCATAATCAATTTACCAATTCAATTGCTTTATTACAATTAAAACATTGGGATTTGGGAACCCATTATTGAAACATGTGACATCTCAATTATATATATAAAGGATCTAGCTGGTTTTGATCAAGTTAGCGTAAATCAATTAGATGTTCTTATAAAAGATGGAGTTAATATCAATATATCGACTCAAATGATCTCGACCGTTTATCCAGCATTGACTATCTTAAATTAAAGGTTGTAAGCCAAGAACATAAACCAAATAAGATTTCAGCATAACTCATATGCCAAATATGCAATCTATAATCAATTAGGATCTGAAGTTCTTTGTGAAACCCAAGACAATAAAATGATAATTGTCCAATAGAATGAATACAAGGATTTTGATATTAATAATTCTAGTACTAACCACTCAGTGAATCTGCAGATCTAAGGTGATAAAATTCCATTTGAAATTACCAATTGGAATATCAATAAGCTCTAACAAAAAATAAAGAAAATTGGAGAAAACAGTCCGGTGCTCATTAAGAATTTCGTCGATCAATTAAAAAATTAGAGAGTTATTTATTTGAGTTCTGAATTTATCTTTGAAAACAATACTTAAACCCATTTAGAAATAGTATTCAAAGATACCAAAGGAAACCTCCACATCACTAAGTTGCAACCATTTATGCAGAACTTAAATGCATAACAAATTACTAGTTAAGCCAATTAATTTGTGCTTCCATAATATTTGTTATAGAGTGAATTTTATATCAGAAAGGCCCTCAAAAATTAAGAGAAGTCTTAATCATACAATATGAAATACTTAAACAAATGTTACGAGAGTAAGGAAGCCCTTAAACTATAATTGAATGAAAATTTCTTTATAAATTTGAACGTGCGCAAAGATCCAGGGTTCTATGGTCGATGCATAATTTATATCCAACCAAATTTCAGATTGTAAAATTTACTGCCATTCCCTGTGACCATAAGTAGGTTGTCTGAATACAAATAGATTGAAGTTGCTAAATTACAACCACTTCAATATTTGGATGAACATCAAATCAAAAGCACTAAAGAATCTCATTCTATATTAATAGACATCGATTCCTATAAGCAGTCTCAACCTATCCCAATATTGAACAGCAGAAATTTCAAGTCTCAAGAAACTGTGATCTCCTTGGTAGGCGAAGAAGGGTAAATGACCAAAGGAGGCAAAAGTGAATTGATTCTTGAATACAATTATACTTTGTTTAAGCAAAGTGGGTTATGCAGTGCAGTACTGTTTGCTCAGGAATATATTAAGAATGAAACTTAATACGATTTTATTGTATGTCAAGGTAAGGGTGAATAATACTCATTTATTGGTGGATAGATGTAAGGATCACTAATAAGGCCATTGATATTGAATAATTCCAATAAATCTAATGACATAGTATTTTCAGATAGAGGCTCACCCTTTTTGTACTCGCGTACTCCTGCCTAGATCAATTCAATAGGGACTACAGCTAGCGATATCATATTTAAGAGAAAGGAAGTCTTCTATATCGCACCATTATCAGTTACATCTGAGATCAAATTAATTCAAGAGACATGTTAGAAGATTGTGAGCATAAAGAATAGGATCATTTTAGTCAATAATTCTGATTATTCAGTATGCATCAAGCAATTTAAGGTTTTTGAGATTAAACCACATTAAAGGATGCCTTTGGAGATCTGTTTTGCTGATAAAATACCTCAATCATCTGAAGGCATTTATCAATTTCAATTCACATTTATGGAAGAGTATAACTGGAATTGGAGTGGCTAAATTGAGTGTAATCAGATTGGAGTCTTTTATTTGCAATTAAGAAGCAACATCTACAATGAAATTAGAAAATTTGCTTAAATTGACATCAATGAAAGCAATGGGGTATTGTTTGTAGTCATCAGTGAAACTAAGCATGATCAAACACCCTATAGAATCACTAATCAGAGCAATATGATTACAGTCACTGTCTTAAATTTGCCAGCAGAGCTAGATTGCAATTAGGATTGCTACTTTGCTTGGGATGAACCAACTAGATAGAATACAGTCCCTCTTATTATTTATCCTAAGATAAATCAATACGAAGTCGTGGAATATCAATTTAGAATTGATAAAATAACAGATCCCATTTTCTTTGCTCTTAGATCAAAAATTCCTAATGATAATGATAAGGTTATCATTAAATTGATAACTGAAATGAATGGTTTTACTAGACATGCTCAATTCATTGATTCAAGTGAAGAGGAAATGAAGAAATATAAAGAGAATTAAGGAAAAGAAATTCAAGGACCATAATAATTGAAATTTGATATTGTGATAACTCAAGTCAATCTGTCTCTGATTGATAACCATTTATCATATCCATAAGAAATTATTAACATTGTACTTTATCAATCTGAAGCCATCTTATTGATAAACAAATAAAACAAGGCTATCTTTTAATGTAAATTGACTGCATTGTAAATTGATAATACATCTCAATTACACCCTCTATTTCCCGTGTTGTTAACACTTCTTCCTACTGGTAAAGTCAAATAATAATTCCCAATTTTAAACGTCTTAATATAAATGAATTTATAGGCTAAGAAATTGTAATTGATTGAGAAATTCTCTCTTGAAACCAATCGTTTAGCCATTAAAATCAATGATGCCATACTTAAGACTATACTTAAAACCATCAATAAAATGATATAGATAAGGGACAATCAACAACAAAAATTACAATAGAAATTCGATTGGAAGTTATGTCCTCTACCTGATAAATTGATTCCAACCTACTTTGGATCAATAGCCATATACCCTATCATAATTTAAGTTACAGTCCAATGGAGTAACAAGAAAGATCAAGATGCTAATAACTCTATGTTTACATCACTCCTATCTGGAGTTGGATTTTAATTAGCCTCTGTTGATGAAGCCGAAATTGCATTGAAGGGTATTCAAATGGATGACGTTTTTGACAGCATACATGGATTAAGTATCAAATTAACCTAAAGATACCTCTCTAATATCCAATATCAATTGCCTGCTATTTTGGGTAGTCTGGCTGTCATAGGAAATCCTACTAAATTATTGAAAAACTTTGTATCAGGCATGTAAGATTTAATCGAACGACCCATTGAAGGATTCACTAAGGGCCCACTTGAAGGGGGCATGGGGGTTTTAAAAGGAGCCACTTCCTTAGTCAGTCACACTGTCTCTGGAGTATTTAATAGTGTTAAGAATGTTGTAGGCAGTATTTCTAGTGGCTTATCTAAAGTGACGATGGATGAATCCTATCAAAAGCAGAGATAAATCCAGAATCAACAATAAGCTAGGAATGTTGGTTCTGGAATATAAGAAGGATCTGTATCTTTGGTCAAGGGAGTAGCAGGGGGCATATCTGGATTCTTTAGTAAACCCATTCAGGGTGCTTAATAGAATGGAGCTTCTGGACTTTTGAAGGGGTTGTGGCAAGGCACTTCAGGGCTAATCATTAAGCCTGTCACAGGAGTTCTAGATGTCATTTCAAAAACATCAGAGGGTGTTAAAAACTAGTTATCATCTGATGGATAGCCTAACAACAATAGGATTAGATATATGAGACCTTTCTATGAAAGTGATGGGTATTATAAGGAATACAATTGGATTGAAGCAGAATGCTACGAAGTTATTAAAGGAATGAAAAATGGAAAATACGAAAATCATAGGCTTCTCAAAGTTGTAACTATTGAAAGAGATAACAAAACTTATGGATTGATTTAGACAGATCTTAGTCTGATTTTATTTGATTTGGATTAGCATTAAAAACTTTGGTCTATTTTGTATAAGGATGTAGAAAATATAGATTGTCGTGAAAATGTAATATTATTGAAGAACAAGAAATCCAAAAGGGCATTCTAAGTATTAATTAATTTATATTTTAAAGGGAAAATCTGCTATCTAATTGCCAATGTCTTCGACATATTAAAGTCAATAAATAACAGACGAAATTAAATTTATGAAACAATAATTGTGACATAATTATATATATATATTGTAATAATCAAATTTAAGAATATAATTAGATTATTTTAGTACCGGTTAAAGCTAAAGTTATTACTTAACATAGTGATACCTAAAATATTGATTGATTATTACCTTATAAACAATATACAACACTCCCAAGGGATAAATCTAATGATTATAATCAAAGTATTTATCGACTATCCATTATCTAGGTATTCTCTTGTCTCCTATATTTAAACTATGTTCATTTATTGAGATTTCAATTAATGAAGAGGAATTCATAATTGTGTCGATCTTAATAATTTAATATACTTACTAATTCTAATGTGAATGTGTTTTGTTCTTCAGATTATATTGTTAATGATTTTCTGCATTTAGTCTTCTCAGAGAGCAATATGTTTTCACTTTCCACAACTTAGATTAGAATTTATTAAAATTAAATTAGATTTCTCACATTTACATTATCCTAAACATAAGATTTATTTTAAGCAAATAATTGTTATATTTCAGTATAACATTCTGTTTTCAATTTTTGCAATTCCTTTTTTGTTATTTTCTATCCAACTAGATTATCCATCAAAACTTCAATCTAATCAACTTCATAATATGTTTATGTGCTGTTGCAAACAAACATATTTTCATATTTGCTTTAATCCCTCTTCTATTGAATTTCAAATTCAGTCTACATTTTCTTATATAAGGACTCCTCTACTCCAATGAATAATTTCAATTGCTAATTCTTACTATGTGTTAAAGCGTATTATATTTCCAATTTATCTTTCTCTGTGTTTTAATCCTGTATTTCTTTTTTAATCTATTAGATCATGCTCTATTTTTCCCCTTTTTCCAATTCTAAACTCTCCAATTCCTCTTAAATCACTTGCAAACTCTCTTCTCTCATTTCCTTTTCATTCTCCAAATTCTCTACTTACTCTGCTAACTGTCTACCTTCTCGTGAATAAACAGCCATTCTATTTCTTAATTATAACAATTTTTCATCCATTTCTATCAAATTCTTGAATAACACCTAAACATAATCTTTCTTTTCTTTAATTCTATTCAAAGAAATGATTTCTTATTCATTCAACTCTTAATTGTCCAATTCTAATTAGTACATCCTTTGTTGCAGATTAACCTAGTCACTCTCTAAATCTGATTACTTCTAAAATAGGACTTCTAATTCCTTCTCTATCTTCTCCACACATTGTCTTCTTTAATCCAATTCTATGGCCAATTTATGCTCTTTTTCAGCCCAATCCTACAATTTAAGTGCTAACTCATGATGTCTCTCAGCAGTTCTCTTTAATTTCTATTATAGATCATCCAACATCTCACTTTCTTTAGTGAACTTATCCTACAATTCCAACAACAATGGTTCATCATCAAAGTAGAAACCAGATTGAATAGTAACTTTAGATTGATGCATAGATAATTGTTATAATTATTACTCCAATATATCTAATTTCTTATCCTTCTCCCTAATAGTCAATTGTAATTCTTCCAATTGAGTCTTAGTTCCTTCAATCTATTGCATGGTTTAGAATATTGGTTGACTCTGTGATTGCACCAACCTCTATAAATCATCCTTTAAATTCAAGTTCTTAGTATTTAAACAACTTATTTGTTATGATAATGCATCCTCATACACTTCTACTTCATTATTATCTGCTTCTATTGGCTTTTATTGCTTCTTTTTATTCAATTGTTTCTTCACTTCCACTACTTAAAAATTAGCTATATCTAATTCCTTCTTGAGTGTTTCTTTCTTATCCTAATATTATTTCAACTCTTTCTCTTTCAATTATATTACAGCTTCCAACATTTTTGCATCATCATCCAATTTTCTAAATTAATCATTCAAGATATCTAAATCCTTCAATTTCTACTGTATTTAGAAATTCATTTCCTCTTCTTTAACCTTAGTTTGATATATTTCTTGATTGATTTCTGTCAATTGCTCCTATTCCTTCTTGATCTCTTCAGACAACTTCGATCTCTACTTCTCAAATTCTTAGATCTACTCCTACTTCTCTCTTATCTCTCCTTAAATAGTAGAATATTGCTATTTAAATTTCATTAACTCCACCTTTGACTCATTAAAATTTCTTAATTCTTCATCCCTATTTCTTAGCATCTCTTCCAAATTACTTAAATCCATTTCAGCCTTCGCTATTTCATCCTCAAATTTACTCCTCTTTTCTGACCTTATTTAAAATTCTCTTTCCAATTTGCTTAACTTCTCATCTTATTCAGATATCCTCTTTTTTATTTCTTCCTCTTCTCTCTCATAAAACTTCAATTCATCCTCCAATTAATTGAACTTCTACTTTTAATCATTAACCTTCTATTATTTCTAATATACTAATCCTGCATACTATTACACTTACTCTTCCTTCTCAAATACATCCTTCATCAACCTTTCCATATCCTTATCTAATTTTGCAATCTAATCTAATTGATAAAGATGTTTCATCTGTTAATCTGTCAATTTATTCAAATTGTTCTTCTAATCTTCAATCTCCGTTTGAATCTTCTGAATCTACTCTTATCGTTGTTCTTTCTCTCTGTTCTACTTTTCTAGAATCTAGATCTAGGTTTGAATTGCTTGCTTGTTGCGATCCAACTCCTATTAAATTCTATCAGCCTTATCCTGTATTGCATTTTTTAATGTATTTTCTTATTTAATATTATCATCCAACTTGATCCTTAAAGCCTACAATTCAACTAATTACTTTTCTTAATTCTCTGTGAACAATTTAAGGTAATTGACCTCCTGCGTCACTTGATTCTTTTAATCTTATACCTTTTGCTATTATTTCTATAGTTCAGATAGGTCCTCCACACTCTAATCGTATTATTGCTTAGTTTGTAAATATAACTTTTAGATCTCATCTTTCTAAGGCACTATCAACAAGACCTATTCCTTTTGAATTTGCAATTCTTCAATAAGCTATTCGAATAGTTGTTTTTCCTCTGAAATCTAATGAGTTAGGTCTTCTATCTTCTTATTTATATTTGCACCATCCAAATTCATCTCTGTGTAGATCTTAATTTCTTATTCTATCAAGGCATTCTTTTACTTGTACTAATTCTATTGATCCAACAATTGTTATTCCAGTATCTTTGCTTACTCAATATCGTCTTTTAACAACATTATATTTTAATCTAATTGCGAACTCTCTATGCTCAATGCTGATATTTGCTATTCCTTAGTTTACTTCACTTATTTAGCAGACTCAGCCTCTTAAAATAATCTTGCTAATTCAAGCTGTAATCTTTTGTTTTCTGCCACCAAATCATTCACTTATTGTTCAAGTAATCCAACCTTCTCTCCCAAGGGCATTTACTCTCTCAGTAAATGATCTCTCTTCTACTTCTATTTTCTTGTCAGAATGGACAACTAATAGTTCTCTTATGATATTCGTTATAATTCTTCTTGTTTTTCCTTAACCACTATTTATAAATCCAAAATCAAGGATTCTAAGTTCTTAATTTGCTCTTTCACTTTTTGTTACCCTTTTTGGAGTTCATTCAACCTTTTAGATGATTCCATATTCTAATTCAACCAATTAGGAACATTCTATTACGATTTGTTGACATCTTCAATTAAATTAACTTGTTAGTTCTATAAATCATTAACCATTTACTCAATATCTTTATTTTGAGATTTCATTTTTTCAACCTATTCCTACTTGATTTATTGCTCAGACTACAAATCTTGGAGTACATCAGTTGATGATTAGATAAACAATTTTAGTTATTCAATTTGAGATTACTTTTCTTTTTTTTATTTTAATAAGAATTCCAATTCAATATCATCTTAACTTAATTACCTGACTGACTCTGTTATCTAAGCGATTTAAATGGTCAATTCAGATAAATTTGAATTATGATCTTAGATGATATCCTGATCCTCATGGAATACTGGCAATCGCTAAGGCATTGACCTTTAATGCTATGACAATCTTTATTCTAATTCATACTATTATTGCTGCTTCTGAATCAACCTCGATTCCATTTATTAGATCTTCTCATCCAACTCCAAATTCTTCTTAACCATCTCGTCTGATTTAAGTTATCTTAATTGAACCTCTTCCTCCATCATATTTTAAATGATCTATTAGACTTCTTCTTATTTGTTCTTCTTCTCTTACAACTTGTACTCTAATTCATGTATAACATCCTCCAAAGCTAAGTTTTACTTAACTAAATTATCTGCCTATTCCTACAACACATTGATTTATCTATTAATAACAGACACGTCCTGGGTTGCCAAAATCTATTGATTGAAATTACTTCTTTTCAAATCATTTAATTATTGTTTAAGCTATTCAATAATCTTATCCTTTTCTTGCAATTCATACTTCTAACATTCTACTCTGCTCTTTAAATGTTCCAAGCCACTGTTGAATCCAGCTAGAATTTATTATTATTAAACAAATTAGTGATCTTAGTCTTGATCATATGAATTAATTCCACTATCTCTTATAATGCTTTCTCTATCTTTATAGAATGAGTTATTATTTTGATTAGATTCAATTTCAAAATTCTTTGATGAATTCAAATACTCTAATTCCTTTAATTTTGATTCCTTCTCCACCAACCTTACCTCCAATGAATGAATCAACTCATCCATTGACAAATTCTTTTTAACCAATTCATCTGCCTTCTCACATTAATCTTCATTCGTCTTCATCAATGCTTAATATCTCAATTCAACATCCCTTTATTGTAATTCTTATTCCTTATCGTATAATTATTTTTAAAATCTAGATATTTCTTCGTATAGCTATACAATATTCATATTCTTCTCATGTAATTATTCCTACAAATCCATCAGCTCTGTATTTTGAACAAAAGATTTCCTCCTAGGCTTCTGATCCTCATTCACAATAGATTCCAATTGATCCTTTCTCTTTATTTTATAACTCAATTGTTTCTTTAACTCTTGTATCCTACTTTCGACTTCTTAATTCTATTGATTCAAGTCTTGCAAGTATGTGTGTTGTGACATATTCATTATTTCATCCTTCTATTGAATTTCAAACTTCAAGAACTCAATCTACGACTCCTACTATTTTATTGTCTCCTTCAATTAATCGATTTAAAACTAGTAATCCTGAGGGATTGATTCTGTTTAAGGACCAAAGACATTGATTGTGGGTGCCTCCTGAATGTAAGAAGTTACTGTTGGTTCTATTATTAGTTATCTTGATTGCACACTCTAAATTTGCTATTCAACTGAAACCTTGACTTCTATCTCCTCTTGCAGTTTGTACTGTAACCTAAACACTTCCTATTCTTCCTTCTCCAATTAATCTCTTAACTCTTCGATTTCTAGTTGTTTTTATTTCAATTGCTATTGAATTATTTCACATTCATGCTATTCGACTTCTAATTATGAGATTAACTCCTTTTTTGGAGACAGACTTTGAGGTCTGAGAGACGTGGATGAGTTCTGTTCATTCTCTTATATATTCTGCTTACTTAATTAATCCATCAGCTGATTGTGAGCCTATTGTTTTTCAAGCAATTTGGTTTGCAATTCATTCATCAAATCGTCCACAGCTTAATTCTATTTAACTAAGTCATCTATTGCTATCAACTTTTCAGTCTCTCCTTTTACTGGTGTTCCAATCCCTAACATAATATTTTAGGACTTTAAATAATCCAATTAACTTTTAGTCTTTGCCACTTAATCTTCAAAATCTTACTTTTCTGCTAGCTTCATCTCCAATTAATCATTCAAATTCTAAGTCTCTTATTGCAATTTCTTTAATTAAATCCTTACCTCCTAATTATATGCCTTCTCTACTACCAGTTACTCATTCAACACAGATATTTGCTATTTCAATTATTTTAATATTTTTTCGTCATCCCCATAAGTATTTATAATCTATTCTAACTCTTATTTTTATTGCTTCTTGTCATATAGCTTTTTCTCTAACTCAATCAGAATATCATCAATCTCCTCGTGTTGCTTAATAATTTCATCTACCTGGGTCGTGTTCGGCTTGTATGATCTCCTTTGACCCTCTATGCCAGATCTAAGCAGGTGTAATTCCTACTCCTTTTCCTATAATTAGGATTTCAACTTCTCAAATTCCTCTTGTATCTGTAAACCAAGTGCATTCAGGGATTTAGGGTAAGTTAATAATTGATCAATTGGATTGTCAAAAATGGGCTAACTCAACATTTCCTTCTGATTGATTCGATTTTTCAGAGACTTTATCTCGCTAGCTTGTTCATTAATGACTTTTTCCTGCTTTGAAATAAGTGAATCAAGATCTACTCTTACATTATTTCTATACCTTAAATCTAAGTGCTCACTACTTTAAGAAGTGAAGAAGTGATTTACTGCATATTCTAATAAAATTAAATATTAAAAATAATTATATATTAAAGCAAATTCAGCTTACGTCAATTGGTTATGGTTGTTAATTTCCATTAGATTAAGAACAACAAGTGGAGTCAACAAAAAGAATGAAATTTATAATTTCCTTTAATTATTTTAATTTGCATTATAAAGCTCTGTATCTTGTGTCCATTATTAATTAAGTTTTAATTTTTGGTAAATTAATAAAGCATTTTCATATCTCTTATTAATATTTGAATTAACATTATTAATTACAATACATATTTATGGAACTATTCCAAATAATCATTTTTTTAAAGTATAGATTTTGAATTAGCTAAATATTAATATTCATGAGATATTTCTTGATCTTTATTTTAATTTTCGTGAACTCTTAACAAGTCATTTACAAGCTAGAATAAACTAATTAGCCTGACTTTGGTGGATATGATGTGTTTACACATGATACCGTAATTTAAAAGTATTTTACTTTAAATACTATTAGAGTATTTTTGATCTAACTTCGCATTTCAAGATAACAATAGAAATGAATTTGTGGTGGTATACATTTAATTACACCTCTTAGGTTCGAATTAGTATTAGAAGAGTTGGTCATCGAAAATGATAATACTTAAATTTCTATAACTTCATCCTCATTGCTACATCCAAGATCATGCCCAGAGCTGACATCTAATTCAAATATAGAAATATCATAGAATACTAAGTGCAAAGTCTGGTATTTGAATTTTCTCATCACAGGAAAAATTCCATTCTTAAATGTTTCAAACTTATTTAGAAAATGAAAATGTATCATATTAGAAAGATATAGGCTAGCTGGGGCTTCCATTCATTTAAAATCAGTGTGTACCATTATCCTTCAGAATGACTATCATGTATATGATAGGATGATTTAAATTGCGGTTTTTGGAGTAAACTTTAATTTTCATTTATTCAATGCGAATTTGATGATTCAATAATGCGGAGGTGGATTGGAAGACTATGTCGATGAATTTGGATGTTGTAAAGGAATGAATTCGATTTATTTTGAAAATTAATTCATTTTGGCACCAAGTGATAAGATTTTAATTAGATTTTTAATAAATAAATATACAGATTTAACCATTTGGATCGATCAAAATAAATTAGATATTTATAATAATTTCAATAAGATAATATTCAGATAATTTTTGGCTGGTTAATTATATAACCTAACCGAATAATGGTGATTCATAATCTTTTTTCATCTGAATTTATTATCTATAAAAATAAAAAAGAAGTTCTTTATAATAAAAGTGCATCATGTCCTTGTTAGAATATGAAAAGGATATTCATCTAGGGTTTTACTAAAGATAGAAATCATAAGTAATAATGATTAAAATTACAGAAATAATATATGAAATGAAATATAATTACATCAACCAAGCAGAGTATTGTAGTATTAGATGTCACTTAATTTCCTAACCATTTCTTTTTTCATTTGGTTCACAAATTCAAAAAATATACTATCATGTATTTCCTCCATCATCATAGGTTCTGAAATTTTCACATTATTTTTGAGAATATTAATTTTAAATTTATTGGTAGCCTTAAATTTCTTCAGATCTTTATTATTTAAAAATTTGATGGGAGGTTCAATTATCTGAATATCAGGATCATTTGTCTTAAATTACTCTGCAGAATTTAGATTCTATTGATTAGTTTAATTGTAATTAGGAGAATCATCCTTGATTTCTGTTTACAGTTGAATTTATATGTTGTCTGCCACTTATTATAGTTTGTCTTAATGAACGCTTGCTTCATCGTTAAGGATATTGTTTTAACTAGTGTCCTAATTATCTTGCAATATTAATTGTTAATTTTCTAAAGATAAAGGCTTTTCCTCAGTCTCATTTTGGTTAGAGTCTGGAATCTAAGGTATATCCTATTGTTATTAATCATTCAACTATTTTGCTTAATTAATATGTTAATCAACTTGGTGGGTAGTATTCTGTTAATTAATTGAATCATCCTAAATAATAGAGAGACTAATCTGATTCTCTTAATTGATTTCCTGAGGAGGATTATCGATTTGGTTGTTCTCTAGATTCTATTGAGGCAAATCATTATTCAATTCTGGATTTTAATTTAGATTTTCTATTTGATTAGAGTTGAGATTAATATTATTAGAATTAGTTTCTAATGGAGGATCCTAATGATTCTAATTTAGATTATTGCTTTATTAAGATTGTTGTTGCTATTCTTGATTTTAGGATTAATCAATCGAAATCAAAATTTATTACCCAAAATTTTCAATGATTTATTATTTAATTTAAGGTTCTGTTTCTTCTACAAGATTCGCAAATGTAAATTCATCATCATCATCTCCAATTTCAATAGCATCTTGATGTATTTCAGTGTTAATAGATATGTAAGTACATTATGATTTTTTATGTTATTTAAATTAAGCCAAGGTTCCCTCCCATAATTGACATCTTAAACATTTAACTTCAATATCTCCAACAATTTTGGTGGCTAGAATGTCTTTGTCAAATTAATAGTTTCGTTCAAGTCGATGTCGACATAAAGGACAACTTTTTTTCATCTAAATCCAACGAACCAAACAAGTTCCGCAAAAAGTATGCCTACTGATGAAAAATGAATGATACCCACATGTTGCCCTTATTGGATTATAAAATACTTCTCTACAAATAGTGCATAATAAGTGTTAATTTACTTATTATGTTTTAATTACTTCAAATTATCTTTCTCTATTCATTTAATAAATATATTATATTTATTCTATTATTTAATAATAATTCATTGTTCTATCTTCTTAATACTTCTGAATACTACTCCACTAACAAGACCATCAACAAGAAAGCGATGATAGAAAACTCTATAATTGACAATCCATTATCTCGAGTTATCTGAATTATATTTAGAAAAAGCCGCATCCATATTGACTAACCAGAAGTTATCATTTTCAGTTCTCATTAAGTTCTTTATCACCTCCTTTCTGTCATAGATCTTTCACTAAGATGTCCAAATAATCATCTAGAATATGGTTAATTTAAATAATAATGATTTTAATCTGAGCTTAACAAGGATTGCCATATAGTCTAATAGATTCTCGATCACTCTTGAAATCTTCTGATTTAATGATCCATCTTATATATTTTCATATTCTAGAGACTAGACTAAATTAGTATTTGCTAGAATGATGAATCCACCCTATCAATATTTTAAGTTTATTCCTTTCTACAAACATACATACTCTCTAATGAATCCAATATTTATCCAATCCGAACATATAAAATGCTATACTTGCAAGAAATATTAGTACTCACATTTTGATCAATTCAATGAGATGAATTACGATGAGTGATAACATTATCTTAAACAATAAATAGATAATTAATACCTATTGAGTTGTTATCTCTATTTCAATAGACTCTTAATTCGGTGGTTGAGTTGATAAAGTGAGTTATGAATAATATGAAAAACTTGAATTTATTGATTAATCATACAATATTATAATTAATCAAGTGATGCTTAAAAACGACATTTTCCTAGAGGCTCTCACTCTGGTGTCGATCTGTTTGATTACTTTAATTGTTGTGCACCTCTTGAATCATGGGAGCAAGAATTCTGCAAGGGAGTAGCAGCACATAAGATGGAAATAGGAGAAGACTTAATTTTCAGTGGTGTTGACAGATTCTGAATTTAACACATTGTTAGATGAAACCAATTACATCGATTGATTCTGGGATGGATTTGGAGATGGAGATGCATCTTACAAATATCATTCATAGGATGAGCATAAAAGTTGTAAATTGAAATATTGAATAATAAAATGTTCATCTATAATGAAAAATCAATTATCTAGTTCTTGAGGAGCACAATTGATATTTATAAGCATTTGATGCAAAATAAATAAATTCATTAATTTGTTGTTTGTTAATTTAACGAATGTCTAAGTGGTTAGATTTAAGCCTAACTTGTACGCAACTAAACCTCAATCAGAGTGTTGGCAACACGTGCAGCAATCGTATGAATCTACAATCTCAACTCAATAGGTAGTCCCATGAATCTGATTGTGGATCTTTACAAGAATTCACGTTATGGACAATTGTATTTGGGAAACATCAATGCGGCCAATGACATCAAATACCTGCGAGAACACTCCATCAATGCCATTGTGGCTGTGATCGACACAAGTGAAATCCGAGTTGATCCATCAATGACTCGATTAGTATCAAATCCCATCTCATAACTTAGTGGATAATGGCCGAAGACGCAGTCAACTTCGACCTCTATCGTTACTTCGATGAATGCGCCAACTTCATAAGAGATCACATCAAGAACACCAATGTATTCGTTCATTGTTATGCTGGTATCTCCAGATCTGCCTCTATTGTGATTGCATACATGATCAAACATTTGGGTTACTCCCTCAAAGAGGCACTCAAGAAAGTCAAGGGAGCAAGATCAATAGTCGAGCCGAATTCAGGTATTGCTCTCAATGCTATTCTGTAGGTTTCATGAAACAACTATAGGATTACGAATACAAATAGAATCTCAATTCCCATCAAGGAACGAGAAATGGAGCCTCCTTCCATTCAAATCCCAGAGGATCAGTTACGTCTGCTAGCAAAGGGTCATTGCACAGTGCGAAACCATCTTTTTTGGATAGAATGTCTTCTGGATATAAAGAGACCAAGCGAGAATCTGAAAGTCCTTCAGTGAGTCAATTTTATGTAAATGGGAGTGCAAAACAGACAAATACTAATAATAATCCTAAAAGTTTTTTTAAGCAAGGAAGTGTGGGAAGTCTCTTAAAATAAACCAATAATGATGACTTCTTCAGAAGATATTAAAAGCAAAAGAATGTCGAGAATATTTGGAATCAAGGGATGAGTGGTCATCACAAATCAGCCATTGAAATCAAATCAGACAAAATTGAACAAGTAAAATTGACTCTTTAAACCTTTGGTGTCAAGAATGTTTTTAGCGGATCAAATAATAATGGGTTACATTTTCATCACAAAGGATTGTCTTAAGGTTGAATTCTAAATATTGATTATTATTTACTATTTAAGATTGTTTAAATGTTAACTAAACGTATCTTCTGTAATAAATCTGGCTTAGGAAATAAGATGAATTCAGAATATAAAAAATTAATTTATGGATAATTGATTTTCATTTATTTATAATAATTTTCTCAATTAATTTTATGTGGTTGCAATTTTATGCAGATCAGACTCTAACCTCTTGATCTGATAAAGTCTTTTTCTGTTTTTGTCATCACATATTGCTTAATATTTTTACAATTTGAATAAACAACAGAAATTGCACTCTCTTGAGTGATTATTTATAATTATCATTTTTGAATACATAGATAGATCAATTATATTTAATGAGTGATTGTGTGCATCCCAGACGAGATGCGTATCCCCACTTAGTGAATTTACTATTAAGCGAGTCCAAATTGCTGAAGATATTTTCGCCTTGAATCCCTAATTCTTGATGTTCATTGATGTGCTCATTCAATTTTGATTGGAATTGGTCAAAGTGTGAAAAGAAGGTCTCAAGAAACTTCGAATTGGGATGAGATTTAAGTAATTTATTAATGTTATTTGCATGCTCTTGAATTTAAGCATTGGAGATTTTGGATGTAGATTTCATTTATGTAAACAACCCATCGATGTTGTTCCATATTTGAATGACTTCTTGGATGCGTTTCGATTGTTGAGCAGGATCCATTTTGACTTTCATTAATTTTATGAGAGGCCTGGGTTTCTTCTGTGATTGTGAAGTGCACATGCCCATTGATGACGGTATAAGAATTTTAATTAATACCAAACAATGATTTGCTGAAATAATATTTACATTATAAAGTCTCCTATATAAAATTCAAATTAATTGGGCATACATAATCAGACATATATATTTATATATATATATAAATTATATATATATATTTACTAACAAAAATTAAAGCAAAGAATGGATTATCGCAGAAAACCACAATCCCTTCATCGTTAGAGAACTGGGATTTTGATAACGAACAAACAACATGCCAGGAAGAAGTCGCCAAAAAAGACTTACTCCAAGGCCATTCACCCCTTAAATTTGCATACGAAGCCAATGTCTTAACAAAACCTGGACTGTTTGTCTTCGGAAAGGTAATGCGTCGACATATGGGTAGTTCAGAGTCTTCAAGAGCGACGATGATTGAAGACAATAGGAGTTGTTGCTGCTTCGATTGCAGTAAGCCCAATAAGAAGATGAAAAATTTGCAAAAGAAATTCGGATAGTTTCGGACACAAATGTCAGTAGTAAGATCTCAGAGATTGCACTTAAGGTTCCAGAATGCAGTTTATTGCATCCTGTACTTGATTTACAAGAGAAGGAAACAGAAGTTGCTGGACAAGCAGAAGAAGATGTTCAGATATAAAACCAAAGTGTTCTTGGAGGGATCTCCACTCTTGAGTTCTCAACATCAACAACATTAACTCAATGGACATGATGAGAAACATCACATGAACATCCATTCGCAATCTATACAGGCCAAAATTATTGATCAAAGACACAAATAAAGACAATCAGTGAGAATATATTTGCAATAAAAATTACACGATAAAGGTAATCTCAACCTCTCATTCCCTTAGATTCGCAACTAACATTGCCCAAGATCCAGAAGATTAGTTAGAGCTCCTTTGCGAACATTCAGCCCTTGAGGTTCTCAAAGGGAGAGGATTAGAAATCCCCCAGGTGCTCAACATATCTAAAAATATCTCATCAAACAGAAAACAGTCCTTCCGCCATCCAACATTCTCCTTACTTAAATCATCTAACTTCGAGAAACCCTATCGACACTATCATTCAGTCCTCTTTCAGCAGAACACCACGACCAGTAACAAAGAGTATTTCATCTGAATTGCTTATTTAAAAACACTAATTTCATTAAAGAAAGAATACAGCTGCCACATTAAAGGGATTAGTTTGAATATAAGTAAATATTGGAATAATTATTTTGTTTAATGATTATTTTTACTCTATTCACAATTATATAATCATAAATAGCGCAATTATCATTAAATGGAGAAGGCCTCAAAGAATAGCTGCTTCAAATGATAGATGAAAATTAATTGGATTGCCAAACTATCCAATTGCTAATCACCAGAGGATTTGGACAACAGATCCTCGATTTAATAACAACTGATTCAATCATTCTGGAGTCTCATTTGCAATGTGCAAAACAATCCATTCAAAATGATTTATTACAATTGGAATCACTCAAAAAGAGATTCACCAATCATGAAAATCATGTACTCATCAAACCCATTATCCTATGGGCACAATCCAGAGCCAATATTTTGATCAAGGTCAAATTTGCACATAGAATCGATGCTCCTGCTTACATTAGTGTTAAGAATCACCAAATCCAATACCTCAATCAAAATCTGTAGATTTCTGCAGAATCCGATTAGAATAACATCTTGACTAAATTCTACTTAGAGATTCCCCTCCTTAATCAAGTTGACAAGACCATAGGTTGGCAAGTGGAAAGTGTTGGCACCATGGTTTTGAATATCACCAAAATTGAATCCAAATTGTGGTTGCATCTAAGCAAAAATAAAAATGACAAATTCTAAATTTGGTGGGACTTAAAAGAATAAGTAATCTTCTCCTCTTATAATTAGATTGGTAAAGACATGGAGGACTTTTCTAAAATGCTTGACAATCAAGAAGACCATCTAAAAAATAAGAAAAAACAACAAAAAAAAAGTGACTCTTCACAACAATCCTCGCCTATTAAAACTAACATATTTGTTGCATTTTTTCTAAAATTCAAATAATGGCTTAATAAATGGTTTTGAAATTAAATATATATTATAAATCAGATTTCTAAATAATATATTACCCTTCTATCATTTAAGTGATACAAGTATTCTTTTTAATCAATTTAATGATCCAATAGTTGTTCATTTAAATTCCATTTCAGACATTCACATCCAAAACTGACCTAATTTAAAGTCCACTTTAATTTTGAATAGGAATTAGCTTTCCCTTTGAAAACTGCCTTATATCGGTCTATTGCACAAAACTCCAAGTATTTCTCTCTCAAGATGCCAACCATTATTAAACTATTCTGAGGGATCGCCAATTATGCAATGTCTTAGTAACTAGTATATTCAAAATATTAGGCATTGTAAACTTGCACCCACTAATTAAACTGTGAAATGGGAATGTGTTAATCCAATCCAAAGGAACACCCTGTTTAAAATAGAGCTGAGATTATTCTGGCCTATTTCTATGACTTTTTGTTTAGTTTTTGCAAAATGCTCAAGTTCTTCCTCTTTCTTTCGATGATCTATGTTAAACAATTATTCATGTCTGATTAATCAATTGCAAATTCCCCATCAACAACTATTATCCTATCTGCTATGTATTGCATAATGGCCATGAAATCAGACTTCATCCCTCCCTAAGTTCCGTCATCAGTTCTTGAGGTATCCCCATCAATTTATGAGTAATGGGATATGATGCCATAGATGTCTTTGAATGGCTTTTAGTACTATCCCAAGATCAATAATTCCCTCTTCAATTATTCCTAAATTGAATTGTTGATATTTGAAAGTGTAGATTGCAATTGCTGAACTTCCAACATTCCATCGACACTTAAATCCTCGAAATATTCAGCCTTTGGATTTTATGTCTGACACAATATTAACACTTCATCTAATGGAACAAATGATTCCAATGTATGACCATTATCGCAATGATATTTTAACTAGCATCTACAACATATTGCACCCTTATTAATGCAATTTGGATGTCTGCAAACCATATTTAATTGATAACTAGGATGCCTACTGCAATAAATTTAAGGAAAATTAACGAATAAATCTGTCATTTTAATATTTTTATTAAATGACTTCTTAAGCCAATTCAACTTAATAATCTCAAATCAATTAGAATAGAATTTTAGTCATATAAATAATTTAAATAATTCATTATGTATTTCCCTGTATTCATCTAGATTTGCTCTGTGTGATGATAAGAATTAGTAAATAAAATTCTCACTCTCAAAAAAAGAATTGTGAAATGTCGATTATTCGTACTCCTTTGGTATCGGAAAGAGTTTAATATTTATAATTGTTTAATTAAGGTATTTCCCTTATTATTGATAATACTATGACAAGGTACTTAGTTTTTAACTATGTTTGGAAATAAAAAATAAATGAAATTCATTTCTTCCATTTTAATTACTAAGTTATAAGTATAACTCTAAATTATTTTTGTTAATAAGGTAAAACAGTAGTAAATAATCTTAATATTTAATTAATGAATTGGAATGCAAGAAGTTTTCATACATCTATTGATATATCCCTATCTGAGACATAAATAGTTAATGAAAGCTCTTTCTAAATGTTCCTAAAAAATATTTTGTTAGATGAGTTAGTTTATTTTTATTAATTCAAATCATATAGATTTATATCTCTTCTCTTTCTTCTTATTTAATTTCATTCTTCCTTCCTTTTAATATTGACATAGTTATATTAAAGATCATCCAGCATAGATTATTATTGGATTGTACTTATTCTTAATTCTCTTTGCACCTCAACCTTTACTTATTATTATTCGAGGATATGGATATGTGATTACATCTAAATTATAAGTAGATTCATCATTAATATTTTATGAAAGTGATAGATTTGTACTTGAGGTGGGATTACTTGATGTTGTCAATTAAATTTGTGTTTATTAATTTAATTATGTAATTATTTGCATATTCATTTATTGTTCCCTCCTCGGTTTCCATAATATATGTTATACTGATGATTTGTCGTTATTGCCAATTAAAGTCGGACATTGTGGCTGATGAAATAAACTTGAATTGTTCTCTGAAATTTCGTGTGAGTCTATTGATTTGTGACATAGGTATACATTCCCATATTAATAAGTAGTCTAGGCATTTAAAGTACTTAGTGTGCATTTATATTTCTCTGCATGAATTGTGAAGAATATCAACACTACATTTTGATAATCCTCTTCGTCAACATGATTGCTTTAATCCTTTAAATATTCCTCATGGTACAAAAACCTTGCAAATTTAGATCTTCGAGTATAAGAAGCGAGTACCTTTATTTTTTGTCCATAAGCTTTATTGGATTGTTAATTGGATTGTTCTTTTAATCATAGCAGCCTTGATCATTTATTCTGAAGGTTACTTTTTGGATGTGATTTTAATATCCTGCAGATTACTCATAATATCCATTCTTTTGATATACACACTCTTTATCAGAAAACAAGACTTGGTAGAATTTGAAGATTTAGGGTTTTTCAATAGTGAATTGCCAGATATCGATGTTTCTTCATAGGAGCAGAAGCTGAGAATTTCGACCTTAAATAGTACAATTTAAATGTTAATAAGTAGATCTTCAAACCCAATTTTTTTCTGTGGAACTAAAAAAGATGTGGAATATTGTGGATAATGATATAGAAATAAAATTGAATATGTAAATTGAGTATAGTATAGTGTAGCCATTTTGCAGAGAAAGAGAAAAGCATGAAATTGAAGAAGAGAGTCTCGGAGTTGTTCGACATGCATTCCAAATTGGTGGTGGAATGCACAGCCTATTTTGAGTAGCATAATAATGACTAACTCGAATTAAATTTCTTAATCAAGTAGATTTCAGAGAGCACCGATTTACAATTGATCACCTACATCCAAAAATATTTAAATGTCATCATGAGCAAAATAGAGTTGATATGCACTACTTTCCTGGATTTCATTGAATTGCCTCAACAAGAAAGAGAATTGTTGGACGACATCAAACTACAAAACAGACAACTCCACAGATAGTCATTCACTAAGAAGCAGCAATAAACCAATTTCCCTTACAAGAAATGGGAATTACAACAGCCCTACATTCCGTATGTGAATGTGAAGATCAAAGAACATCTGACAATTAAGCAGCATGGCGATTCCTACATCCAATACCGGATAGTGATCAAGATCAATTAAGAAACCCTGGTTACGCAGAAGAGATTCAGAGAGTTCTCAGAGTTGAATGAGCAATTAAAACAACAGGGCATTAAATACTCTTCCTTATTCCCTTAAAAGAGTATTGGAAAGTTGACTGATTTGGATGTGGAAGAAAGAAAGAAGGATTTGGAAATCTATTTGAAGGTGTTATTGAATGACAGGAGTAATCATAATTGTTTGCCATTATTCAAGTTTGTTGGTATCACTATGGTTTAGGAACTCTTCTTAAAAAAGCAACATCAACGAATGCAAAAGGATGTGGAGTAAGTCGTTTAATCCACCGTGAAGTTCTTGCAATTTGAGGATGTTCAGGATTAGAATGGAGACAAATACTTTAAGTACCAATTCCAAATTGTGAATAATAATGTCTTTAATCAATATCATGTCATTACTAAGCGATACTCATAATTTGATGAATTGCACAGCATCCTGAAACAGAGGTACAATTGTGTTGATCATCAATAGGGTCCAATTTCTACCTCTATTGCCGTAGAAGAGCAGTGCTCTCCAGTAGAATGTCAATCCAAACCAAAGAAGTGGGTTGCTGCTTCAATATCTTAATGAGTTGATTAAGAATCCGTTGGTTTGTGAGAACCCTCATTTTAGACAGTTCATAGACATTCCCTTTTTTAATTTTGAATCTGACGAGGCAACCATTCCAGAGACTGCCAATTAATTCAATCAAATCTTGAGACATCTGGACAACGATTCGATAGTTAGCAAGATAGATAACATGAAAGTGCGATTGTGGGATTGAATGCTTATATATCTATAAATATGTAATCGGATCTTTTTCGTATTTGAATTGAAAAACAAACAAAACAACATTCTCATTTTCACTTTTGGTATGATAATTGAACTAAATATAAATTTATATTAAATATGAATAGATCTCGCAGGTAGGAATTGCTACAGCTGGTCAATAAGAAACGTAGTTTTCTCTCTCCTCAAATGGGCAAGTCTATCACTAACAAGCCTTTTCGAAGACAGAGTTGTAGATGCACTGAATGTGGAGGAGTGGGGCCTTTTCAAGAAAGATAGAATGCTCAACATCCGCAAACCTACATCAGAGCTCATCATTGTAAGAAAAGAAAACGGAGGATGCAAAGGAGAAAAGGCACCTACCTCACTTCCACCAGTTTGAATGTTGGATAGTCAGAAAACAACACAATCATCCTCCAGAATGCACCCAAGTTAAGAAAGGCTAAGACGATTTCCATCACAAAAGAATTACAGCAAACAATCAGAAAAGGCAAGAGACTTTTAACCAAAGATGATCAGCAAATAAAGTACGAGTTTTTCTATAACAACGAACTTCAGTTATCGAAAGGCTTTTTAGAAAATTCATCGAGTTCCCAAACTTACGAAGCTGCCCTCATATCCTTTGTCAATTTCACCAAATCTCCCAGCTTCGTGCTTAATAGTTATAACAACATAATCAACGAATCCAAAACGAGTTCAGACGACGAATAACATTAAAAACACTTACAAGATAAGCAACTACAATTCACAACTCCTAAAATTAAAATCAAAAATAACTCCATGCATAGTCGAAAACTTACTGAAGGAATGATGCATCCAAATATAAATAAGACTGTCCAGTAATTTGTTTAATCTTGTACAACAATCAGAGTATTGAATTCTCCAAAGCCTTCAAAACAAATCAAACTACCCTCTATCAACTCTAAACGTGAATAAAGCAAATTCTCCGTTTATTTATTGAGTTCTCCTCGAAGAGCAGTAATGGAATTGAAAAGTCAAATTACTTCTTAAAAAAAAATCAAAGTCTTAAAAAAATGATATTATTTATATTATGATTAAAACCCCTTTCAAGTTCTTAAATCAAGATTCAAATTCTCTATTAAAAACTAAGGAATTCAGTCATAGAATAGATACATCAAATTCACAAAGAGACAAGAATTATGAGTATTTATATCATATGAAAATATAATTCCTTTCAAACCTTACATCAAGTCACCATTGCTCAGACATCCAATTGTAAATCATTTTAGAATGTTCCAATTTACATGATCGACGAAGGGTATTATCCAACATTAATTACATTGGTTTAATCAATCTCTTTTAAATCTTGGTTTTTTCTGATTTCATTCTAATCAGCCACCTTGACGAAAGCTTGAGTGTCTGGTATAAAATTGAATCCAAATTCACTGTTCCTGATTCCCTTGGTTAATGGGAAATCACCCAAATCATGGTCAAATTAATTTAGGTTATCTATCGAATAATTGACTTAACATGTTTACCTGTCTATGCATATGAATAAACACTCTTTTCGTCATTGGCTCCATTCATAGTGTTATTACGTCGTTCTGGAATGAACTTTTAAGGCGGCCTAAATTTCATAGAACTTGGTTTAAGATTGGGCAATGAACCCTCCATCAACAAGTCCAGATCCTTAAAGTGATTCAACATATTGTTCCAAAGATTGTCCTATCAATAGATTACATCAATGTACTTTGCACAATACTCTCGCATTCCCTATGATTATCAATCCAAACCTAGCTCTGGTGATTGTGACATTCAATCTCCTAGGATTCGTCAAGAAACCTATGCCTTGAGTGTCATTTGAACGGACACATGAGATAATAATGAAATCCTTCTCTCTACCTTGGAAACCATCCACTGAAGCAACCTCAATGTCTCTGTATTGATTATACGGGAGTTGTCCATTCCTTTGGAGATAGGAAATTATATATGTGCGTTGTCCTTTGTAAGGAGTGATGATTCCGATCTTGTTCAATTTGACTGTGTTCTAGTATAGATAATAAACTGCTTGTTCAACAGCAACAGCCTCTTGAGTGTTCAGATACGAAGTGCCTGAGGCTGACAGTTGTTCCTGTCCTTACACATTGATGAATATCATGGGTTTCTACTTGTTTGGCCAAGGGAAATTGCCAGAATGAGTCCTATCGCTTATGGTGACTCCGTTCTATAGTGTGCCTTCATAGAATGTATTTGAGGGGAAGACTGTTAGTTCAGGATGCATACGATATTAAACCTACAATCTAACAGGTCTTATCCCCAACTGCACCAACCTTTCAAATAAACTCCTGTCCAAACCTACTGAAGCTGCTTCTCGACTTTACACCACTGGACCCAATTGCCTATGATCTCCAACCAAGATCACATGTTGAGCTCCCTTTATCATGGGTAATAAACACTCTGGTTCTATTGCTTAAGTTGCTTCATCAATTAAAACAAATGGGAATCTCATGTCTTTGAGTCTTTTATCAGCTGACCCTATGCATGTAGTACAAATGACATCAGCCTATTCAATGATTTCCTTCTCTGCCTCATCCCTCATTCTTATGAACACTTATTCATCCTTTTAATCTAACTCTCCTTGCTAATCCATCAATTCATAAAACATCTATAATTGGTGATATTATGGGATATCCAAACTTCTCACTTAATTATGTAATGTCAGAAATTCAATAGTCGTACTCACACTCTCTCTTGTTTTACTACAGAGTCTGACAACCTTCACTCCAGTTTTGTTAATTTTCTCAGCCAATTAGTCAACGACAATGTTACTTGGTGCACAAACCAAAATCTATCCTCTTTACTTCTGCTTCTCCAATGCCTTTACTAATTGATGAACAATGGTGGCACTGGTGACAGTCTTACCAGTTCCTGGGGGTCCTTGTATTAATGACAAGGGAGATTTCAAAGCCTTCTTAACTGCATCTGCTTAATAAACATTCAAATCTGGGAGGTTGGGAGCAGATAACTTTTGTGGAATATTCTCCACTTTAGTTGGAGGAGCCAAAGTATCTATTCTACCCAAAATCATCTTATAAATGTAATTGCTAGTTGAACTCTCATTTAAATTGAAAGTCTTTAATCCAATTTACATTCTTTTAAATGTAGTTGACACCCATATGCATTCTACAGTGTAACCCTCATCTGTATTATTGGGAGGGGGATCATTCTGATGTAATTCCAAACAGATTTCCTCATTATTAATAACTTTAACCACAGTTCCCTTGGATTGCCAAATGGAATTTCCAGATTTTAAACTTAATTGCATTTCACTTCCTTAAAGAGTGTTTGTGTCGAATTCTTCTCTGCCTCCATACAAGAAGTAAGCCAATCTCTTTTTCTTCAAACTCAAATCCCATTTCACCTTCACACTCTGCAACACCTGACCTTCCTTAACTTGCTTGTCTTATTCTTCTTCCAATTTCACCAACGGAGAAAATACTTGCTAATAGTGATTGGCATCTCTGTATCTCAATTGCACCTCTTTCAATTATTGGTTTGGACCCTTTCGATCGAAATCTTCGAATTTTAATTATGGCTTTTGCTTCCTTTCCTCCTCGTACTGATTTATACGTTCCAAGGTAACCATCCGGGACTAGACGAATAATTAGTGAATTCGAGTACATTCAATTTTTCTCCTTGTCCCAACAACCATTCCTTAATGCACTTGTCCCTGATGAGCGGCTCATAATCATTTGAGTCCCAAGTAATTTTGTCGGACTGTTTCAGTGGGAGGCATCCTCGACACAGAATCAAGATGTTCTCCTCTTCATCCACCCTAACTATCAAGAATGTTCAATAATCCATACCATTAACTTATCCAAGAGTGAACATGTTCTTCTACTCGCAAATGTAGCACTCTATCGTCGTGATTTGCACCTTGTTCTGCTCATGCAAACTAATTTAACTGTGCTTGCTCTTAATCAAATGAAGGATTATGTGAGATCCACTTTTGGTCGCACAATTGCAATACCATCTTTTGCATTATAAACACTGTGCCACTGCATTAACATCCGATTATAAACAATATCTAATTCATGTCCAATACATACTCGCAAGAATAATCCGCTACCTGAATTTGTTGCTCTGTTGGCCTTTTTACTTTATCGAATATTTCTGTCATACAAACTCTTTGGCAATAATAAATTAAATTAAATTCAATAAAAGAATTTTATATAAAACTATGTAAAAGCAAAAACCTTAATTTACACAACATTAGCCTAAAAATGCAAATCTCACTTAAATTAATATTAAATAATGAATATTTAAATCTAATTATTTTTAAATTAGTTAAATTCTAGGAATTTTTTAAATAATAATAAGTAAAATTTCTAGATTTCCATTTTAATGCATCATCCATAAGAGTTATTGTAATTGAATGAGTTGAGAATATTAATATCAATCTATAGATTCTACATTAAAAAAACTAGATCTATTTGGATGTTAATAAGTTTTCATTAACAATAAGATGGAAAATCTCCAAAATGAAATAGAATAAAATATAAATTCAAATATATTAATATAGCAACTATTATTATGATCATTAATTGTTTGTAATCGTACATATATTAATGATTAAGAAATTCATAATATAATGAGATTGTAATTGATATTGTTTTATTCCAGTCGAGGAATGTTGATTTCTAGTCTTGTAGATTTGTTATTTAAATATAAATAATTAAAGTAAGAATGAACGAGAAAGGTTATTGTAATGATAATTATATTAAAAAAAGTATGAAGAAAAGTAATCTTATTGATGATAATTTAGAAGGAAGAATGATCTTGTAGAAGAGCTCAGAGAAAACTTGGCTGTGAGGACGAAAAATATTTCAATGAGAAATAGTGGGGATAGGAAGCTGCATTATAAGGGTTGGTCAATGACTTTGAGGAATTGAGACTATCAGTGGAGAGCAAGAATGCAAGGATCAAAGTGTGAATCAATAGCAATAAATAATTGATGGTTTATTCGATAATTTACAGAGTACGTGCATGACTTGGTTAAAGAGGGACACAGTCTGATTGAGAAAGATATCCTGTTGGAGGAGATCAAGACATTGGGGAAAGGTAAGCATGTGGAAGTGTTGGCTTAAAGAATATAGGCAATATGGGTTAGAGAACATTGTATTTGGGGATTCTGGAATTGATGAGCTAATAATTAAGGGATGCAGTTCTTAGCAATTTGGAGGTAGATGAATACAAGGAATAAGAGAATATTAGATTATAATAAAATGAGTGGAGAGATCAGAAAGTATTTGTGTAGTCGAATATTCAAGTTCTTTGGCTGAGAGTGTGAGATAATATTAAGAATTAGAAGCTCATTATCAGAGTTAGGTGAGTACGAGTTGAAAGTAGGAACGATGAAAGGTATGATTTAATCATAATAGTTAAAGACAATTCATATCTGATAGAGTACGGGAGACTTAGAAATTAATAAATGACAATATATATCGAGATGGTCAGTAGAAAGTGAATGAAAAGAATTAAATTTTTAATATAATGAACATTTTATTCGAAAAACTTAACCCGTTAGTTACAAAGTGTGGTCTTGATAATATGGATGAGATTGAGATCCTAAAGGGACCATGCAAAAAAATCGGAGTTCGTCCAGCTCACGTTGTGTTTATTTGTGCAGTTGTTTCTGTGGCCAGCATCGTACTAGGAATTGCAGCACGTTTTCTAGCCACTTTCGTATCCATGATATATCCTGCTTATAGAAGCATTAAAGCAATAGAATCAGACAGTACACAGTATTAACTAACATGATAGACAAAGAAGATGACAGACAATGGCTATCGTATTGGATATTGTTCTCCCTCCTCACCTTGGCAGATTCGAGCATAGGATTTGTTTTGGAATTCATACCATTCTACCACGTGATTAGATTGGCGTTGTTTGTCTTTCTCTTCCATCCATCATTCAATGGAGCAGAGAAGGTGTACAAAACTGTAAGATAGTTCTCATATTGTTATAGGTTGTTCAACCTGTTTATTTGAAATACCATAAGCATATTGATTAAAAGATAGATTAAGTGACTAACAAGGTGAAAAGCCAGAGTATCTATTGATAGATTTACATTAATAGTATAATTATGTTCAAATAATAAATATATTGCTATTATAAAGTTTCTAATATAATTATTCTACTTTTTAATTAATAAGGGGGGGTAGGTTAAATTAGAGGGATCGAGATTGATTAAATACAAAATAAAATTTATAAAGTATATGAGTTTGAACCCGATACCTGAGGTCTAATGTGAGGTCGACCAATAAGACTTGATTGAAAAATTGCTGTGTAAGAATCGCTTTCTTGAGAAGCGATGCAATTTCTACAAAAGGAAGAGAGAGTTCTTGATAATCTAATTACATCAAGCAGAGACTCCAAATAACAAATTGTCAGAATCCAAGGTCTCAGTGTCATCAGCAGCCAATTGCAATCTTCCAACAATGCCTGATGAAACTGATTTGATCCAAAAATACTAAGATGAATTGCAATTAAAAGAGACTATAATTTTGGAACTGAAAGAAGCAGTTGCTGCACTTGAAAACAAGGTTAATAATTTGTAAGCATGCAATGACGAGATGCAATATCAATTATCAAAGAAGCAGCAAGAATTTGTAAGGAGTGATAAAGTGACTCAGTCAGGTATATAAATATATGATGGATATAAATAGTTATCATCCCAAAATCTACTAGTCAGACTGAAAAGGCGATGGCAGTCATTGACAAATTCGTTTAGCCTATCTCATCCAGTTCATTCAAGTCCACCGATGGCAAACCTCAATCGACTGAGGAGAAGAGGAAATTGATAAAGAAATTAAGTATGCATGCTGGAGCTTCTGCCTATATGATGGCCATGAAGGGGGATTATACGACATTGCAGAATGCTTCGGAAGAGATCTAGAGCAACAAGAGTGTGGAACAACCATGAATTAATTAATTTAATGTATAAATTTGTTGTTGTTGTTGAGGAAATACAAATGTATTTTGCTTAGGCAAATACAAAATTTGTTTATAAATAATTATGTAAGAATCAGATATTGAATCTCAATTTTTATATCAATCGATCATTTAACAATAGGAAGGAGTGGAAGAGAAACAAATATAGGTGAGCAGATTGACGGAATCCAATCAAATGCAGGATGAGTCCGTTTAAATCAATTTAGATTCTGAGATCATCTCTTAGTTGAGGGAAGAGATTGTGCAGTTGTAGAAATTGAATCAGAATCTAACTGAGCAGATCAAGCAGAAGGATAATTAGATTGCTTAATTGAATGAGAGAGTGTAAAGACAATCCCTATTGAATGAGACTTTTCAAATTGCTGAAGTATAACTAAAATAATAAGTTGAAGAGTTGAAGAAGAAAATTGCAGAACTCTAAGAGTAAATAATCTCATACCCTCCTCTCCTGCAGAGTGTATCTAAACCCAACCTGGATTTCAGTTGGGTCAATCACATGGAGAGAGATCTCTCTCATGATGGTTTGTTGGAACGATACGATCGTTACAAATCCAACAAACGTCTTGCTCCCATTCAGGTTAAACCCTACTCTGAGAAATTCAAATACAACAACCAACACAACAGTCCTTACTTCGAACAACTGACCGAGAGAACTCAAAACATTCAAAGGAAAAGAATCAATTAAAATAAATAATGATTTTGTTCATCTGTTTCACATTGATATTTACTAAAGAATTAAATCAACATCTCAGGATTAGCAACTGTTCCCCTGGATTACCATATTTTTCAGTTTCCAAACCCATCAACAACCCCAAGTATTAGATGACCCTCCTTCTCGCCACTCACAAAGCATGCAAAGCCTGTTGCATTCATGAAGTCATTTTCAAATAATTACTGCAAGACCTCCCCAAACAAGTAAACTTCTTGAGAATTGAATTAGAAGGTATATCTCTCTACCACTTTTAGATAATGTCTCCTTCATAGAACAATACCAAATCAAACGATTTCCAGCCATCTTTCTGGAAACCAAATCTGGAGTCATCTATCATTATAACGACCTGCTTCACTATGAAACCCTCCTCTCCTTCATCCACTACTACTTGAATGGATTGCAATTCACCCAATTTCACTCTCTCCAAGAGATCGAGTCTGCCATCAATAATTAGCATAATTAGCAATCATTATATGACATTTATATCATCGGATTATTCTATGATCAAGTGGAATACCATGATGAAATCAAACACTTTACTCAACAATGTAAGAAGCTCTATAATTATAGAATCAAATTTGGATTCTTAATGTAAAAATCAGAAATTAAAAACATCTATTCAAAGTTTAACACTTATTCCCATATTTTAATATCCAGATTTCCAAATCATTATTAATTTGTTGACGATTTGTTGGCTCAACCAATTGTGCCATTAATCAATGAATTGAAGTTTGACAATTCAAAATACTATCTAGGACATGCACTTATCGTGATGGATTCCATTTAGGATAATCAGAATTACTTACTCAAAATACAAAAGATCGCACTCTAATTACCCTCTCTAAGATTCGCTTGGATTGATGGAAATTTGAATGAAGATCGATTGTAGATGTTGGGAATAGAGAAATTCGATCAAGAAATCAAACTGACAATCTTCAACTTGGATTCAAATGCTAATGCCATCTACAATGGAGATTTGCATAATCTCACTACCATATTCACTTTCTATAAAGACTTCCTCTCCATGGACTCCAAACATTTTCACTAAAAATACTCATTCATCAAAAAGGAGTAAAACAAATCTCCCTCGCAACCCTACATTTAATACAATGAAAATACTCTCATCATTCTGATACCGCAATATGATGAACATCATACCAAAATAATCAAATAGTTACAATAAGTAAACAAGAAGTTTCATAATCAATTTCATGTTTCCTACTACGAAGCCAACCAATTCAAATTAATTTATTATTATAATTCTATCGTTCATTAGCTGTCCATCGAATCACTTGAAACAGCTTTGAGGGAAATAGAATAAATCAACACAGATGTAAGATTTCCGCGTGAAATTCCATTACTTATAAATGATCAAAATTTAATTGATTTTCTATTAATATAATAATAATGATAAACGATTAAATGATTAAGAGATTGGAAAAAGAATTCGAGTAAGTATAAAACGCCATAGATGAAGGTGTCATTGATAACATTACAGTTGCCATCTAATATGAAAACAACTCAGCAAACTACACCAAATGGGATGTGGTAATCTACGGAAGAGAAAATACCATATGGTAAGGAGGTGAATTCGCAGGTACTTTAGAATTCCCTTAAAACTATCCTACTGTATCACCAACCTACACTTGGAAGTTATACTCCAAAAACAGATTTCTACATATGAACATTTATTCATCAGGCAAAACTTGCATTGACATTCTCAATGATAAAATAGGATATTCGCCAGCCAAAACCTGTGTAGAAATACTGAAAGCCTTGGAAGATTTCCTTTATCGTCCTAATCCAAAGTCCCCCACAAATGCTGAATTAGCTAAAATTTTTGAACAAGACTTACCTAAATACGAATTAATGATTAAGGAATTTGTTTAGAAATATATGGAAGAAAAAAAAATAGCAGAATAAAAAAAAAAATGAGTATTATTGTTAAATTAATATATATATATTTAAAAATAGATCTTAAAAACTTGCAAAAAATAGTTCATTATGATTTTTGAAATCTCTGCAATCTGTTTTACCTGCTGTTAAATCTTAACTATTTAATGCAATATTAATCTCAAATACAAATAAGATAAATGTACTATTTTTAGATATATCTTGTGTAGACTCTCTTATTCATATTGCTTCTTTAATATTATTATAGTAAGGTAAGCAGTATTAATCATTGGTGAATACGAAAAACAGAAGCTTCACTTAATATTGTATACCTAGTATCCTATTTGGATTAATATTTTAGATTCATTTTACATAAACTACTGTCTCATATGATTAAATTCATGTATCTATAAACTTAAAAGTATAAATATCGTTTTAAGCATGAGATTAAGATCATATATTTATTGCTCTAGATATTTTAATATAAGATATATTGGTCAATTTTATTAAAGAAAGATCATTAGTATTAATATATTAGGATTTGTAGATTAATCAAATTAAGGGTGTTAAAAACAATGTTCTAGTCACTTTTTAAATAGACTATTTATCAGATATGTGATAAGTGGACTACTGATCTATATAATAAGTATTCTATGGAAACATCTATTATTTAAAGGTTCTTATCCAATTAGGTTCATCATCTGAATGTATATAATAGAATAGGTATTCTTTTAATGATATAGTAATTGCCGAATTTATAAATAATTATATATATTATAAAATTAATTATGGACAATTCAGAGTAGGAAAGAAGAAGAATTGAGAGAAAATTGAAATACAAAATGCCTGTAACATTCAGATGGGGTGCTCTTCTTGGATTATTTGGAGGTATCATACATGGAGGTCTCAGTGGAGGAAGAATATTTTATTCATTCTCTCATAGTGTGGGTGGAGCACTTGTGATTGGTTTGGGACTATGCTACCATGATTTTTATTTATATGCCAGAACATATTGGTGATGGTTTTTTATGAATATTATTTATTTCATCCAGGTCTAGCCCAATTCTTAGCAGGGGGTAATTCCCTTAAGGAAAGTTTGTCATATGGTGTATTACGTCTATAATAGTTGATAAATGCATTACGGTTCATTGGAATCTTTCTTAACAACTGAATTCCATGAGGAAATCTAGTATCCTTACCATCCATATGCAATAAAGATGAAAAACACCCATGGCAATATTCTTGTATTCATAACTGGAGTGTGAATGTTGAAAATTCCATTCCTCTCAAAAGATGTTGTTCTTCTGAACCATGCCATTGTTGCAGGAGTACGACCTACGCTTAATTAATATTTTTTCACTTGTGGTGGCTGTTCTTCTGACTAGTCCTTCGATAAATGAAGGGATTTCTGGTTGTACTTCAAATTTCCCAACATTTGCAGCCAAATAGTCAGATTTCTCTGTCATAACTAACAATAGCATTACATTATTGTAATTATCCAAATTCAGGGCCAACCTTCTCATATTTGTTTTAGAAGAGTGGATCAAATTTGCCGAAGGTTTTTGTCTCAGGTATATAATTAGTCATAAGAATTATTATTAAATTATATTATCATTTAGTACTTTACAAACATTTTTTTTACCATAAATTTTAATAACAGATCTCCTTTTGACTGATTAGCCATTTTGTGGATATCAAAGCCAGTCATTATTTATTCGAATTTATCACTCGCCTCTCTCTCTCTCTTTCTGTCTATTAAGAATGTCTTTCATTGTTTGATCAATGAAGAATAAACATTAAACAATGAAAGACATTCAAATTTTGAAATTCGTTTGTTCACAATCATTGTTATTTAATTATAAATATGCAATCATTTTAATCCCTTCTATATTTACTTTAAATGTGGAAAGTTTTAGTTGTGATTAAAATACGATGTTAAATTATAGAATGGTTTAAATATTCTATAAGAAAAAAAGAAAATCCGAATGAGAAAACTGAGAAGCATTCATCAAACATTTCAAAATCTCAATTTATATAAGTAATAAGGGTAGTAATAACATCATTATTTGAGTATTCCTTTTACAGGTGTTTTGGATGACGATGGTACGTTGCCAGTGTAAAATGTTGATATAAAGTCCACTCTTTAAGTTCTTTTGAATTTGCACACTGAATTCTGTGATTTAAACTACACTGAGAAATCTCTGATTTGAACATCCTCAATATCTCCTAAGGGTTTGAATGGTTTGTTTAACTGTAATTATGAGTTCATTTGTATTAATTTATGTCAATTTAATTGAAATGCGATTTAATCCTTTTTCTTAATTGGATCCGAAATTATCGTAATTGAATTCCATGATTTAATTAATAATCCAAATTCATTTTCCATATTCCGAAGATCAAAGTTGCTGATTGTTGGAGTAAAAATATTAAAAATTAGATTAATCTAAAAACAAGTTGTATCATAGCGGAAGGTTTTGGTAATTTTTGAGTAAGAGAAATATTTGAATGAAGAAAAACCAATAAAATTTGGGAAAGGAATTTGAGAAAAAAAAGAAATTTGTTTAAATTTAATTTAAAAAACAAAAAAAACAAAGGCTCAACTAATTCATAAACTTATAAGGGCATCTAAGTTAGTAGTGGTCATTTTAAACATAAAAATCCTCCTATTAGTCTAATTCAAAATATTGATGACTTTTTAATAAGAAATATAACTACAATGATATTTGTAGGTAAAACAAAGAATGGGACAATAATTAACCAATATAATTGATGAAGCTTGAACAAACTGATTGGATCTCTATATAATGTATTTTAATTTATATCATCTCTTCTAATATATATGTTTAAAGTAACACTTAATATAAATAAATTATGGCATTTTCTATAATCTTGCATTATTTATTTTATGTTAGAATCATTTCCCTTATATCTAGGTTATGTTATTTTCGACTCTTATCAGATTCTAATAATTAAGAAAGTAAGATAGCTTATTATTAATTTTCTGGGATTTTTAAAATTTATTCAATTTAGATTACTTTATTCAATTAGATTACTTTATTCATCTCATAACAATCCCTTCAAAAGGTTTTTTCGGAAATCTCAAATGTTTTTTTAACTCTAGGTATTAGTATTATGCATAAACCAAAACATTTTTAAAGACTTTGAGATTCTTTGTGTGATTTAAATTATAACCAAGAATTTAAAGAGGATGGTTAAATTGTTTGTAGAAGAAATAGACATTATTACTAATAGTTGGACAAAGATATAGAAGATAAAGGGAGCAATCAATTATGTAGATAAGTTTTGAAATTGGAACCAAGAAATAAGATAATTTATTAACTTGGATCTCTAAGTATGATTTGCTATAAATTATACTGATAGCGAGGGATCAATTTTTTATTGCCCATAAATGTTTCCGTTATAAAACAAAGTAGAGTATCATAATGAATATCTACTTGCTAGACAGGGTTTGAAGATTTATATAGTGAAATTGTTCTAAATCAATTTCAAAACCTCATAAGAAATATTTAAAGACTGGTCTATTATCTATTAATTACATTTGGGTTTATCATTTTAATTAATTCTTTTTAATGTTTAAATTCATTGCCAAAACTAAACCAAAGTATTCCCTCTTTAAAGAACTTTGATTTAATATGGCAGTCATCATGATTAAAACAATCTATTTAAAACATTTGTAGTTTGGGTTGATTAGGATGAGTTGATTTCAAAGTAAAAATTTAACTACAACATAAAATATTAATTATAACAATTGAATATCATCTAGACCTATCATACAGCTGTTCTCAAGTCCAAATAAATCAAATATTGACTGAGAAATGTGTGAGTATAAATACAAAATAAATAATTTGAAACCTTCAATTAGAGAACGCTAGCTAGCAAAGTCCCTTAGAATTAGTAGAATACCCATTTAAAGGAGTGAGAATATTAAGAATCTGATTTTTGCTTTGAATTGAGTAAAAATAAGTTAGTTGTGGTATTTGTTGAATCCAATAAGTAGGTCGTATATAAATAGAAGAGGAGTTTAATGGTATGATAATAAATTACTCATTATATACTTTAGTATGTCATTTTTTGTTTTGCTTCTCTTATTTTGGGTTATTTGCGAAATAAATCTTGAGGCCTGTCTTGTCATTTTTATCAAAACGGTATCCCTAAGATATTTTAATGCTTTATGAATAACTTGAAGAGTCTGCATAACTATAGTAGCTTGGAAGGCATCATCGAAATCTACGAAGCAGAGCAAATATTCTCTTCCCTTTTGTGTTTACTTTTTAATTAGACGGACTCTTTGGAACCCTGGATAAGGACGAAAAATATCTAATGTATATTGAGGTTTGATACGTGCCACTTCTCGTTCTTGCGCATCATTTGGAATTCCTATTGTACTTATTATTGAAGATCTTACCGTCAACGTAAAGTGAGTGGGTAGAGTCTTTTTAAGGTTGAAATTGCTAATTGTCTCGAATCAATTCAAAATACTGATTATTGAACATGGGATTGGGGTATTGGTTATTGAACATTAAATATATATAAAAATTATTAATATATTAAATGGATAAGTCATAACCTATCAAGAGGTCATCGAAACAAAGAGACATTGATAATTAAGAGAAACCGTAAGTAAGGCAATCCTTTTGACATAGTCTAAAATAATGCAGGATACACAATAGAGCAGTTAATAATATATAATAACAGATGCCACTTTCGAATTGATCATAAGAGAGAGAGATGCCTTGATAGAGAGGCTGGAGTCAGATCAAAGATAATTAAAATCTCAACTGGACCAAAAGAAATTAGAATTATATGAACTCTCATAAAGATTCGCATCCCAAAGGGGGAACCACCTCATCAAACTATAATAGTCAGGCATCTAACTTAAGTAAATTCAGCCGGATGCAGATGCTTATAAATGACTTACTTAATTAATTATAATTTTTATATTAAAAGTTTCACACCAAACATCTTATCAATAAATCAGTAGTAGTAGAGATTTTTTTTTAATACTAAATTCTATATTACTCTTTTCAATTCTACCCTATTATTCCGATGATTAATAGCCAAATACAATTACAACTTATTATTAAATATATTATAACCAATGCCAAGAATATTGTTATTGCTATCCTGCATCTTGTTTTTGAGTTAATCGAGTTTCGTCGATGATATTGAATATCTGACAGAAATCAACAATAATGTTGTTATTGGAATATTCACTCAACCCTCAGATCCAGACTATGTTGATTACCCCTCTAGTTAATATTCTTATTTGGCTGCATCTTATGTTAAATTTGTCGAAATGGCTGGAGCAAGAGTTGTACCCATTCCGTATGAGGCTGACAACACCATTTTAGAGAAATACTTTTTAGGCATTAATGGTATCATCATCCCAGGAGGTGCATCTGACCTTGATACTCCAACTGGTCCATCCAAATTTGCTAAGGCTGTTGCTTATATGGTTAATAGAGCACTCCAAGTGAATGAAGCTGGTGAAGTATTTCCTGTCTTTGGAATATGCATGGGATTCCAAACATTGCACTACATTATCTCTGGATACAAAACTCCCTTCCTTTATAGAGTTTATGGGGAGAACGGTATCAGCCACTCATTAGAAAATGGAGATAGAAATTTTGCATTATATAAAGATTTCGATGACGACACATATTAGGCAATATAGACAAACCAATATTTATATTACAGTCACAATTGGGGGGTGAGTCCAGACTTGTATAAAAAGTATCCCTCATTAGATGCATTCTTCAAAATCACTGGAACCAATTAGGATAATAAGGGTTAAACTTTTGTTGCCTCCATGCAAGGAAAACAACATCCTGTGTTCGGTGTTTAATATCATCCAGAGAAGAATATCTTCGAATGGAAAATTTCAGCTCCTCATAGTTATTTGGCTGTCAAGGTATCAGCCAATCACATTGATGCCTTTGTCAATTATGCCAGGTTGAACAGCCATTAATTTAATGCTGAATAATTGAATAAGGCTGTGATCTACAATTTCAAGACTGTGCAAGAGAAGAATGCTTCATTCGTCTAAGTATACTTTTTTAAAAATGGGGAGTTGAGTTTATGATATTATATGAAAAAGGAATATTATGAAAATTTTTAATTATAACAGTTAATTTAAATATTAATGAAGCAGAACAACGAGAACAATTATGTGAGAGTGTCATATAATAACTTTATGACTACTCGCAATCGATAGTTTGGAAATGAACTCACGAACTTTTAGCGAATCCCCACTCGTTCTGCTTCTCAATTCATATGTTCAAAGCCCATTCTTAAAATGGAAGAGGAAATCATCCCTCCAGAATTTGTGAACCCATACGTAGTTGATATATTTGAATACCTATGTGTCAATCAACATAAGTTCATGTGTTAGACTCCATTTTATATGAATTTATAATTGGATATCACAAATCAAATGCGTTCAATTCTAATAGATTGGCTAGTGGATGTACATCTCAAATTTAAGTTACAACCTGAAACCCTTTACTTAACAATCAACCTTATAGATCGCTATTTGTCAAAAAACACAATCATGAGAAATAAACTACAATTGGTTGGGATTGCATCTTTATTCATAGCCTCTAAATTTGAAGAGATCTATGCACCTGAATTGAAGGATTTCGTGCATGTCTGTGACAACGCCTACACCAAAGAAGAAATCTTAGGTATTTCTCCAACCCTATCAACAATTAGAAATGGAAAGCAAAATCCTTTTGACTGTCCAATTCAGCTTGACTTACACCTCACCACTTAAATTCTTAGAACGATAGATTCAAGGAGCCAACCTTTGCGATAAAATCAACTATGCCTCCCGCATGATCCTAGAATTGTCCCTACTAGACATTAAATGTTTAAAGTAACCATTACAATCACAACCCCTTTAGGTTTTCTTCCTCATTGCTAGCCACCACCTCCATACTCCTTGCCATCAATATGCTAAGATCTCCACAAGTTCTTCCCTCATCCTTGCATTATATTGAAGACTAAGAGGAATTAAGACAATGTTTATCAGAATTCCTACCTGTTATTTCACTTTTAAAAAGTTTCAACATGACCGCAATCAGGAGAAAGTATCAACTGGAAAAGTTCAATAAAATCGCAGATGTCATCCTAACCATCCTCCCTAATTAATAATGAATCCCAAATATATAATTAAAATAATAATCAATTAAATTTTATCAATCTTAATCCATATAGATGAAGAATTTAGTAATATTAAGTCAGTCAATAACATTGGTGTGGTTTTAAACGTTTTCTTTAGGTTTCAGTCAATCTAATAATTATTATTCTAAGTCTTCAAATCTCATTGAACCTGATATTATTCAATCCCTTTAATGAAATAAACCAAAGGTTTGTCTCATTTGGAAAATAAATTTAGGATTTGAAATCAATGCGATTGCACATATTATCTTATCACATCTTCGTTGTGATGTTCCACACAATAAATAACTTTGAATTTGTGCTTATGTTCTAAAAGTTTTCTCATTTTGTTTCTCCGCCTTGCATCTGCATTCTATTTGTGAACGTTTGTAATCTAAAATATGAATATAAATCGATATATTGCATGTAAAAATTATTATAAATAAAATATTAATTAATATATCAATGTAATAAACCAAGAAGTTTACTATTCGTAGGTCTACAGTAATGTAAAAACAAAAGATTGAAACAAGTAAAATATATATTTCATTACAGTTCCACAAAAACCTGTGAGTAAGATTCCCCAATAGTCCCCAGTCTAACAAGCTTAATTAGAAAATACTTCAAATCTACTTACGTATTGATATAAATTGAACTATATTTAGTAAAGATGAATAAAAAAAACTTTTGAATGAAAATGAACAACTAAGATAGCAATTGAAGGATAAGTGTTATGAATATGATAAAAAAATTTCAAATATGAGTGAAGTATTATAATTCTTATTCTTCTCATAGCTTAATAAATAACTAGAAAGAGAACTGAAGAAAAGAGAAGAAGAAATTGATTATTTTATTTCGAAAATTGATGTTAAGGATAAGGAAATAAAACACCAAAAGGACCTAATTATTAAATTGAAAGGCAAGAAAAAAGATTACAAAAAAAAATGTTAGGAAATATAATCATAGCACCAATAACATTAACATGATCCATTTCAATAATTATTGGAAATGAGGGCACTTCTTCTTTAACTAAGAATGACAGCCCAAGTGCTGCCACTTTTATAACAATAATAAAGACTACGTCAATATTAAACTCAAGCCATTGATGTAGACAACATGAGTTATGAATAATTGCTATAGTTGGAAGATTAGATCGGGTATTCTTAAATTTAATATTATCAGAAATGTGTCAAATGGCATAGCAAGGGAAGATATCAGAAGAATTCGTAAAAGAGTTATTCAACAAAGTGACAATATCTAAGGAGTCTGCCCAGTTTGTCAATGCAACATGGAAATAGGTGAGAAATATCGAAAACTGGGATGCAATCATTATTACCACTCTAAATGCATCAAAAGTTGGTTATTGTAGCATAATAACTGCCCTATTTGCAAACAGACTGTAGTAATTGCTATTTGATTATTTAAAAATAGCTGATTTATTATTCTATTAATTATTTTGCACAATCCAGCATATTTTTCCCTTTCTTTACCTACTTAAGGGTTAGTAGCTCATTATGCTTTCTATATATTATTATGTGGAATTGAAAGTTTTTAATGAGATCATGTTTTTAACTTTACATAAGTATAAAAGAAGAATAGGTTGAAGGTATCCAAAAATTCTCTTTAATGGAAAGGAATAATTCCTTTTGTAAAAGAATTTATTGATGCTTTCCAATTCAATTTAAATGAATAGCACCAATCTCAAAAATAAATTAACTTGTTAGATTGTTTTTTTACATTAGATGGACAAATCAAATTTACAGAGCTTTATATACAATTCTCAAATAAGAATTTATTGTACTTTGGAAACATAGTCTATTTGATTTTCTTAGTTTCTTAACGAAAAAATGTTTATCACTTGATTATTTGTAGCTTAAAGAACATTAATTAGGAAGGAAGTAAATTTAGATCGTGAAGATGTGAGTTGATATTTTTATATCATTACAGATCATTTAAATCACAATTTAAAATAAAAATAGTTCCTAAATCAAAATATACTATAAAAAATAGTTAGTCTTAATGCTTTTACAATTTATTATCGATAGTAATTAATTTTGAAATAATAGTTTTCAATATTATCATATATAAAAGAGATACATAATATGTAGCAAATATAAATTGAATATATTATAACAATAACTTGAGCGATAATCCAATAATAGGTAAATTAGCTTTAAATTAAATTACTCTGTTTCAATTGAAATCTTTTGCATAAGTTCTTTTAGATAATCCTAGAGAAATTAAGTTACTCAACTTAAATTTAACGATAAGGTAAAGTAACCTTAAGACAAAATGACCATGATAATAATAAATATGTAGTATTAATTTAAATGAATGGTAAATGATTGGACATATATTAATAAATCAAATTGTAAATGCTAATAATAAAGCCATGAAAACAAAGGTGATGATTTTTGAAAATGAGCATTCTGAACAGCTATCACTAGCAAAACCTTAAGCAGCACATTCTTGATCACAGTCGGGACATTTTTCTGCTCCTTCAGCTTTGATGCATTCTAGTTCATTAGTTTCACCACTTACTGCATCATATGTAGTTTAAGCCAAAAGTCTTCTTGCTCCTGTTTAGGTGTTCGATAAAGTAGAGGTAACTTTAATTGTGACTGATCTCCAAGCAATTTCAGCCTTTAATTAGATAATAACTTGGCCTTTGACTGAATTATTAACTGAAACTATTGTTGCTTTCTTATTCAATCCATTACCAGTATACCAGACTTCAGTTCCAGTCAAAAAGTAGTTCATATTTAGAGTTGTAACAACTTATTGTAGAACGAATTGATCATTTAAATGCAAATCTGGTGTTGCAAATGCAGTGCAATTTAAATCTGTACACCATTTTAAGGTTGTATCTGCTTTTGTGACGCAAGCTGCATTAGGAGTACATCCTATTGTTGATGATTAACTTAATGGCTTGAATGCTGTATCAACTGAAGCACCAGTTGCTCTATCAATAGTGACAGAGAATTCAAAATAGAAAGTGTATTAAACTTAATCAGTTCCTGCTGCATAATAAGAAATAGCATAATAGCCTTTGTAAATGAATTAATTAGAATTTGTTGTTTAAACTAATCTAGTTTCTAACTCCTTTCCTGGAATTGTGAATGTATAGTATCTCCATTATTTTTAAAAGTTATTTGAAGCGGGTTATGGGTAAATCAGTAACTTATACTGGATTAGAATAACTATTTGAAGTGAATTTCCATAATTTTAGGTCAAGACATGTGGTGGCTGCTGTTTTTCCATCTTCTTGAACAAGACCAAAATATGTTGCATCATTGAAGAGATCAACATCGGAATATCTAAGGTTCACCTTAACATCAGTGGATCCACTAACAAATGCAATATCTCCTGTAAATGCCAACTTTGTTGCTCCAGTTCCATCAGGATTATTAGCTGTTCCAAATTTTTGTAAATATTTATTGCAGTTCTCGGAGTTAATATCAAGCCTTTAACCTAAGGTAAAAGCAACTAAGAATGCTACAATGATTATTGTTTTCATGTTAATTAAAATAATACTATAATCTCATTTTAAACCAAGCTAAAATCCTAAATTTTTATATTTTTTTAATCGATATTCTATTTGATATTTGTAATATATATTTAGAAATTAATTTTTTTCATTTTTTGCTTTAAATCATCCTTATTAAAAAGATTTCTTATAATTCTTATAAACTTATCCTTCCATTAAGATAGCATTATAATGATACATTAATTGAATTTGAATGAATAATTGTAAAGTTTTATACATAATAATATACATTAATTTATTCTAAAAATTAAGTTATGATGGCAGATAAGGTTAAGGGTTTTGATTTAATCAATAGAATTTTAGTTTTAATAATTTCAAAACTAAAATGCTGAGTTATCTCCTTTGTGCCTTTATTTGCTTGGAGATAAATTATTAAGATAATGATTAATGGCTTATCTTAATGTTAAAGGACAAGACTATTAATTGATCAGATAATTAGAATACAATAAAATAAAAATTCATAATAAAGAAGTATAATATATTTTATAAATCTTTTGGATAAATAAAAATTTGAATATATAGAATGAACAACCATAGAATAATAATGGTGAATTCATGATATTTGATTTTATCTATCTATCTTACTTTTCTTTATATTTTATTTCTTTCCATTAGACTCACTCCATCTGACGTATGTAATCCTTGATTAAAAATTAGTATTATTGAGAATTTTTTCTATAATACCTTTTATATGATTTTGCTATTGATTAGTTTGAAATTATAAAACTAATAGTCGATATTAAAATAAAGTAGAAAAAATTGGATCAATAATTTAAAAATTTGGCGCCAATATAATATTTCCAGTTGTTAGAAGAAATAATAGTCAGAAAGAATGAATTCGATCTATTTAAATCCAATAGTAGATTGTAAAGAAACTAATCTTATGATTAAATGTTAATATATTAAGTAACAAAAGATTAGGGAAACTTTAAACATGAATAAATGAATACTTCAAATTGAATATAATTAAATGGGATCTTAAATGGGTGACTATTCGGAAGGGTAGTTAATAAAATTCTTTAAAATCACTATTTCATATTGATTAAGCAAAAAATGAAAAAAATTAATTTCTAAATATATATTACAAATATCAAATAGAATATCGATTAAAAAAATATAAAAATTTAGGATTTTAGCTTGGTTTAAAATGAGATTATAGTATTATTTTAATTAACATGAAAACAATAATCATTGTAGCATTCTTAGTTGCTTTTACCTTAGGTTAAAGGCTTGATATTAACTCCGAGAACTGCAATAAATATTTACAAAAATTTGGAACAGCTAATAATCCTGATGGAACTGGAGCAACAAAGTTGGCATTTACAGGAGATATTGCATTTGTTAGTGGATCCACTGATGTTAAGGTGAACCTTAGATATTCCGATGTTGATCTCTTCAATGATGCAACATATTTTGGTCTTGTTCAAGAAGATGGAAAAACAGCAGCCACCACATGTCTTGACCTAAAATTATGGAAATTCACTTCAAATAGTTATTCTAATCCAGTATAAGTTACTGATTTACCCATAACCGCTTCAAATAACTTTTAAAAATAATGGAGATACTATACATTCACAATTCCAGGAAAGGAGTTAGAAACTAGATTAGTTTAAACAACAAATTCTAATTAATTCATTTACAAAGGCTATTATGCTATTTCTTATTATGCAGCAGGAACTGATTAAGTTTAATACACTTTCTATTTTGAATTCTCTGTCACTATTGATAGAGCAACTGGTGCTTCAGTTGATACAGCATTCAAGCCATTAAGTTAATCATCAACAATAGGATGTACTCCTAATGCAGCTTGCGTCACAAAAGCAGATACAACCTTAAAATGGTGTACAGATTTAAATTGCACTGCATTTGCAACACCAGATTTGCATTTAAATGATCAATTCGTTCTACAATAAGTTGTTACAACTCTAAATATGAACTACTTTTTGACTGGAACTGAAGTCTGGTATACTGGTAATGGATTGAATAAGAAAGCAACAATAGTTTCAGTTAATAATTCAGTCAAAGGCCAAGTTATTATCTAATTAAAGGCTGAAATTGCTTGGAGATCAGTCACAATTAAAGTTACCTCTACTTTATCGAACACCTAAACAGGAGCAAGAAGACTTTTGGCTTAAACTACATATGATGCAGTAAGTGGTGAAACTAATGAACTAGAATGCATCAAAGCTGAAGGAGCAGAAAAATGTCCCGACTGTGATCAAGAATGTGCTGCTTAAGGTTTTGCTAGTGATAGCTGTTCAGAATGCTCATTTTCAAAAATCATCACCTTTGTTTTCATGGCTTTATTATTAGCATTTACAATTTGATTTATTAATATATGTCCAATCATTTACCATTCATTTAAATTAATACTACATATTTATTATCATTTAGCTTAAAACCATTAATTAGATTAAAATGTAAAATTCCAAAATTTTCTAATAAATTTGGATTATGAATCAAAATTGTATAATTGAATAAAATAAAATGAAGTCTAAAAATAGTTATAGATACTTCTTTGAATTGTATTAGAAAGGAACCATCATATATTTAGCTATTTTCCATCCTGCTTCAATAATTTGTCAATTTGCTGAAATTATCTAAACGAATGGGAGATAGAATAAATGCGCATATTTATAAGTAAAATAATAATTTTATGAATATTAATATAATAGAATGAAAACAATAATCATTGTAGCATTCTTAGTTGCTTTTACCTTAGGCTAAAGGCTTGATAGTAGCTCTGCGAACTGCAATAAATATTTAGAAAAATTTGGAACAGCTAATAATGCTGACGGATCTGGAGCAACAAAGTTGGCATTTACAGGAGATATTGCATTTGTTAGTGGATCCACTGATGTTAAGGTGAACCTTAGATATTCCGATGTTGATCTCTTCAATGATGCAACATATTTTGGTCTTGTTCAAGAAGATGGAAAAACGGCAGCCACCACATGTCTTGACCTTAAATTATGGAAATTCACTTCAAATACCTACTCAGATCCAGTTTAAGTTACTGATTTACCCATAACCGCATCAAATAACTTTTAGAAATAATGGAGATATTATTCATTCACAATTCCAGGAAAGGATTTAGGAACTCAGGTTAGTTTAAACGACAAATTCAAATTAATTTATCTACAAAGGCTATTATGCTGTTGCTTATTATGCTGCAGGAACTGATTAAGTTTAATACACTTTCTTTTTTGAATTCTCTGTCACTGTTGACAAAGCAAGTGGTGCTTCGGTTGATACCGCCTTTAAGCCATTAACTCAAACAGCCACTTTAGGATGTTAAGTATGGTGCAGCTTGCAACGCAAAAGCTGATACAATCTTAAAATGGTGTACAGATTTATAATGTACTGCATTTGCAACACCAGATTTACATTTAAATGATCAATTTGTTCTCCAACAAGTTGTTACAACCACAGGTATGAACTACTTTTTGACTGGAACTGAAGTCTGGTATACTGGTAATGGATTGAATAAGAAAGCAACAATAGTTTCAGTTAATAATTCAGTCAAAGGACAAGTTATTATCTAATTAAAGGCTGAAATTGCTTGGAGATCAGTCACAATTAAAGTTACCTCTACTTTATCGACAACTTAAGCAGGAGGAAGAAGACTTTTGGAATAAACTACATATGATCCAGTAAGTGGACAAACAGATCCAATAGAATGCATCAAGGCAGAAGGAGCAGAAACATGTCCCGACTGTGATCAATAATGTGATGCTTAAGGTTTTGCTAGTGATAATTGCTCGAGCATGCTCATCTTCAAACATCATAGCATTTGCTTTCGTGCTATTGCTTTTAATATTGGTTTGATTTATTTTTCATACAAATTTGTCATATAAAAGTAAATTAAATATCAATCATAATTCTCAGTATACTAAAAGTAATCCAAAGATTACTATTTATTAATAAAATATTATTGTTTTGCTCCCTCCTACTCCTACAATTTTTTTTTCAATTCCAAGATCTCTAAATATTCATATTTGGAAAAATTTTCAACAATTTATATTTTATAAACTTAATTATGTTGTAAACTAAATTTCTATAGTATATTCATCATTTGATAATATTATGTTTCTCTTTTGAAGATACATTTTTATTTTCCGAATCAAATTTTATAAACTAATTATTATTAAATTCATATTTCTCCAATTTAAAAATGAGTCAATCTGATTTAGATAGACAAATAGCTCAATTAAGGAACTGCGAAAACATAACTGAAGGGGAAGTTAAAGCACTATGTACAAAGGCTAGAGAAATTCTGGTTGAAGAAAGCAATGTGCAGCGAGTTGATGCCCCAGTTACGGTAAAATATTATTAATTTCAGATCTGTGGAGATATTCATGGTCAATTCTTTGATTTAATGGAATTATTCAAAGTAGGAGGGGATTGCCCAGACACTAACTATTTATTCTTAGGTGACTTTGTTGATAGAGGATTTAACAGCGTGGAAACATTTTTATTATTATTAGCTCTGAAAGTACGTTATCCAGACAGAATAACATTGTAAATTAATCATTTTATATAGAATACGAGGGAATCACGAATCTAGATAAATTACTTAAGTGTATGGCTTCTATGATGAATGTCTAAGAAAATATGGGTCATTAAATGTTTGGAGATATTGCACAGACATTTTTGATTATTTGAGTTTGGCTGCTGTTATAGAGGAGAAGATATTTTGTGTACATGGTGGATTATCACCTTCGATAAAGACAATGGATGATGTTTTAGAAATTTATTTATGTAGATTCGAGCAATCGATCGTAAATAAGAAGTACCTCATGATGGAGCTATGTGTGACTTGATGTGGAGCGATCCTGATGGTATCTCGATTTTAGAATTATTTAGAAATTGAGGGATGGAATTTATCTCCAAGAGGGGCAGGCTATTTATTCGGTGGAGACGTTGTAGATGATTTCAATAGAAAAAATAATATTGAATTGATATGTCGAGCTCATCAATTAGTGATGGAAGGATACAGAGTTATGTTTAATGAATAATTAGTGACAGTCTGGAGTGCACCTAATTATTGTTATAGGTAATTTTTGATATTTAATCAGATGCGGGAATGTCGCTTCAATTCTTGAATTAGATGAAAACCTTGCTAAATCTTATAAAATATTTGAAGCGGCCCCATAAGAAAATAGAGGATTGCCAGCAAAGAAACCAATTCCTGATTATTTTTTATGAATAAATATTTATGAGTGATTTCGATTAATGGATAGCAAAGCTAAAGAATTGCCAATTTTTACCCGAACAAGAAGTGATTCAATTGTGTACCAAGGCGAAAGAAATTCTTATTTCCGAAAGCAATGTCGAGATTGTTCATACTCCTGTCACAGTAATATTTTTCAATTATTAGATTTGTGGGGATATTCATGGACAGTTTCATGATCTCATTGAATTATTTAAAGTTGGAGGAGATTGTCCAGACACTAATTACCTTTTTTTAGGAGATTTAGTTGATCGTGGATTTAATAGTGTTGAAACATTTCTTTTACTATTAGCATTCAAAGTTCGTTTTCCAGATAGAATTACAATGTAATGGTTACAAATATTATTAAGAATAAGAGGAAATCATGAATCAAGGCAAACAACTTAAGTTTATGGATTCTATGATGAATGTCAACGCAAATATGGTTCTGCAAATGTATGGAGGTATTGCACTGATGTTTTTGATTATCTGACGATTAGCGCAGTTATTGAAAACAGAGTATTTTGTGTTCATGGAGGATTATCTCCGAATATTGTAGAGATAGATGATGTAAGCTTTATGTGTAACTATTTATAAGGTGAAATCTTTAGATCGAAAGTAGGAAGTTCCACATGAAGGAGCTATGTGTGACCTATTGTGGAGCGATCCTGAAGATATTAATGGATGGGGAGTTTCTCCAAGAGGAGCTGGATATATATTTGGAGGAGACATTACTACAGAATTCAATAAAACTAATAGTTACGATTTCATATGTAGAGCTCATCAGCTTGTTCTAGAAGGATACAAAACAATGTTTGACGATCAATTAGTAACAGTATGGAGTGCTCCAAATTACTGTTATCGCGTTGGAAATTAAGCATCAATATTAGAGTTAGATGACAATTTAGAAAAAAAATTCAAAATTTTCTTAGCAGCTAATGTAGAATAAAGAGGACTGATCGGTAGGCACCCTGTGCCTGATTATTTTTTGTGATAAATATTATTATATATACTCAATCAATATAAGTTTTCATTCTCCTACTATTCATGCTGCGATATGAATTTGGGCTATGAGTTCGAATATTAATAATTGTCTAAGTATCTTCATTCTTTTAATGGGTAGCCACTTTCAACTTTATTCTTTTGATAAACTTTCCCATTGTTGTTGGGCTACTCAATGTTTTATGGTGATTGAATTATTAAGAGTTATTAATATTTAATTCATTTTATTAATTACAACATTGAGTAAGCATACCATTCATCTACTCTAATTCTTATTCATTTGCTGATTTTCGAAATTAACTATTATTGCTAGCAAATCGGAAAAACTATTTATGGTAAAATCTTTTTTTAAAGTAACCTTAAGAAACGAATTTCTTTTGATCAAAAAATGTCTTCACCTAAGCATAAGAACAATTTCTATCTTTAAGTAACTTTGTAAATTGTTCTATTGCTTATTTTTCTTATTATTTAAATTCATCATACTACTTGTCTTTTAAAATATCATCATTAGTATTTCTTGAAGATAATAGATTATATTTTTGCACATAGCTTTTTTTTAAAGGGATTGGCAAGTGTATTTGCTCATCGAGTTTCTTTCTTTTATTATCAATTTCTTTAATCAATTCCTCTGCTTTAATCGATCTGAAATGATGGATGGATGATAACAATTACAAAAAGACGACCTACGTTTTGCTATCCCAGAAACGTCTCTTCATATATGTATAATCTTACTTCTAGATATCTTCTCTTGTAATCTTATAAGCAACTCCTATTTCACTTTTACAAACGATATCATATTTTGTCTTCCCCCACTAAACAAATATGGAGGATTTGATCAAAAATTAACCTTCTTTGCTCAAAAATGCTTCTTATCCGAAAGATTCCCCTGGTCCTAAAGTGCATCTAATTATAAATATCAAATCTAATACATACTGCATAGCTTGTTTTTATAAGAGAACTAGACCTAAAATTCACCATCTCTTACAACATAAAAGTGGTTGCAGTACTCATTCTATTTAATTATTGCTTAATTAAGGGTTACTGTAACAGGTTCAAAGTGATAACTGATTGTTTTTATTTCCCTAAAAGACCAAGAACTAAAAAATGGAAATGAACATAAGAATGAGATCTTATTCTAGATTTTCGCGATTTCTTAAGCTCCTAAGATAGATTTGTAATGATGTTTCTCCATTACTGCAAAAACACAATCTTCTTTTGCCACAATCGTTGCTGTTCTTTTTGCATCATTAATTAGGGCAAGTTCTCCAAAGCTTGCTCCGGCTTTCAATATATTGACTTCTTTGAGCTCAAATTATTGAGAATCATCTGGGTTAGGCAATCGAATATTAATTCCCACAGATCCTCTTAGGATGACATAGAAAAGGCTGCCAGAATCTCCTACTTTAAAGAGTATCTAAAAGGAATATCATTATATTTTACATCCCCTGATTTAATAGTTCGATATGAGAGTACTTATATGCATCGTTGAAGCATTTCGGGTGATTATTCACCAAGTTCTCTAAAAAATGTTATGGTAAGTGCAAAGATTAAAAGATGGTTAAGTTCTTCAGGATTTCTACGTATTGGTGTAATTTGAAGAATGCGAATGCATTCAGCAAATAATTATTGCTTATCCATTTTAATTAAAAAATATGTGGAAAGGCTATTTGAGTATATTTGGGGGTTTCCTAACCCATCTTGTTACAGGTGGTTTCTATTGTAAGCTTTCATTTATTAGAGTAGTTTGGGGCAATATTTCCATGAACGTCAGTTCTTACTATCGTTTCAATGGATATCCAGATATTGAAACAAAGACCGTATCTGCCGTCTTTCCAGCTATATACTTTGGGATCGCCATAGGCAGTCAATTTGGCATTCATATGGCTCGACGTTTTGGTCATAAGTTGGTTAGTGTAACAAATATGTTGTGCTTTTGTGCATCTATGTTTGCAGCAACATATAGCAACTTCTACTTTTTTGTTTTCTTCTAAGGTTTATTGCCAGGGGTTTTCATTGGAATTGAGTACTTAATTCCAGTAGACAATGCCTTGAAATTTTTTCCTTCAAAAAAAGGCATGGTTACAGGATTAATACTATGTGGATTTGGATTCACACCACTTATTTTTAATCCAATATTATAGAGACTATTAAACCCTGACAACATTCTCCCTGTAAATGGCTACTATCCAGAAGAAGTTGCTGAAAACCTGATGAAAAGTTTAAGAATCGTTACCACCATTTATCTAGCAATGGGATTGATCGGAGCGTTTTTGATGCAATCAATAAAATAAAGTGACGATCATAATGACGACACATATAATCAGTAAACTTAATTAATAATATCAATAGGAAATTAATCTAAAATGACGCATAAGTTGGCGTAAATTCATAATTTGATATTCTAAAGACAAAAGAGTTCTGGTTAAGTACTTTTTAGGTATTTTGTTTGACTGGTTTTGGATTCATCCTAATCTCTCATTATAAGGAGTTTGGTATTGTTCATATCCCAGATGACTAATTTTTTTCATTGGTTGGCATGATAGGTGGATTTACAAATGGGTAACAATATTTCATTAAAAATAGGTTGTCTCGTTTCCTATGGAGCTATTTGCTTGACTTTATCAACTATAAATACCTTGTGTTTTTCAACATCGTAATGGTAATGACTTTGGCAGCAACAATAAACTTGATTGCTGATTCAAAAGTTCTATTTATGTTATGGATTATACTTACTTACTTACAATATGGGGGTTTGTACACATTGTTCCCTGGAATATGCACAAAAGTATTCATATATTAAGATACAATAGCAATTTGGCACAAAATTTGGTCCTTTGGCATTCAACATGGCATTTAATAGTATCCCTTTTTCAAATCTGACTTAATTTCTGTTAACACTGTATTTTCATGACCAATTCATGAATGGGCAATTGTTTTACATTTATGTTGGAATCAATTTTTTAGCTCTTGTTATTTAAGTCTATTTGCTAGCAACCGAACGAACCCGTAAAAAGTTATCTAGCGTAAATTATACCGAATGAATTATCTAATAATAGTAATGGCGATTTTATACATTAATATATATTATTATTATATGGGTAGTTGTAATTGCATTCCTAAAAAGCTAGGGGAAGAAGAAATATAGACACAAAGAGGAGGAAGTGAACACTAAATATTGGATAAAGTGAAACAATAGGATGCACAAACTTTTACTCATGGTTGATTTTTATATTCTTATTCAGAGGACAATAAACCAGCCAATGATGAATCTTAATAACTTGTTCAGAGTACGAAAGGGATTCGGCAAAAACTTCCCAGAATAAGCATGATTAATGGAGGTTATTATGAAGGGGAGTGGTACAATTGTATGAGGGATGGCTTTGGATTGCATGTAAAATTGAAAAATTTATATGAGTTTTGGGCTGATGGAGGTTTTTATGAAGGGGAATGGAAGGCTGATAAAGCTGAGGGTAAAGGGAAATTAGGTATCTCCGTTATCATCAGCATTTTTAGTCCATGGAGATGGCGATATTTATGAAGGATAATGGGCAAATGATATGGCAAATGGGGTAGGTACATATGTGCATGCTGGTGGTGCTAAATACGATGGAGAGTGGTTGAATGATTAGTAGCATGGAAAAGGAGTTGAAGTTTGGCCTGATGGCTCTAAATATGAAGTATTAATCCTCTAATTCTAAAGGGAATGTATACATTTGGAAAAAAAAATGGAAAGGGAAAACTTTAATTTGCAGATAATAGCATTTATGAAGGAGATTTTTTGGACAATGAAATAAGTGGTTCAGGTAAATATACCTGGAATGATGGGAAATCTTACACAGGAAATTGGTTAAACAATAAAATGAATGGATATGGTGAAACAGTATGGCCAGATGGGAAAAGCTACAAAGGATACTATTTAGACGATAAAAAACATGGCCAAGGAGTTTTTTCATGGAATAACGGTAAAAGATATGAAGGAGAATGGGCTTTGGGAAAGTAAAATGGCAAAGGAGTAATCATCACTGAAACTGGAGAAAGAAAAGCTGGAATCTGGGAAAATGGGAGAAGAGTTAAAATAGAAGGAGAAAATGATTAAACAGCTGAAGGAGAAACCTGAATATATTAATTTTAAATTCTCATATTTGATTACTCATTTCCATAATTTATCCACCATCAGTAAAAAAGTTTGAAGATTTTCTGAATAATTTATAATCTAAACATTTATTAAGTAAGTTACATAATTTCTATGACATTTTATATTTCTAAAAAATAATGAAAAAAAATAATTAGTTGGTTTATAATGCTTCAAATTAAAATAATCACACCATTATAAACATGGCAAATAATCCTGCTGCTAAGATATAGCCATTAGAGCCATCATCATCATTTCCATCGACACAAGTATCGCTGGAATATCCATTTGCATTTTTTTCTTCCTCGCATGTTGGACATTTTTCTGATCCTTGAGCCTTGATACATTCAATTTGCTATGTTTCACCACTTACTGGGTCATAGGTAGTTTAAACCAAAATTCTTCTTGCTCCTGTTTAAGTTGTTGATAAAGTAGAGGTAACTTTAATTGTGACTGCTCTCCAAGCAATTTCAGCCTTTAATTAGATAATAACTTGGCCTTTGACTGAATTATTAACTGAAACTATTGTTGCTTTCTTATTCAATCCATTACCAGTATACCAGACTTCAGTTCCAGTCAAATAATAGTTCATATTTGCAGTTGTAACGACTTATTGGAGAACGAATTGATCATTTAAATGTAAATCGGGCTGCGAAAATGCAGTGCAATTTAAATCAGTGCACCATTTTAAAACTGTATCAGCTTTTGTGGTACAAGCTGCATTAGGAGTACATCCTAATGTTGACGTTTAAGTTAATGGCTTGAATGCAGTGTCAACGGAGGCACCGCTTGACTTGTCGACAGTCAGTTGAAACTCAAAATAAAATGTGTACTAGACTTGGTCGGTTCCTGCTGCATAATAAGCAACAGCATAATAGCCTTTGTACACAAATTAATTGGAATTAGTTGTTGTGACCAACCTAGTTCCTAAATCCTTTCCTGGAATTGTGAATGTATAGTATCTCCATTATTTTTAAAAGTTATTTGATGCGGTTATGGGAAGATCAGTAACTTAAACTGGATCTGAGTAGGTGTTGGAAGTGAATTTCCATAATTTAAGGTCAAGACATGTGGTAGCTGCTGTTTTTCCATCTTCTTGAACAAGACCAAAGTATGTTGCATCATTGAAAAGGTCAACATCGGAATACCGAAGGTTCACCTTAACATCAGTGGATCCAGTTCCAAATGCAACATCTCCTGTGAATGCAAGTTTTGTTGCTCCAGATCCATCAGGATTATTAGCTGTCCCAAACTTCTTTAAGTAATTGTTACAGCTAGCGCTGTTGATATCAAGTCTTTAAGCTGATGCTAAGGCAAGAATTGCAACCACTACAATGAATGATTTCATTTTTTAATTTTAATAATGAAATTTTCTTGCTTAAAAGATGGATTTAAACCCATTTTGATTCAATTTAAAACAAAAATTATATTCTATTTCTTTCTAGACGCATTTAGTTAACATTTTAACTTTCTGTCAACAAAGTACAGCGTAAACAACATTCTTGCATCTTTATTTAGAGGAAAATGCAAAGCGTATCTTATTATTTTTTTCTAACAAATTCATAAATTTAAAAAAGTAAATCGTTGTGTAATTTGAAAAATGCTATCACCTTTGCAATATAGTCTAAGGGAAGCCATAATACTATTAATTATTGCAACCAGAATGAAATAAAGACCCACAGTTTCTAAATATATGGTCTTAACTAAAAGTATTTTCTAGCTTTGGTCCATATAGCCAATATTCCATAACAACCTCATTATTCTGACTTAATGAAGTCAACATTAAGTTAAAAAACAGGTATATTATATGGATTCTATACATCATATTGTTTAATAATAGGATGTTCAGAAAGGAAGTAATCCAAATCAGAATTAAAAACTGAGACTTTAATCTAAGATAATTTAAACTCGATAGATCAAAGACATACTTTAATATGAGGTTACACGTCTAACACTTGAATAGAATATTTCTGTTCATAATTTTTTAATTCTATTATTATTTAACTTAAGGTTTTTGTATAATATCCAAGTAAAAACTATCTAAACAGAAAGAAAGTTCAAATATGAGCATCATCTGTGATTGAAAAGTGAGAATAATGGTGAAAAAGAAATATAGAATTAATTTAGTAGTTTTTATTTTATAATCTCTATGAGACTTTTATCAGAATGGAGACAGGAAATTAGTAGAGAAAGGACAAGAGAAACAACATTGTAACTAGTTTAATTCAAATAAGTCAAGAGAATTGTTTAAGTTTCTATCAAATAAATCTTTAAGAATATGAATCAACAGACACAGAATACTTTAAAAACATCTTTAGATCAGAATTACAAAGCCATTTATTGAAACTCATTGAATTGGATTAGTAACAAAAACACTTTGGAAAATAGTGTGAAGAGAAAAAATTTTTGAATTTTAGAGCAATATGTGGAAAATGTGTCTCAGACAATGAATTAGAAGTATAGGAAAGTGAGAATTAAGTGTAAACTTATCTTAGTGTCCTTTTATTTCAATTTCTTGGAGGTTTGAAATTTTAAGTAAAGAGAAGATACTTAGATATCAGATAAGTAGGATTTGAATTTGAATGGTCAAATATAGAATGTCTATGAATGAATTAGAAATAAGGAACCAGTTACTAGCGAATATAAATAGCTTAAAGCATTGGATAAGAATTTTAAGTGAGAGAATGAGCGATGACAAGAAAATTTAAGTTTTTGTATGGATGCTAAGAAGTCATACCCGAAATTAACATTGGCTCTGTCCTATGAATTGAGGTGAAGCAATACCAAGTTATAGAATTTTATTATAGTATATTTCTTATGGTATGACAACATCTGTCGTTTGTTAAAGATGTTGTTGATTAGTTTAACATTATCTATATTAATGATAAAATAATACAATATATAGCTATTATTCCCTGATTTAGAAGAGTGGCATTATGAATAACTTTCAGAGGTGTATCAAAGCCCAATTCTGCAATAATATCACATGCTAATTCAGCAAATTAAGACCAAGTTTCCTATACCTAATCAAATAAATGAGTATGAATTTCCGACTCAAGACAATGCGATTGAATTTTTTAAAAACTATAAGCCGATCATCCTTGATTTGAGTTAGGCTTAAGATATCAAAATCAAACTCTATAAAAACGCAGCATTTTTTGGAAGCATAGTTGACGGACTTCGATAAGGATAAGGCATCTTAATAAAATAAACATTGCAATTGTACGAAGGTGCTTTTGAAAGGGACAAAAAGGAAGGAATAGGATTTGAAGTCCTCAAAAACAATTCATACTATTACGGGAACTATGTAAATGGATTACCTTAAGGAGAGGGAGTGTTTTGGTCAAGAAGTTTTAAATACGTTGGTCAATGGCATTAGGGCAAAAAAGTAATGTTTGAGAATTAATTTATTAGCATGGGATTGGATGGTATTAAGGGATTCATTCAGACTATTATTTGGGTCAATGGCAGAATGGAAGATGTTATGGATTCTGTTTACATGTTAATGGCTGCATGTATTTCAAAATATTAATAAAATTAATAGATATGTGGGTGAGGTAATCAACGACCTGAAGCATGGTTTGGGTAAGGAGTACTTGGAGAATGGTGATTCTTACAATGGTGAGTATCGTAATGGAAAACCAAATGGAAAAGGGGAGTATTATTGGAGCAATGGAAATTATTATCAAGGAGAATTTGATAACGGGTTAAGGAATGGATATGGAACTTGGTAAAGTTAGACAAATAATGGGATAAATCGATATAAAGGATATTATGCAAATGATAAGAAATGCGGCGAAGGCACTTTTGAATATGCCAATGGTACACTATACACTGGGAATTTTATGGAGGACAAAAGGTGTGGATATGGATAGATTGTTTGGACTGACAAGGCAATTTATAAGGGGTATTGGAGAGAAGGTTTGATGGATGGAGAAGGAGTTTATTAGTACGATTAATTGATTTTGAAAGGGAATTGGAAGTAGAACTAACTAGATTCTTTTGATAATGTTAGGGTTTCATTGAATGATTTTCCTTAATAACACAGAGTTAAAGAGATAATAGACAACTAGGAAATATAATCAAGAATAGCTGAAGAGCCTGATTTGGATGCGATTGGAGATCAATTCTAAAAGGATATTTTTGGGTCTAAAGCGGAGACTGTAGCTCAAAATATCTCCCATAATACTAGTCATCATGATATGTAATTCCATCCAAAACAACCTATACTTCAAAAATAATTTGATTTGTTGAGTCTATTGGATTAGGAGCTACAAGTTTAATCTTTGGAAATGACATAGAGGTAACATAGTTCAAGTGTTGCTATCTAAACTGAATCCAAAAAATAATTTTTGCCTAAATTGAACATGAATAAGAAACATCCAACTCAATACAATATTAATCACTCATTCCAAGATTAGAGTAGTAAAAATAGTGCTCACTTCCAAAGTGTCGGATTGTCAGGATCTCCAAAGGCGAAGGGCATCAACAGTTTTCATAACACGGAGAGAATATAAGGGTATGGACGGGGGCAGTCAAATCGATCAGTGCAAGGTAGGAGTAAAAGGAATAAGCAAGTGCTATTGTCATAAAAGGAATAAAATTTATGGGCTTTAAAAATGAATAAACTAAAATTAAGTCCAACTAAATATACCAAGCTTTGGAGTCATGATGTAAATAGTTTTTCATATAGAAGGTTGTTAATTAAATTAAATAGTTTCTGTATCCTCCTGTTTGGAAACCTCCTTCTCACATAGCTTGAAATATTCTATGAAAATTCAACACTATTATATTTAATAATTAAATTACTAAATGGATTAAGATCGATAGTAAAGGATTGAAAATTTGTAACAGAAGTATTTCTCCCATCTCTAAAAACGAATAAGTTAAATGGTAAGTCACGAAAATTAAAAAATCGCTACTTTATTGTACACCGTAATATTTGATGATTCTTATTATGAAATAATAAAAGTGTATAATTATTCTGAGTAAGAGTTGAATAACCAAATTGCTAAAACTATATTTATTCCTTTAAGTGAAATCGAATTAAATAATACTTAATAACTAATATAAGTGATTCCTTGGTTTTTACTTTTTGTGATTGGCTAAAATTTGGATATAAATAAATGTATAAATCTAGACAATGAGAACGAATGGGGAATGTTTTTAACGTTTGTGGCTTAGAAGTGTAATTATGATCCTTCAGCCTAGGAGTATTTTGGAAAGTTGTAGAATACCTTAATAAATAAATTTAAGTAAGTCCAATTTACCACTTTGGAGGAAGTAGTAAATTTGATTGTTAGTACTCAAAAATTGCTCGAATTATTAAATTAAATGTTCTATTGGGATTACTATCCATTTGCCATTAGTTAGACCCAAACATAGGATATTTTTTACGATCTCAAACTCCAAAAAAGATAGTAGATCATTACTAATTCTTATCAATTTTTATCGTAGAGGGATAGAGGAATGATTCAATCCTCAATTGAAGATTCAAAAATGAAAGTGGCTATCTCATTTATAGAAAAGAACTACAATTATGGTTATTTAACTGAAACATTTCATAATGAGTTAGCAGGTATTGTTATTTTCGGTTTGATTCAATTGGATCATAAACAATTTCAAAATTTCTTTTATTCCAAGAGACCTTCTGTGTAAGAGTCTTTGTTGAATCAAATTATGGATCTATCAGATATTTAGGATAATCTTTTTTTGAAACTGCTATTGGTTGGAAAATGCTTATCAAAATTAAGACTCTGGGAATATGCTCTAAAATTTTATAAAAAGTTGCAAAATCAAACAAAATATCATTAAAATAGAGAAAAATATAGCATCTACATCACTTTTAAGATTTGTAAAATCAAATTTTTGTAAGGAGAGATTGATGGATTACAGAAGAAACTCAAAAACTTAGGCATCTAAATATTGCGACACCAAAATTAAGGCATAAACTTCTATTAACCGAAGAATAGGTAAATCTACCATCAATGTATATTTCTGTAACTGTTGATGAGCGTCTATAAAAATTCCTCTAAATTGAGAACATATATCAAGGGCCAAATTGCTCCAATCATCCTATAAAGTAATAGTAGCAACTAAAAAAGATATTTTACTTTGCTGTAATACTAATTCTGGAAACTTGCTGATTAACAAGAAATCATATTTAAGGACAATGAAGGGAAGAAACAATTAGAATTTATACTGAATAAGACTGAATCAATATGTTAGGAGAGACAAGACATCAAGCGAAAGAGTTCCAATTTTTTTTCAAACATCACTTCCATTTTTAACTCTCCTAAAGATAGGTTATATTAATGTATAGAAATTAAAAGCTACTACAGGGCTGTAGAGGAAATGCTTATAATAAATGCTTTAGTTCGCCATAGAGATATTTGTGTGTTACAATATTTGAATCTCAATCTGTATCCACTGCTGAGAGTTTTACTTGCATAAAAGAATTTCTTTGCTTTGAATTTGAAACCATAGCTTTACATTTTTATACATGATTTTGAGGAAGCTTTTAAGTTGGCATTGTAAACAAAGAATCATGAAATAATGGCATAGATTTTAGATTATTAAGGTAAAATTGAAGAAGCCATCGAAGCCTATACATAATTAAGCAGTTCCAACAGTAAATTGAATTGTGCAATTCTGATAAAGACCCAAGAAGACTAAATGATTTAAAATAAAAGTGTATTGCTGGGTAATTTTGAAAAATAAAGCCTTCATGAAAATTCTATAAATTATTTTAAAGAAATAGCTAAAAATAAAGAGTAGTATTAAATTGCTAATAAGTACCTTCAGAATTTATAACCTTTACCTTCAGAGCTGACCAAATCAGAAAAGTTTTCAAGAAAATCCTCTAATTTAAGTGAATCTGAATTATTTACCGATTTTACTCAGCAGGATGAATATTTTAAATCAAAATTGAAATTGAATCTCCCAATTAGATAAGACATTAAACTATTTTATAGTGTCCTGAAATTTAAATTAAGATGGGAATAGGATTCACAATTATTATAGCTATTAGATGAATTCGTAAAAAAAACTCATTTTCTAAAATGTGAAATCTATGAATTAATTAATAATAATGATTTAGAGTAATAGAAGATTGGTTAAGGAGGAAATGGTTAAATCTACAAATTCAATTTTTAATGTTAATCTTATGCTGCAAAAGTGATCTCGTTTGATTTTAAAGACTCAGAAGACTCCATGACTGATGATGAGAAATCTAGACTTGAAAATATTCTTTAAGAAATCTGCATCCTTTGCGACAACACTGTTTCTAAGATTAAATATTGTCTAAAAATTGAACAATTAGGACTTTACTTTGAAGAATTGGGTTAATAAAAAATTATAAAAATTTTTCTAGTCACAAAAGTTTATAATAATAACTAGGTGGTGAAGGATTGGGGCGAAGAAGATAAGATGAAATTCATTTACAAACTATCATTAGGACTTGCAGCATTATAATTTGAAAGAAGATTGCTGCATCTAGATCTGAAACCTGAAAATGTTTTAGTTGATTCTAAGAATAATCCTGTTATTATTGATTTTGGATTGTCCAAATATTCTTATAAGTCTTAGTATCTAGGGGATCGGTCAAATTAAATGAGTATTTCATACAGAGATCCTGAATTAATAAACAGCAATTATTAGAGTAGAAAGAATGATGTGTACTCATTTGGAGTGTCATTATTCTATTATTTTTCTGGTTTCACTCCATTTTAAGGATTTGATCCCTATCAAATCATAGGGGGTAATGAATAGTTTTATGTACATCATTTAGCTGCAATACAAAATATTTAAAATGAAATCATAAAAGATTTGATTAGAGATTGCACATAACCTATAGCCATCAGAATCTCTTTTGTATTGGTTCTAAAGAGGCTATTTCTGTATCAATATTAAATAAGAAATCCTAAAGTAAGAAACTTAATCGAAATGCTATTCAATCAAATTGAATATAATAAGGATAAAGAATAAATGAAACCAATTTAAACATTTCTAAAAGTAATGAAATAGTTCATTAAATATACAAATAATTTTTAATCAAAAAAATTAGAAAATGTTTGTTAACGCTATGAAATAATTTCTCATAAGGCTTCATGTGAGAGTTTCATAGAAATCATATCAAGAATGAAGTAATTCATAAATTGGGTAATATTGAATGAACAAGATTTCGTAATGAAACTTGTTGATTTCGAATTAAATTGTGAGTAAATTGATTAAAGTGTAATGCATATTACTTTTAATTTTTGGGTTGAAAATGCACAAAAGATATAATCAACTGGAATGATCTTGTGGAATCCTTTTTACTTAAGTATCGCTTAGATTCTAAAGTAAATTCATGCACATTAAATATATCTATAATAAATACCATTAGAATTCATATATTTAAAGGATGGAAAAGTAAAATTGAATTGCTTTGAATATTCATTAAATCTTAAGTTTGTGCATCCTTAACTTGATTCTGATTTTGAGCAATTATAGAACTTTATCTCTAAATAGGACGTCTAGGTCTTATGCGAATTAATTGGCTAAACCATGGAATTCATGAGAAATAAGCTTGATTAGGACATGCAAGATAGGGTTACTTAATTTTAGTAAATTTTGAATCAAAGTGAAGGGATATCTTTAGAAGAAATTATTGGTAAATTGTAAAATTGATTATTAATTTATTAATATAACTATCACAAACTATGTCTAAACCACTAACTTAAACACTAATCGCCTAGAAGGCTAAGACTGAGGCTTTGTATAGTATCAAATCACTGAACTTATGGGGCAATGACCTTGACGATATCTCAATCATTGAAAGACTCCCTCAACTTGAAGTTCTTTCTTTGTCAGTGAATAGGATTACCACGCTCGCCGACATCGCCAAATGCAAGAACATTAAGGAATTGTACCTGAGGAAGAACAACATATCAAGTATTACAGAATTGCAATTCCTATAACAATTACCTAAATTGAAAGTCTTGTGGCTTCAAGGTACAATTCTCTCAAACATTAGAAAATCCAATTGCGGACCATCCAAATTATAGAGAGGCTGTGATTTGCAATTCTTCAACACTTGAAAAATTGGACGACGTTGTTATCAGCCAACAAGATAGAGCAAACGCCTAAATATAATTGCAATATGGAATTTCATAGAGTCCTCCAACAAAGTCATCACAAAAATCAGATGAAGAAATAGCACAACATGTAGAAGTAACCAAACCAAATCAATATTCTCCAAATAATGGCGGTGGAAGATATTCAAATTAACGAGAATAATTACAAAATCAATAACGACAATCCATATAGTAATAGCAACCATATCATTAGCCACAATAACCGTAACAATACTACCCATAACAACAATAACAGGCAGGTAGAGAAAGAGAACAACAATAATAATAACAATAGTACTTGCAACAACAACAATAACAACAATATCAGTCATCGATTTAGCAATAGCAATAATCACAAATCTACTTATAATAGTAGCAACCCCAATAATACTAAAGACAGATCATCAGATAACAATATGCAGAGGAAGAAAGAAACTCTAACATCTTATGCGCAATACTATCTCTTCTAAAAGAATTGGATTAATCTACACTAGAAATAGTGTAAAGAGAAGTTTATGATAGAATATAATAATATTAAGACTGATTATTTTATTGCAATTTATATCCCTATCAATTTATAATCCGCATAACTTTTAAAATATACTAAAATTGGACAATGCCAAATTAATGAACTTGTAGGATGAGCAATAATATCAAAGTGATTTGAATATAAGAATGGCACTAATTCATTAACGAGTATTAAATCAAGCTAAGATATCTTATATCGATTTTGGTGACTTACAAAAAAATAAAAATAGCAAGGAATCATAAATATCAGGCTGGAAATGTTGTATCAAAAAGGATCTTGATGGGATTCATACATGATTAAGCAGCTTCATAATAACTATTTCATTTTAAACAACAAATATATAAGGTTATATTGTTGGAAAATCTAGAGTTGTTCTGCACCTTCTATTACTATTGAATGTTCGAATATGAATCAATAAGGAAATTTGCATGGCCGTTTGAAAGATTAGGGATATGAGCTAATGACTATTTGCAGATGACTAAGCGCTTAGAGCTCAGTAAATAAAAATAATTTGATTCTATTATAACCATATTAAAATTGATAAAATATTGAGATATTTTTAATTCCATTAATATTTTTTCTATAGCAATAATATATGCAAATTGCTATTCACAAATATTTTATACAATAATAAAGTGCAATTAAGTCACAGAAAATAATGTATTATTGTATTCTTCAAGAAAATTAAAAAACCATACTATAATTTCTTCTATATCAATAAAAATATATATAAGATATATATATTTTATATTGAAATGAATTCCTTCATCTATTGAAGTTGCTAAAATAGAAATGGACAATTCAGAACTAACTACAAAGTGAAAGATTTAGATGGCGATTAATACTATTTCTATAATATTGCTTAGTTATTCTATATTATTAAAATATCTAGAAACAATCTTAAAATTAATGTTTTTGTATATGCTATTTATTTCATCAATCATTAAGTACTACTCCTAAAGACATGAAACTATCCCCCATTGTGATATCAATTTCTTTGAGTCCAAAAAATCCAACAAAGGGATTTTCTATGCCTTTGTTAAGATCTTGATTGATTGTAGGAAGAAGAGCACCAACAAGAGAGTTTAGTGTTTGCATGATGCTTAACTATTGAACTGTCAAGAGTTCCCCTGAAGTTTAATCAATGTCTATAATCTTGACAAGCATGACTGAAGCTGCAAAGAGTTCTGGTGACTTATTGTAGAGTGTGATCATGAGACCCAATTGGACTTCGGCAGTATAAGCAATTACACATGATTCGCAACTACTCTTGTTTTTTGGGTAATTACTAGAATCAGTATCGACAATGAAGTCCAACATAACAGTCATGGCTCCGAGTAATCTACCACTTCTGATATACATTTATTATTCAGCTGTCTTTCCATACATACGTATATAGATGCCTTTATCGGCTCCGTATGCCTCATAGAAATCAGGGATGATAAGTTTCATTCCATTTGTAGTTAATGAAATTGGCAAGTCGATGTTTTCCAAACTGGAGTTGTCTATGGTGAGATCCAACATATTGCTGTCTATCAATAGCCAAAGCAATTGGTCGATAATGTTACCACCAACGATGAGTTCCAAGGCTTAATGGGAGTTCACTCGATTTGGTAAGCTGCCAGTATCGAAGATGGGACAGCCATTGCCAGTGTCCACATTTTCTATTTGAATATCCAATTAAAGACTCATGAAGGTAGTTTCTCCATAGATCACACTAGGTGGTTGAGTGAAGGTGATTTGGAATTAATACATGTAATCACCGAATTGTTGGGCCAGTTGTAACCTTTGATTTTACGATAACAACCCGAGTGCTGGTGAAGCAACTTGGAGAATCATCTTTTTTGTTTGTTTCACAATCATGGGAGTGAGAAGATCAATAAGGGCATTGATACCAGCTTGAGGAGGTATGATGATATTATCCATGATGAATTGCATGCGTGATAAGGCAATGTCGACATATTTGATAATTGGTTTGAAACCCTTAAAATATTTAAGTTTCTTACCCATGATCTTTTGGATGTGGTGGGATCAAATTGAATGACTAAGCTGAAATCCAGGTTCTACAACTTAAATACAGTGCCTGTATTTAACATTGACCATCCTCCAAAGGCTAATCTAGCATAGGCTTCAACTGTGATATTTGCCGATCTCATTTGTAAGATTATTGAATCTTCTCTATTTTGATAAGGCATGATAAACGTATCATCCCAATTGAGAGTGAGTTCTTATAAATAAACTTCATTGATGTCTAGTTCCACTTAACCAATAAGGGGGATTGATTGATTTAACTGTATATCAAGTGGGAGATGAGCCCCCTAGATAAGACCTATAATTGGCTTAAGGACATGTTGCTTGAAGCTATTAAGTTGATTGAAATCTAGGGCAGCCTTAAATTCTGGTATGTGATCTGCTCTCACAAATAACAACACTGCGAATAATATGATATTCATAAATATGATGTCATTATTCATCATTTGGAAACAAACTAAAACTTCTATTGATTGTTTGCACTCCCCAAGATTACATCGTCTTTAACCTTGAATGTCAAATCGAACAATCCTGCTACTTCTGGCTCATTCTATTCAATGATTACTTTTTGTAATGCATCATTCATCGAATCTTTCTTCCCTCAAATGACAGCATTAAAAAACGTCCCTAGTTCTTGGAAAGTAGAAGTACCAACGCCGAATTATTAAATTAATCTATTCCTAGTCCTGTGAACCCAAGAATTCCTCCTTAATTTGCTGAAATTTAAATAAATACCTGTGGATTTCATCAATTCTGCCAACAATGAGATGTTTTTTATATCAATAGATATTCTATTGCTTTACAAGGTAACATTAACTTCATTGACAATACTCTATTTCTATTGTGTAGTTAATGATTGTTGTACAATTCTAATCTAATCGAAATTGTCTTATCATAGAATTTCTTTGTATCCATTACTGAATGCAAGAGTTTACTTACTAATATCATTATCATCCTTAACAGTAACCTATATCACAGATTTAATTGAATATTCACAAAACGATATAGATGGTACCTGTAAAGTTTTATGTAATTATTCTCTAATAAAAAATAGCAAAATTAAATGTTGTTCCTTCTTTAAATTCATCTCCCCAATTAGCAACTCTAGTAATTTTCTAATCAAATCACGTAAGTATTTGGTAGTCACTAATTCCAGTCTCAACCTGACTAAGTAATGTAAAATTTAATTCTTATTGATCTCTATCTATAAATTTCATCCCTTCTCTTTGGTGCCAGCATCAATTTAGTTAGCGCGTTTGTGAATGGTATATCTTTAGTTTATTCAACATATTAGATGATTTTATAATAACATATTAGAAGGTCGTTGGGAGCGAATTCTTGCCAAATATGAATATGGGAAATTTCCTGATCCTAAGCATGACATGCATTCAAATCTTTCTCTCGATTACTCTCTTACCTTTACTTTATCACCTTTGACTATTCTTCTCTCTACTCCTATCTTATCACAAAAAATAAGAGCATAATTTGTTCCAAATGATTATATCATCTCTGATTATTGATTGGTAATTATAATGGAATCTACCTTAAAGGTCCTTTGCATTCATTTAACAATCCATTGAGAAACATTCAAACTTTTATTATTAATCAAATCATGAGCTCTCAATTTCCATAATCTTTCCATTCAATTTATCATAATTCTCATGTCTTAATTAATTCACTCCTCTCACAGTTCATTCTCTACCAAATAAAAGCATTCAATCAAAATCTAGTATCTTACTTATATAACATAGAATATTGCATTCACGTCTAAATACCTTAATGATATTCTTTTCACATCCTTCTTCTCATTTAATACTAATTATTAATATTTATACTATGAATTCGCATTTGTAAATGAAGAGAGAACAATTTATGGTTCAGATTAGAAAGCAGGCTAGAGAGGAGATCTTTTCTAAAAAGAGACACACGAGCATTGGATAAGATGGGGATCTGGTGTAAAAATGTAATCCTGATGAGACTATCAATTTTATATATCAGACTTATCTGGAGTAGGATTTCAAGCATTTGGTTAAATTGTTAAAATAATACAATATGAACTATTTGAGATTGTTGGAGGAGGAAAACCCAAACGATTTGGTTGTTTTGAATCAATTCATCAATCATTTTAGTGGTAATTTGAATGGTTTGAAGTTGTTCTTGGATATACTTCGGATGAGTGACATTCCTTTGGAGTTCAATCTGCCATCGGAGAGATTAATGTGTATAAATCATGTGTTGGTAATCTTGATTAATTTTACATATTTGGATAGGAAGGATATAGTTGAGAATTTGCTGCAAAATGGTTTGATGAATCTGATATTGAAGGATTTGATGGATAGGATGGTATAGCCTGACAAGGTTCAGAGTAATTTTGATAGATGGTGTGAGATTATTGAGAGCGTAATCAATCTTTACTATGAATTTATCAGATTTGCCTTATTTTGATAAACATCTAATTTGAATTGGATAATCGAAATGTTTTGTTATTTAGAGAGGAGATCCTTAGGTCTCAACTCTTCAGAGTGTGGTCTAAGTTTTACCCAAAAAACCCCAATCACAAAAGTGTGGAAAGCCATTCTGCTTTTGGAGTGCAAACTATTTGAATCTAATGACATTGACCTCACAGACATTCCTCATTACAATGTATGGTCTTAATCATAATACTTAAGTTTAATTGCATCATCTCGCAATGCACATTCTTAATCGACAAGGTGTAGATGGATGATGAGAGTCTCTACAAGAGAGTGTTGGAGATCTTGTAGAAGTTGTCTGAATTCAAAGTCACATCAGCTTTGACCCTGACTCTGACCAAGTTCGTTTGGGAGAAGATTTTGAAATTAAATCTATTTCCCAGTAAATACTTTTCAATATTCACCAATTTCCTTGCTGAAAAAGATGACGATCATTACATCCTCCAACATTTCATTGAAATTGGTTTGATTGAATCCATGATCAGCTCCTTGCAAAATCCAGGAGATGAATTTCTAATCGAGAAAGTGTTTAAATGTTTCAACAACATTCTTTACTACCCCAACACTTTCATCGCTGAAAGAACGATCTAAGTGTTCCTGCCCTACCTCCACAATTACTTTACTCAATACTCAAGCATTAAATAAGAAATCTGCATAGAATACTTGTATCTCCTGCAAAATCTAATGAGTCATCAACAATTGTCAGACTATCATTTGAATGAGATCTTCATTAACCTAGATTGCTTACAATACGTTAGCGATATGTAATTACTATGATCACCTTAGATTGCTTTCCTGTAGCTACTTGACGAAATTGGTAGCTGAGTTATTCATGCACTTCCAAAGATTGCCAGAACAGTTTAAATTAGTCATACTGTAGAAGGTGGATGCCTATGATTTCGTGGAAATTCTAAACAACCAAGCAAGCATACTAAAAAACAAGGATGATGGATCTATCAATTTAATATTGAATTCTGCATATCATTCTGGGAACACAGTGATTTTGAAATAAGTATTGCTTGATTAACAGATTTATATTTGTTTTAATGATATATCTTATAATTAGTTATAATAAATAGAATTCATGATCAATCAAGGTAATCCATCTGAGTGAAAATATATAGAAAAATATTTAGATGAAGTTTAGGTTTATGTTAAGGATTAGGATTTCATACTATAAAGAAAATGATAGTTGTTTAAGGCTATTAGAGGATCTTATGAAAAAAACAAGAAGAAATTCAAGTAAGTTTTCAATGAATTCAGAATCAATGGTTGGAACTAAATAATAATATGAATAGAGATGGAGAGGGATGACAGAAGGAAGGATTAGAATGAGATAATTCACAATATCTCATAATTCAATCAATATCACTGATGCTATTTTTCTTCTACACCTGTCTCTTTGAGTTGTTTGAATAGCTGTGAAGCTTCAGGTATCTTTGAGAACTCGATGCAGAATCCTTGGATTTCAGTGAACATTTTTTTGGGGTCTAGGGTTTTTGATTTGATGAGGGTTTTGATGAAGACAGCTACCAACCTCACGTATCTGGACACCATCTGTTACTTGGGCTGTATTTAAGAAGGATGTGTACTTGCAACTCTTCGCAATATTGGATGCATTTGGTCAAATACATATGGAGGAAGGCTTCAGGCAATTTGATGGAATTGGATAGTTTGTTGACGACTTCCAAACTCTGCAATGAAATCTTCATTTGAATCAAACATTCGAAGTATTCATGGATACTGATTCCGCATTGATTGATGCGAGCCAGCAAAAAGCTTGACAGGTCAGGATTGTGTTCAATAAGGTTGGGAAGTTGATTGGGGAGTGATGCCACTATCCAAGACATTTCTCTGGTCTTGATTGAGGAGATCGATGGTTTCTTGTGCTTCCTTCTGAGACAATTTGGATTGTTGAGCTTTGAGGAGATTCTCCTTGATTCTGACTAGTGGCTCTTGACTGACTTCGATGGTATAATCCCAGAGGGGATCAGTGATTTGAAGGCTGATCCAATTAAACGAAGATTGAATAGTTGTGGGCACAGGTCGTAGATGGTCAATCGAAAAAGTGGTGAAGATGTGTTCAAGAGCTTGTCTTAATGAAGGACATTGAATGACAGCTCTCATGGTTTAGGGTTGATGATTAATTTATTGGTTAGAGGTACTCCATTCATCAACAAGTTATCTCAAATTACATTACCCGCACTCTAAATTAAGTTATATAGCGAAACCTATTCCTTATTCAACACAAGTCTCTTCTCCAAAGCATTACCACACTGAGTTTCATCTCCTGCAAAGTATAGACACACTATCCGTTGCGATGGAGTCAAAGGTGCAACGTCAATGACTGAATTTAGAATCCACGGCTCTGGAAGTGACTTCCGATAGCTCTCTAGAGTGCCATCATTGATACTCTTTAGAAAGTCATACACTTGGTCGATTTGATTTTTAGAAATCATTTTTTAATTGTATAAATACATTTCATTACTACTCCTTTTTCTTTTTTGCCAATTCAATCAGATGTTAAATCATTCTCTTACTTTACTATTCGATATTGTAAGCTTCGTCCCTCTCAGTCTCCTCATTCTACCCATTCAAATACTTGATCAATCTGTCGAATGTCTTATCTCCCAAATATGCATTGGCTGTCCATGAAACACCGACACGACCTATTAAACATTCGATTCAACATCAATACCAGCTCTTCCTATCAATTAAAACAAGGCTCCAATGGATCGCTTTTCAGCCATCTCATCAAAAACGACCACGTGATTCAAGGGGTAATTGACACCATAGCACATTGAATCATCAGAAATAATCAGAGCCAATTACCCATTCGATGCCAACTTCTACACCTCCTCATAATAATCGATGTCCAATTCGGATTACTAAGATAGGATTCATACACATAAATACCTTTTCTGTATATGCTGCAATACCAGAGAAGAGATACAACATAATGTCATCAGGGATATTAAGTTGATAGTTGATTCCCTCCAGTGAGAATGCCTTTCTGGCTCTATATTGTTCTAGATACAAGGGGTCGTTGGTAACGAATTTCTAATTGATTCTTATAAATTATTTCATACTTTGTAATGTTCCAATGTATTTATTTTCAAGAAATCAGGAAATGCTATAGTCAACTTCATGCTTTCTTATAGTGCTTGGATTTGCTTGGATCTCTCATCCTCGTTATCGATTTCTCTTTCCTTCTTTTGGATTTCTTTCTCCAAAATACTCGTGTTATTTTAGATATTGTTTCACGTATTCTGAGGCTGGAGCACATTTCTTGAGTAATTTATGGAATTTGGCTCTGATGAATTCTACTGGTGAATTTACAGCAATCAAACAGCCCCCTAAGAATTTATGAGCCATATTGCCACCCAATTGTCTAATATCTAACTTGTGATATGGAGCTGTGAATTTCATTTTATCCTCATCATCTATTTCAATTGTATAAGTATATTTTGATTTTGGTTTCTATTGTTATTGTAATTAACTATTCTCCTCTGTCTAATTAACTGCTCCTGTATCTTCAACCTCCTCATAGACGTATTCGTATTCATACTCATATTCTCCCTCCTCTCCTTCTTAGATTTGTTCTTCTCCTTCTTGCTATTATTCACCTAAATCTTATTATTAAACAACTTCTTGTTTTTTCCGAACACACTTTCTTAAAATGATTCATCATCAACTGTTAATAATATCTTCAATAATTCTATGCTTTTTCTTTAAACAAATTCTTGAGTAATAACATCGAATGTTTCAAAATCTTCAATGTTGACAATTCCACATCCCTTCATTCTATCATACAATTCACAATAAGCATTAGCATTGTAACATCTCTTCATAAATGGATTCTTCTCCAATCTATCCAAAATTTCAGCCAATTGCTATTTGTTCTATGCCTAATAATGTGGCAAGAACTTGTGACCACTATGAGAAAAGACCTACACAACCAATGTGGAATTGAGGAATCATGAACCACAGGAATGTCAATCTCTGAGATCTAAGCCTTCCTGTAAAGCTTAATGAAACTCGGTATTTTCTCAGGAGGTGGCAATGTGGCACTAGATAATATTGTAATGGGTGGAGCTCGACGAATAATGTCAATCAATATCTTGGTCACTTCTGCATCTGCAAAATCAGCATCAACTGTAGGTTCATCGATAAACAATATGTAATCCTTTCCATGTTTAGCTGGATTATGTGATACCAATTTACGATCCTTGCCCTACCATCTAACTACTTACTTCTCCTTTTCTGACAAGGTGTGTTTCTCTCTCAATAATTCCAATGTAGTCTTGAAGTCAGCCACAACCAAGGTTGGGAATTCCTCCTGTCTATTTTACCAAGAATTGACCAATCTTGGACATTCAGCATATCCCAAATCAGAATCCAGTTTAGAACTCTGGGAGTCCTTCCACATGGATGCAATGGCGAATTTCAGTTTCCTCTCATATGCAGCAGCACCAACTTAGGTTCTCACCGTATCCAAGGGACAACAATACAAAAACTAGACTTCTCTGGGATTCCTATAACCAAGATTCTTTAATTAATTATAGGCATTGTTCTCTTGAATAGCATAACTCTCTCTCAAGCGAGCCAAGTATTAAGCGATGGCAACACTCAACACTGTCTTACCTGTACCAACCATGGTACTAAAGAAGATCAAGGAAGGTTTTTCTGCTCTCTTCAAGAGTTCCAAGAGGTTTTCCTATGACTTGTATGGACGAACATCAGTTCTAATAAATGCTTGATTTAAATCTGTATCGATGACTAATTTTGGATATTTATTAAACAAGACTCTGTTTGAGAAACCAAAGTTCTTGTACAATTCTTTGAGCTTATATCTGAGATCTTCGACTGCTTGAGGTGCCAATCTCTCTTTCTTAGTCTCATCCAAATAGGATTAGCCTTCATATTCTTTGTAGTTGAGATAGACATTCTTGAGGAAGTAGATCAATTCAAAGGCATACTCATCCCTGAATTTGGAATGGATGTGACATTTGATTAATTAGGTGGCATAGATCATCAAGGCTGAGAACTTGAGTTCCATCCATTTCAAGGATTTGATACGTTTACTTGCTTATTCAGTTTTGAGAAATTCATTTTCTTTAGGTTTTAAATCCTGATTTAAAATGATCAATCCCATCTATTATAACATCTTCACTGTTTGATCATTAACCTTCTCCTTCGACAACTCAATACGCATCAAATCTTCCTTCTTGACCACATTCTTACCACCCTTCTTGCCCTATGCCTGCTTCTTATCCTCCTATTTGGGATTGCCATCATCAATTTTATTCAGAATGCCATACTCTACCAATTTGGGTCTCAGATACTTCAAGTACAAGTCTTGACCCACACAAATTTCGTAGATGACATTCGATTTCTAAACCTCCTATTATTATGGTGCTTACTCTGGTTTCTTCTGCTTACCACCCTTTTACTTGCTGTTATCCTTCTCCTTCTACACAGCCTCCACGACTGCTTATTTCTCAATCAAATCGTCTGCACTGTTATTACCCAATTATTGCAGAGTTGACAATACTCTTGTCTCGAATTAGCTGAAATTCTTCTTTTCTATCTTCTCCCATTGCTCTTTCACAAACTTACGAAAACGAGTGTTGGTCGTCTGATCCTTCTGCTCGTACTCTTCCTCGTTTGGCACATATTGATCCTCGGATTGCAACATATTTTAATTAATATCTTCATGGCCTTAATTTTTAAATCCCAATGACCCTTAAAATATGTTCTCCAAAGCTGGTAAAATCACCAGTGAGAAGTACATAATCTTCGCTCGTAAGGACGAGATCCTCAATCGTAAAATGGGCAAACGAGTGAAGAGCCATCTCTTTGAAATCCCAATCCCTGAAACCCAAGAAAAACAACTAACTCCAAATGCTCAACAAGCCTTAAAAACACAATAACCCTTCACAAAGCAATTATCGAGAGCAGTTGGCAATTACACCAAAATCGGATGCGATGGCTAACCTCCCTGTGGCTATTACAATCCAAAATTCAATCAATTAGATAAGTACATCCATTACTTAAATTGTTTTACAGAGCAAATCACATAGTTCCTGATTACCAAAAGAGTCTTGTCAAATCCACTCCCAGATAAACTACCAAAAGAGTGCAGAGTGCCATCAATTTCGGAAATAAAGAGCCCATTCCTGAAAAGCAAGTGTGGAAGAGAGATTGCTTCGTTGATATGTCGAGACAAACTGGAAGGTGAGAATGTCTGTTGTATCTAGATAGGAAGTGTTTTTCGGTTAACCAACGCCACACGAGGAGAGATTCAACTTTCTCAATATCACTACCCAATTCAGCAAGGTTCCAAGAACTCCGCAATATTCCATGAACAAATCGCTCTCCAGAGAATAAATGACTGTCTATAAGAGGAAGCATTATGCTCCAGATTACGAGCCTAATTTTGAATTTGGCAGGAGGTACTCAATACATGTGAAAATTCAATAGAAAATTAGGATCTGCAGGACCGAAGTTTGACTCAAAGAAGGGGAGAGATGACATCATGACTAAGAAATCGGATTACACTTTTGAAGAATACTTTGAATTCGACATTTATTCCAGATCTCAAAAGAGTCAGATCTACAGAGTGCCCACTGCTCCCAACTTCGGGAAAATGATTGACAGGGAACACGATCACAGATCCATTTTGCCATCCTATATGCAGGTAATACTGTATTGAGAATGTATACAAATAGAATTAGCACACGCAAACCAGAATAGGGATTACTCATTTGTCTTAGAAAATGCTGGAAACCAACAATTTCAGTGATGGGAGATTTTAGACAATCACTTCTAGTTTTGTGCCTCCTCCGAAGTAGATCGTTGAGGAAGAAGAAATCAAATGATTAAAAATATATAATTTCAATATTGGAGTTTTCTATCTTACAATTTGCCTTCAAATGAATCTAACATTTTATTTACATCCTCCTCAGGTTGATTAGTAGACCTGATGTTTTGAGGCATCTGTTATGCTTTGATCTTCGAATTCGAGATTCCCTTCAGAATAGTACAATTTGAGCGTATGGTTCTACTGAAATTGTTGTCACTCACATCACATGCCTATGCTAGATACAATCCCTTGAATTCAGATCTATCCATCCTAAGATTGCGTTGCTTGTGGACACTAAGTGATTACTATCTTGTTATGCTTATAACATTTACTTAGCTAGACTTTGCACATTTTTAGATGAATGACTATTCTAATTACTAGTTTGAGGTCTTACATGAAATGAAAATGAGGGTTTTTCACTGTCTACAGTGAATGGTCGACTTGTTCTTTGCTGTTTCTCCTCAATTTGTTATAGGGTTTATTCGATAATGTCAAGTGAAGGTCGAGATACATGAGATGGTCGTCTGACATGGGTGGTTTTGGAGATAGCCATTTTGTGAGATGGAGACAAACCTGCTTTGTGATGAATTTCATCGACTTCTTGTTGTCTTTTGGCATTGAGTTTGCGAATAAGTTTCATGTTCTCTTGTTTTAAGTCCCATCTGATTTATTCGACAATGTGTTCTTTTTCAATGCGTTTCTCGATCAATTTGACTGCCTCCTCCTCCATGGCCAGTATTTTGGGATTCACCAACATCTTGATATGTTTCTGGGAGTGCTGACCCACTTTATTCCAAAAGAATTCAGGTCTTCCTTACAATGTTGTATTGTATTGGGTCGGTTTCAAGAGCAATTGATCTGCCTCGATGTCTGATTGCTATTGGCTTAGATTCTGAAGACCAGCACGCTCTAATTTGCGAGTCTGCATCCTCAACTGGTCCTCGTGTCTCAATTGATTGAAGTAGATGTGCTTGCTCATTTGATACATTTGCTTGTCTCTCTGCTCTTGCTTTTGCAATTGCTGGATGCGTTTCTCGCCCTTCAGTTTCTGCTCCTGGATCTTAGCGAACACCTTCATGTTAGAACTGGATTGATGATGATTGTTCCAAATGTTAGCATTGTCATTGTAATAGGAGTGATTCTTTTTCTGAGCCTGCTGGGGTGGCAAGGTCTGGTATTGGGGGAGTTGCTGCTCCATATAGTACTTTTCCATCGCCGATTTAGGACAGAGAGGGTGATTTTAAATCATTATTATGAATAGTTTATTATCGTGTATTTAGGGTTAAAAAGAATTCAATCAAAAGCAGCAACTTCAATTTGACATCAACAAATACATCCAATACCCTGAGACACTCACTCCCATCCTCATACAGATTTGCGTCAAAATATTTGCCAACAAAGACAAGTACTTGGATGCTCAGGAGGAATCTCAGATACTCCAATTGATCATCAAAGGTCTCACAATCAAGGTAAATAGTACCTCACCACCTAATCAAATAGAAGTACAACCATGATATCCTGATCGAAATCGGATCAGTGATCAACCTCCAATCCAATGACAAAGCCAATCAGAACATATTTTATTATGTGTACCTGTCCTCACTCTACAAACAAAAGTCCAAGTCAGTTCAACAACAACAATAAATCAACAAGATGATCAACCTCTACGAAGATCAATTCAAAAATTACATCCACCATTTGTCCCAAATCGAGTGGAATCACAACCTCCTCCAATCCCTCATTAAATGCGTCTTATTCAACCCCACCCTCTTCAGAAATCACTAGAAACAAATCTAAGAACTCTGCATTCAAAGAAGATCCCAAACCAAAATTGCCACACTCTTAGCTCAACTCTACGCTGTCCTACAATTCACCTACTTGGAAGGCAAGCAAGGAATCAACTCCTACCAATCACAAGTCGTCAACACCCTGGAACAAATCTTCGATGCCTACTATGTTGTAGCCTCCCTAATTGATTTGGAGAAGGAGAAACTAGTCTTGCAGAATAACTGGCAAGCCAACCTCTCCACTGAGGAAGTCAAGATGAATCTCCTCAATGTAAACATATCAATCTTAATTAGATCGAAGGCAAGAACCAAAAGACCAAGTATTCAATCATCTTTCAAATCATCAAGGAATTCCTCACATCAACTGACAATTTTACCATCAATTTTAGAGAAACCTTGCATTTCCTGTCTCTCCTTTTCCAATCACAATTGCAATTCATCAAAGAAGACATCCTCATTGATATTTAGATTGAGAGTGCCATCCAAAAAATAGGAGAAATCATATAACTCAACAACTCCTTCGCTGATCATTTAGATGTAGTCTATGAAACACAATTGAATCAAAGCATTATGCAGCAATTACAAAACAAGCTCAACAAATTAATGATCGATAGAGGAATCACTCTCAGCATTGAATCCTTCAAAGAACTAAACTACTTCAGCAAGTCCACTTCACTTTCCTTATTACACACACTCGTACTGTCCAGTTTCAGTCAAGGTCTAATAATGAATACATCGATCCTTCAAATTTTATTTAAATTTACTCAATCATCATTTTCAGTCAACACCTCCATGATCAAACTCATTTCCTAGTTGTGTGAATCCATGTCATAACAGAGTAATTACTTTAAATATGAACTTAGAATTTTTAACAACCAGGATTGAATTAGAAGTGATCTCAAGAATCCTTGAACAACTTGAACTTGAATTCCCAAAATTTATGAAAAACATGAGCAATTTTATGAAAAGGGAAAGACATCAAATCTATCAACCCCAAAATGCCGATAACAAAAAGAAATAAAAGGTAGTCAAAGACATTCAATTGGGATTCCTACCTTAAGATCAACTCAACAAGACGAGTGTGAAAACACTAAAATAACGATTTGAAAATCAATTTAGTTCATTGTCACAGCTGGTTGTGAATAACTTGAGACAAGGACACTCACTGGATTTAACCAAAAGGTTGTACCAGCTATTATTTATCATTTTCTCATTTCCTCATGATATTTTGTTAAATCATTGTGGCAGTGAAGTCATTTCGTCCTTGTTGCGATTATGCAAGGTGGTGTTACAAAACTATAATGAATTGGAATTATGTTTGATTCAGCCCATTAAGTATTTCACTTTATACTTGATGCAATCAGAGGTCTACGATATTGATTTAGATTTGCAGGAAGCAACATCTGGCATTTTGGAGTTAATCAATTTTGTTTACCAAAAAAGAAAGACTTTGTCGATAGATAATTATGTGTCAACGATTGTAATTAATTTCAATATATTCTAGAAATCAATCAATGATCAGTTTTCCAAGGTTTAATAGATCCTCTAGTCTGTCAACTCAGAAGAGTAATACTATTCTTGTAAAGATAACTAGATGGATCTGTCCATGAATGCTAGTGTTGGAAATATTAACAACAATCTCCAATAGATAGCTGCCTAGATCAGGAAGACTAAGAGCTTTATTGGGGAGGAGGAAAGTAGCTCAAAACAATAGAAGTAAACAGAGGATGAGATGTTTTATTCCATAGTGAATCATTCAAATACCAATAATGCAAAAGGAGAATAACAAAATTAATAAATTGTTACATTACAATAAAATGTGATTGTTAATGAGGATGAAGAGATTGAAATACCAAAAGTTGTATTTGATTGAGAATTTATTAAAGTTGTTTATAAATTAAAATAATTAACACAATTTAATATAATTTAATTATGAGCACAAAAAAGACCTAGAAGGTTATTGGCAAAACATAAAAGATTGTTGAGAAATAAAGTCAAGAATCCTCAAATAAAGAATAAAAAATAAAAAGCAAAGTCAACAGATTAGAGTAATAACCACAAGAAAGACAACATGGAATTATTTATGTTGGACATTTACCTTATGGTTTTGTCGAAGAGGGATTGAAGGAATACTTTACCTAATTTGGAGACGTGCTCGGAGTCAAATTATTTAGAAGCAAAAAAGTAATTCCTCAAATTTACATTCTTTTTAGACCAATAGAGTCTAAGGATACGGATTTGTTAAATTTGCCGACAAAGAAGTAGCACCCATCGCAGCACAGGCCATGAACGGTTATCTAATGAACGGAAAGAAGTTAGTTGTCAATGTCTTAAGCGACTAACATCCAGACCCTTTCAAATACAAACACGGAAACTAAAAACTGTTCTTTATCAATTGGTCAGAAAAGGCTGTGGAAGAATCAAATAAAGTACCATCTATTATTAACAGTAGGAAAAATCAAATGAATAAATTGTCAAAGAAGTCTAGAAGTTGTTGGCTAATGAAGAGGAGAAGAGACTAAAACTTAAAGAATTAGGAATCAATTACACCTTCCCAGGATTTGTATCTATATATCTTTATCATAATTATAGAAAGAATAACTCAAAGCTTGAATTGATTAATGACAATGTATAATAATTATTCTAACAATTTAATATTAAAAATTATATCAAACGATTTAATGTTTAAAGAAATACATTTTAAACAAAAAGAAATTATATTTATTCATAAGAATTACACACGTAATTTGTATCTTTAATTCTATTCGCATGTATTTAGTATTTCTGTGGATTTTAAATAGAAAGTAATTGATGAACTTGTGTTCTAGAATCAAATCACACACTGTTACAATAAATATATATGTCGCAGAGAGTTTTGAATTACTATTCTTAATCATTTTTAATTTAATATTTTATCACGATTTAAAATGAATTCTATAAATATTCTGTGTCCTATTCATGCAAGACTTGTAAACTTTTTGAATATTGATTTAAATGTTAAATTAGGGGATAAAGTGGCTTGTGACGAATGTGGTTTAATTCGACCAATCAGTATCGTGGCTGGATTCGAAATCTACAATGGGATGGTAAAATAGTAAAATTAAGAAATCGATCGCCTGCTTGACCAGGAGGTAAAATCTTTGGAAATACTGAAAAATAAATTATTCAAAAAGACTGAAGAATTACTGGCCAACATGAATTTAATAGAAAAGGGAATAGAAAAGTAAATTTAGTAGATAATCTAACAATATAAAAATCTGAAGTTAAACCAGTATTAAATTGGATAAGTAACTTTCACCCAATTATAAAAAATGGCCTAACAAATTAGTCTATTTAAAAGTTAAGACATCTAATTAATTGATTAAGAAGTTGTTGATAAATTAAAACCCTACCAAGGAGTTTTTAATCAATATTATGATACTGCACTGAAGCATGTCAAGAACTATAAAAAAAAATTTGAAGATCTCATAGCATATTAACAATGGAATGACCATCCTTAAGAAATATGCTTCGATTTACAAATAGCTCATAGACATAATGTAATTATTGCGAATTGCGAAAATAAGATCAGAAGCTATTCATTTAAAGATGGCAGAATAAATTAAATATAAGAATCTAACACTCATAGAGGATTTATAGAAACGATTTGTATAAGTAATTCTTAAAATTTCTTTTTCACTGGAGGAGTAGATAAAATTGTTCGCGTTTGGAAACTTTCAAATTAGGGCACTTTTGAATTGCATTAAGAACTCAAACACCATAGAGACTGTATAAAATCTATAGTGATTAATTCGTAAGATAAACAATTATTTTCAACTGGATGCGATAAAACTATATAGATTTGGAATAAATGTGAAAACTCGTGGTAGTTATCATAAACTTTAAGTGACCATTTCAGGGAAATATTACAGATTTAGATCAGTCAAAGTGATAAGCTATTATTATCAGTAAGTTGGGATAGGTCTATCAATATCTACGAACATAATTTAGGAGTGTGGAAATTAACTTAGAAAATCGGAAATGCACATGAATATAAAATTTTCTCGGCTTGCTTTATAAATGATGAATAATTCGTTACTGGCAGTAAAGAGGTATTAATTTGGAGGAGAAATGAAAATAATGGATAATTTACTTTAACTGGAACAGTTCAATCCTATTTGGAATGTGTTGATAGAATCAAATATCTTCCATCTAATTCAATAATGATATTCCAAAGTTCTAATACATTAGATGTGTGGAGATTCGTAGGAATCAACGACCCTTTGCAAATATAAAGATTTAAAGGACTGTTTTAGGGAGCCACACTTAGAAATGATGGTCAATATTTAATTGCGTATAATGTAGATGAGAGGAAAATTATTATTCATTAGAGAAATTTCTGAGCTTAACTATATGTATAGTGATAATGTTATATATGTAAATGAAAATTCTTCACAAACAAAAGAATATTATTCCTAATATTATAAATCTCTTGAATTCATCTAATAAAAGGTAACACATTTTAAAGCAAAAGTATACAAAGAATCTAAAATACTTTCTTAATATTGAAGAACCAATCTGAAATTTATCAAAAAGTGCCAAGTCCTATTCTCCTTAAGAAGGAATTTGCTCCATTTATTTGAGATGAGCTGCAAATGTTTTCACATCTGGAGACTAAAGTAAATATTCTTTGGGTTCTTGAGGTTTTGCTAAAGTAGAATATTAGAAGGAGTACATGAAAACAACTTTCTGAAAAATTCCCTTGTTATGGGATATTTAGGAGTCTTGGAATGAAACATCATATAAGTGGTAGCTGACCTAATTATCATTTACTTATTAATTTATTTATATTTGTGAATTTAAAAATATCTGATAACTAAATAGCATTTGCTTAATCTAAATTCTTTTTCTGCATTCATAACTGTTTTTGTACAGATTCAGATATTTACGATGAAAAATAGTTGCGTATGAGTTATGGATTGTTGTAATATAATACTCACAATTGATGAATGGTTATGTATTTATAATTAATCTGTGTAAATTAAATTATTCTTCTTAAACCTAGAGATAATTTGATTGAAGTAAAAATAAATAGGCTATCAATAGTTAGTTTATTTGTCCTAGGACACAAAATGAAGTGTAGAAATTTTTAGATAATTTATAAATTTATTAAGTAATTTCAATAAATCCAAGGTTTGAAGAATTACTTATTGAGGGAGTATTAATACATGAATGGATGACTCGCTTTTCTGAAATAATGATCTTGAGAAATTAGTTAACAAATAGGCACAAACCATTTATTAAATTCAATTCTGTAATTTTGGATGGTTAATGTTAGAAAAACTCAGTGATTTTGATTCCATTTATAAATTATCATTTAATTACTTGAACCAAAATTATGACATACGAAGCCTTATTTAGATAAATTATAGGCAGAAAACTAAAATCTAATCTAAGATTAATATTATAGTAAACAATAAAAGTTTCTTACCTCTTTATAAGACAAGAAAATGCATTAATGTAAATTTAAATCTAATATTCCAATTAAATTTGATCAGTTGTGCAATAATTAATTAATGAATATAATATTATCAATATATTTTATTGTATGAAGTTATAGTAGTTTTCGAGTAAATAATTGAGCACGATTAAATGTGATCCTTAAATTTTGGATTAGGATTTCTAGGAACCTTTATGAAATGTTCCTCCTTGATTGAATTCATATACCAATGTGAGAGAGCCTAAGAGGCCGTTATTCGTTATAAAGGATTGTGATTCAATAAGCTTCTTAACAATTGATAACCACAATCTGGAATATTGAATACTGGCAATCTAGATAGGGTGAATTTCTTATTGAGTTTGAGAATGTCAGACACTTAATCAGCTTGGAATAAATGTTTATTAAAGTAGAGGTTATACATGACAACTCCCATGCTGAAGATATCAGATTTGTAATCAAAGGGTTTATTCATCAGAACTTCAGGAGCAATGTAACCGGGAGTGCCGCAACTAATAAGTCTGGATTCGACATTATTAAATTGGCAAGCCAATCCAAAATCGATGATTTTAATTTGATTTTCGTCGTCAATCAATATATTATCGATTTTTAAATCTCTATGAATAATGTATTTGGAATGAATGTACTGTACACCTTCCAGAATATCCTAAAAAATTAATTACGTAATGATCATACTTTCATAATTAATTTAATTTCTTCATGATCGTAATCATTTCTTAATCTATTGAGCTTCTCCATAACAATATAAATTGTGTTTGTACTCTCATAGACTTCATAGAATTTGGCAATGTTATTATGCTACAGCTCAGACCAGATCATAATTTCTCTTTTGATATCATTTACAACTTATTGGTTTTCCTTCTTCATGCATTTTGCAGCAAATAGTTTATTTGTTATTTTACACTGGAGCATGCATACTTGCGAATAGTTGCCTTTTCCGATAGTGCTGAGAAAGGTGTACATATTACTGATTTTTTTGTAGGTAACAAGTCTTCCTATGATGGATTTGAGATTGAGAAGATCATGATGGTCACCTGTAAACAATAGGGTGTTGATTTCAAAGCCTAGGAGCACATTTTTTTCTAATTTCCACACAATATTTGAATCTAAATTTAGAGGAAATGTCATCAAAAGAATTTAATTCATGATTATCAAGTTATTGTCATTATCAATAGTAAGATGACATGGAGAGTTGTTGAACGTGACTTTGATATTAAAATTCATTATTATTAGAATAAATTTCTTTGGTTAATTAGAAAAAATAATCTAAATTAATAAAATTAAAGTCAGATTCTCATGATTCCTAAGCCTTTCTTTATTTTAATCGCTAGCGAGATTAATTTAGCTTCTATTTCAATTTATTTAAAGTTCTAATAGCCATGTTGAAGGACAACCTTGTGATGGCATTATGAATGTCATTCTCAGTAACACAAAAGTTGCCTTGGTACTCATTTTTTAGAGGGAACCGACCATTTTTGGTCACCCAAGGATGTTCCTGAAATAACTCAATAAAGATACTAACACTTGTTAGGTTGTAATTCTAGTGTTGGGATTCTTGTCTAACATTCTTTTGAGTAAATCTGTTAAGTCTGAAGTTTCCCTCCACTTGATGTTTAGAGTGAGAATGTTATTCTTCAATTGATCCTGTCTTAACGAAATAAAAGGGTGCTCATTATATACTAACTGGTACAAAGTCAACCCAGCAGCCCAAACATCGATTGGCTTGCCTCTTACTTGGTCTTCAGTGAACACTTCTGGAGGTTGATAAGCTGATGTCCCTATTTTAGACTTGACCAAATTGTCATCCATAATTTACGAGACTCCGAAGTCAGCTATTTTCAATCTCAGTTCCTAGTTCAACAGTAGATTTTCAGGTTTAATGTCCATATGGGCAATATTGGCGAAATTATGCACTTATATTTTTGTATTATATACGATATTCTAGTCCCAACATGAAATCTCGAAATAATCTCCAAATTGTCTCAATGTTCGTATTTTTAATTGATAAGAGTTAAGGTCCGTCCATGTATTCCAAGACCAAATACAATTTATCGTTATTCGGATTTTCAATTACTTCATACAGTTACACTATGTTTTCGTGATCCACCTTCTTCATTATTGCGATCTCCTTGTCCAACAATGAATAGGCATCCATTTTGCTTGACAGTAACCTTAATTTTAACTTCTTCCTATCACATATTTTCACTGCCTATTATCATAATTCTAAATTTCTTACATATTTTCTATTGTTGTCCTTAGCCAACTTCACCTTCCCAAACGATCCCTTGCCAAGTTCCTGTAATATTGTATATTGATTAATTTTCACTTAACCATCTTCAGTTACTTCCTTCTTCATGATTGAATGATTTATTTGTTTCTAAGATCCCATCACCCTCTTCTCGTATATATTCGAATTAATCGCATTCTCCAAATCAATTATTTCATCAAATAATGTATCTTCTGTCATTCCCTACCCATTCACAATCTGAATCGAATCGCCAATCGATCTTTAAGTTGATAAAAATTTATGTTCCCCCATTATGGGACTGGGCATGCTGTCATACTTCTTTTTCGCAAACTAGATTAGATCCACCTTAAAAAGGTTTTTTGGACTATTTTGCCGACTCTATAATCGACTTTTAACAAAATCCAGCAAATTTCGTTATCGATATTTTATATAATCCTTTATCGTACTCGGTGTGTTTTTATCGGGAGAATTAGGTGCAGAAGCAAACTAATTAAAACTAAAATTTTATCCTGGTGTTCTATTATTAATAGGTAATTATAACATTGTTTAAAGATAAAATTAATATCAATATTTTATTTACTCCAACTATTCCAAATTGTAAGCCATGCTTATCTATTGCATATTGCAACATTATAAATTTCTTATGCTCCTTTCTGCTATTTACCATATCCTTAACACTTCTGATAACAATAGCTGTCATCATCTCCACTTAGACTTTTTAAGTGCCAAACAACATTATCTAGCCACAAGTGAACCATTTCTGACATCAATCTCAATTTTAAGAGTGCTGGCTTCATTAATCTGAGAAGAAATCACATCTTCTAGTTTCAACTAAATCATTTATCAAAAATAATTATTTTAGTTTTAAATACACAAGTACTGATTTTAAAATCCAATTTATCTCCAACCCTAATTTCAACCTAAATTAAACTATTATTTAGACATGTGAACAAAAAGAATAAAATGTAGAAGTACATATTATTGAGTTTGATGATCATATTGAAATACAATATTAATATATTATAGATATGATTTTTTTAATTACCTATGTGCCTAAAGGGTTCTCTTCTCAGATGCTATCCTTATGTTAATGTGCACCTATTTACTCAAATTAGAGTTTAATGGTGTTTTAGATTTCAACTTTATTTTGAGGTCACAATAGATGGTGATTCCATTTTAAGATGTAAAACTCATTTGCCAGTGAACAAAGGTAGAGAAAGAGATTAATTGCTTAAGTACTATGACGATATGCTTTTATCGAAACTCTAATGTTGTGTTCTGTCAGTAGTTATTGGAAAATTATTGATGGCGTCGAAGGGTTATTATCAATACCCAGTATTTAGTGTTATTTAAAAAAAGATGAAAAAATGCTGTTAGGAAACATACTTTCGAATAATAATATGGACAATATGCTTGTGAACTTATAATGAACCTGAGTTATTAAATTATCAATATATATTATGCAATGATATTTGCTTACAGCAAAATCCTCCAAAAAAGTATATGAATAATATTATTGAATTTTTTACAAGATATTCATTATAAATAGTAATTACATGAACTGATCAAAGATCCTGACACTAAAGATTTGATTTCTAATTAAGGTTTGGATAATTCAACTTTCTTGAATTAGCACTGCCCCAATTTTTTGTTGAGGAATAAAAATTTTTTTATTTTAGACTTTCGAATTTTGGACATAATTGATTTGGCAGTGGCATATTTAATATTTAACAGTTAAGAAGCCTGTCTAGACTAAATATATTACTTGTTTGATGGAATAAGACTCTTTAAACACCAAATCTTTGAGTTACTCCTTTTAGTTTTGATGCACTTTCTAATATTATCGAACCTATTCATTTTTTATGGTATTCTGGGACATTTATTAGCGTATGGTTATATCTCTTAAAAATAAAATAATAAATGAAGTGAATTGTTATTAATTTGGATATAAATATTTTTCACAGTTATTTAATTAGATTTAATTTGATAATATCTTAAATTAATATAAAATTTTATAATATATTAAATAATATATAATCAAATTATAGCTATATTTTGGTGATGGATATATTCCAGTTGTTATTTAGTTTCTTTTTTAAATGCCCTTATTAAAATTTGCAATCAATACCTGCTCCCGCAAACAAGGATTAATGTTTGATCATTCGGCTAAGGCAAATACTATTCCAAATATATCGGCTTTAATTAGCCCTTAGGACCACTAAAAACCTTTCCAATTGGATCTTGCTCATTTCTCAGCATAAATGTAGCATTTATCTTTTTCTCCTCAACATACCAAATTAATTCCTCCATCAGAACTAATTCATCTATAGTATCCGCCACATAAAGCAATCCTATATGTGTGTTATCACCGTTGGTAGCTATACCTTCTATTAACTATCAAATTAAGCATTGTTGTAACTTGGAAAAAAGCTGCAATAGCTGAAGACTCTGCTACTATGCCAATATATTTGTAATTTTAATTGATATTGTCTTTGGGGATTTCGATTGAGCCATACCCATGGTAAAGGTAATTAGTGAAAGGTCCATTTATATTGAGAATATGTCCATCCTACGATATTTGCAATTATTACATTCAAAGTTGTGATGTGAGTGGAAAAGTTCTTATTCTCCGCTTAAATGGCATGGACCAATAAATCAAACATTCCGACATCATCAATTCTGGAAATGGGGCAATAATATCTCGTTGTATTGATATCAAACTTAGGATCATTTAATGAAATGTACTATCCTATGCGAGTACCTAAGCATTTATCTTGTTGTGAAATTGCTAATTATGAGGTGCCAAAGAATTACCAAATTTCATTAGATATGTCGATTGATTTAATTGTTGTTTAGAATGCAATGTACAATATTATTGAGTGTTGTTCAAAAATTTGAATTCTTATTTAATATCAACTAAAAATTGGATTGATTTCTTTACATTGATTGATCATTTTAAACCTCAATTTAAACTGATAAAGTAGCGATTGGAACATTAATGTAATATTTAATTGTTGTAAATTATATTTTACAATATGTTAGAATATATATTAATATTAAATAATTGCACTAAAATACTCAATATTATCAATAGCTTTACTTATCTAAGACAGCATTAAATTCACTAGAAATCTATATAAATTACATTTAGAAATATTAGATTTTATAAGTATCCAATTCTAACTTTGATTATCTCTAATATTAGAATTATTAGTATCAATATAAATGGAGAATCTATATTTATTCAAATTACTTTTTTATAATTTAAACCAATTAGCTACCTTTTGCATATTTCCAAATTTGGCTCATCAAAACATTTAAATGATTTGATATGTTTTAAATTTAAGAAAATTCTTATCTCTATTAGTTAACTATGCTAATAATATTTTTTGATATCTTGATTAAATTTGTTAATATACAGTATTTTAAGAAGCCTTAAATTATTTAGGTAAAATAAAAAAGTGTTAATTGGATATTACAATTTTAGTTTACTTACCTCTTAATACAGCTAAAATTTCAAAGGCTCTAATTTTAATGACATCATAAAATGAATCCCTTAATTTTAGAGACCTTCTCATAAGATTCTAGCATTCTACTTCATTTGGAAACTTTGGAAACCTCACGTTAGTTATACTCTTCATGTATTCAAAAAAATAGAATTGAATGGTTCGTGCATCCAAATAAGATGTTAAGTAATATTATTAAAAATTATAGACTAAACTCTAAAATTGATTTTATCATAACTCAAACCTGATCAACTATGAACATTTTCTAATTAGATATCAATTTTTGTACTCTGAAATTTTTCTCTAGAAATCTTATCAAAAATGACAATTTAGGAAAAATAGAAATAAAAGAATATCAAAAAGAAAAATACAAAATGAACTCTTTTGGTTTTGCCGATTTGGATGAATCATAAAAATAGGACTGAGAGGTGGAAATGTTAACATAAATCATATTAATAATATTTAATAATGTTTAATTGAATTCTATATACAATATCTTGTGAATTCAAATATGAATATTTGAGTATTACATCATTAAAATCATTTATGGTTAGATCATTAGTCCTCCTCTCCTTCTTAATAGTCAGCTACACAACTGAAATTAAAATTAATGGATGCACTTGTGATGAAGTGTTAAAATAGGAAGAGTGTGATGGTTATCAACCAGGAGATATGAATTGTGATTGGAATGAGTAAAAAAATGTTTGTGATGCTGACCCAAGAATTAGTTGTTCAATGATAGATGGACAAGAATTATGTAGAGTCTAGGCCTATTGTGGTTGGGTTTCAGGTAAATGTGTTGACTTCAAATAATGTACTGATTACAAAGAGACTGTGGATTAAAAATGCAACAATATAAACTTCAAATGCGTATTATTGGAAGATGATAAATGTGGAACAAAGAAACCTATAGAATGTGAGTCATTTGCTGTTGAGAATTGCAAATCAACTTCCAACAATGTATGTGTTTTATCTGGCACCCCTGCTGCCTGTGTCACCATGAAAACCTGTAGTGATGGTAGTTACAATAACGATTAATGCAAAAAAAACTCTAAATGCTTTTGGGACACTGATAAATGCAGAGACAAAAAATGCTCTGACATTCAAGCAAAAGATTCTTGCTCCCTTATTATGTCATTCTTTTCACCATATGCAACATTATGCCATTGGTCAGCGGATAACAAATGTATTGATGGAGAAGACGAACATTACACAGCCGAAACCTGTTTCAAAGGAAGTGCTTAATCAAAGGTTTGGAAAGATGGTTAATGCAGATCTTGTACCGATTCTCCAGCTCCAGGCTACAGCAATGTCTTATCAGTATTCATGATTCTATTTGCAATAATAGTGATGTGATATCATTCATCAAATATATATATATGATAAATAATGTTTGTCATTTTTATAAATATTTTTGGACCAAATAATAGATGATAATAAATGAAATGAATGAAATACTCAATAAAAATATGTTTGTGGTTATTATTACTATTACTCTTTTGGAGGGGATTTTGGTCTCAAATTTTCAATTTCAATCGTTGTTTATAAATACCTAGGACCCATGAATGGCTTTTCTTCACTAAATTGTTCTTATTAGAAATAAGAATTATATTGTTATGGCATTTGTCTAGTATCTCTTAGTTATGTTCCAATTGTCAACCAACCATCTCTAATATTATGTATTTCTCCGAATAACTCAATTCTCTTTCTTCCCAAGCAAAACCTCTCTATAATCTCATACAATTCTTCTGGTTTTTTTGTGGATCCCATGACTTCCTCTTCTGTTATAATCACATCCGTATCTATGTTGGCATGAATGAAATGTTGATCTGAGGCTCTCTTTACATCTCCTCTGAGACCCACCAGACAATGTTCTTTGACTCTTCTAAATAAATTGTCTCCGTAATCTTATCCTGCAACATATTAATTTTATTTTGAATGATCTTTGTTAGTTTTCAACCAAACAATGTCTTCACATCTTTTGAATCCCCAGGTTTTGAATAACTCTCTGCCATCATCCAAATGTTCAGATCCACACCATAAGAAGATGAAACTTGGAATGTCTGCAATTTTATCAATGTGCAATTGTTTTAATTCCTCTAATGTCCAAGACTATTGATGCTCCTTAACCTACATGTTTGCCTACATCAATCTCTTGGCATATTCTGCCCAGGGTGGATCGATTAGAATTACATCAAACTATTATATGTGGTATTCATAATACTTTGCCCAACTATTACAAATCAAATGTTCTTAAATCAGCCTTGATATAATTTGGGGGATGATTATGTTTCTTTATCAACTCAGATTTTAATCGAATCAGTTCTTTTGATTTTGGATAATCTTCAAAACGTTCTTCTGGCTTGTATTTCTTTATAGAATTCTACGGCCGCTCATTTGTATCTAAAAAATGCTTACACAGATCATTCCTAAGAAATTAGTTAAAATTTTACAATTTTTGTTGCATTTTGAAGTCAACTATTATTTATTAATATATTTACTATGAATATTTTAGATGAAAATGTCCTTATCTGTCAATTCCAAACCCAAGTTGATCAACTCTATAGGTCAATGAACCAAGAACTCTTGATCAATCTCTTCCATATGGCCAACCAAACTGAAAAAGAATTAACATTATAAATAATCGGATCCCTGATTGCCACATATATCGATACCAACCACCAAGAAATCACCTGCTTCGAAAACATTTATCAAGGAGTCTTTCAAATCATCAGAAAAATCAATTCTACTTCAAAACCGGTTTATCATTTTTTAGGCTCAATTTTAGCAACAATTATGTTTCATTTCTAAGACAAACTTCCTACAAACTCCTTCAATTTATACATTCAAGAACTCTTAAGTGCAAAACCAATAGCCGCCTTCGCCATTCTAGAAGCTGTTATTAGAAGACTCACACCCAATCACAAGTTACATAAAATCGCCGTAATTACACTTGATTCCCAACACAGGGCAGTTAAGAATTACTTCTACAAAAATAACCTCGAGCTATTACTCAACAGTATCATGTTAATCTTAAAAAATAACTACGTTGATCTTATTGACAAAGCCATCAACCTGTTTAGTCTAATTATGGAAGGAGAATTCATTACAGACACCAAAGAAAAAGACTTTCACAAACTAAGGAGGGCTGACATTAAAAATAACAACTCCCTTCAATGTCAATTATCAAGATTCAACCCTTGTTTCATTGAAGCAGAGATACAACAACTGATGATTGAAAACTCTAATCTACAATGGGTAGATCCTACACGTTCAGACATTAAAAGATTATGGTCTAGCATTCTAGATCCTGAATTTATCTAATTGCTACTCAGACTCCTACCTCAATGCAATATACTATGGAATGTACTTGGCAAAATCTGTAAAATATTCAAAAAGCATTTCCTCAAAGAACAGAGAGCTCTGGACCTCATCCTTTTCATGACTCAAGAAGTTTAGAAACTCGATCCCACTCAATTAGATCTTGTTAAACTCTTGAAGTTTTCATGTCGAACCATCTACGCCAATACTAACTAAGATTGGCTTGTATTTAACATGTAGTTGTTCGCTAAAGCCAATACAATTGAATAATAAGTTCAAGTATTTAGATTTTTAAGGGAAATTTGTAGATATTACAGACAGATGCCAAACTGCAATAAGGAATACTTTAATTAACTCTTTATTCAGATTATTTATAACTTCTTTAGCAATTGGGTATTGTCTCAGACTGAGGTCTTGCTTACAGAGAATTAGTATTACTAAAATATTAGATACAATATCAAGGTCATTACATAATTTATCAACAAAGACTACTTCACATTCTTTTAGTAATTTATTGCTTAAAATTTGAGTAATTTAAAAATCGTTGTGCATGCATTCGATTTCTTATTGCTTGGATTCAAAAGTTTGGTTTATTCTACCTCATATTAATTAGATGTCTTGGTTAAATTACGCCATTATTAAAGTATGGAAAGATTTCTATATCCTTTTGATCTTGAGACTTTTAATCAATTCAATTATCAGGCCTTTTTCATTGAATTAATTGATGTCCTTTGGAAAATCAATGCTCATTTGCTATCCAATGGAATCCAAACCAAGTTTTACTATTATCTTTGGTCAGCCTTATTCGATTCTGATCTACTCATCAAATTTGAACCAATTATGCAATAGATACAAATAGAGAGAAAACTCTTCTTTGATTTCACACAACTGCTAACAATCACCGATACAAATCTACTCAAAAAATGTCTAAGATTAATTAGCAATTCAAAAATCAGATTCGAAAAAGATTAAGTCTACAACAACTACACATGCACAATCAATAATATCATAGTTCCAGCTGAATGCTTGGGTATTTTTGATCATTTCCAATTAATCCAAGATACAGAGTTATAAGAGCTCTATTACAGCATTAAGTGTAGTATTTATAATGCTCAAAATGAAGCATTCTACAATTCTGAAGATTGCGATAATTTACTCAATTAATTTTTGGTAGGTTTGAATGGCTTAGTGACTAATTTGTAAGACATCCAATCGATCATGTATATTTTCAAGAGTCTGTTAAATGCAAATGGTAGATTTTCATATAAATAAATTATGACCATGATGTGGGAACAAGAAAGATTTAATTAATTCAAATAATTTCTACAATTGAATCCCATATCTGAAACCTCCATCACTTTATTGATATTCACAAAAAAAATGATAAGCATAGATTCAGTCAAATCACTAAGAAGTGAGATTGTTGATGAAATGTATGAATGGATCTATAGCTTATCACATTACTATGTTGATTGGTTAACCAGAAACAATAATGATTTCAATTAGGAGAGACAACTTGGAGAAAAAAGTGAAAAAAAAATATACTAAGTTTATTATCGACCTATAAGAAAGTTACTTAAATTGTTTGTTAATTTTAAATACATGAGACAATGCTTGACAAGTAAAGTCAAAGTCAAGGAATAGATACTCCAATTAATTTACAAACTCTTGCACCTGATAAATTTAAATGATCTTAACGTTCTTATTCACAAAATGGAACCTTTATATCGAGTATGCGAATGGCTGGTTGAATTTGAACTTTCAAATAACAAGATGAATCCAAATGACTCACATTTAATACTTGAATTTGCTAACAAAGCTATTAGAATATAAGAAAAACAAACATTCACCTTAGCAATCAAAATATTTGAAATTGCCAAAGATAAGCCAGATATTTTAAATAGACATTATGTATAATATATTTTAATGCATCTAGGTACTTATTCAATTCATTCTGGAAGACCTATTGATAGCTGCCTACATTTATAATCAAAGAGTCTAAGAGATTGGGAAAATTCTATACAATCATCTGAAAAAGCATCCCAATATCTATGATTCTTTGTTTGTTTCCATTCAACAACGAGTTTCCCAAAAAAAGTCTGCTCTATGGCAACAATAGTTCATTTAAAAAGCATCCATTTTGAAACAATAGCTTTATTAAAAGCAAGATCAATTTAACGATGCTTTTGTTCAACTACAAATGCTTTACAATTACCTTTAATGATATAAAAGATATATATATAAAATTATATAATGTATGCTTTCATTCAATTATTGAAGTAATTTAATATAAATTAACTAATAATTCGTTCAACTCAATAACCTGAGAGTGGATTCATAAAATATTGAAAATTAAAAATTATAATTTTTAATAAATTGTAATTACAAGACTTTTCTCGTATTTAAGATATAGTAAATCAACTGTAATAAACATATTTAATTCAAAATTTCAATCATCATCATTAAATCTTACTTTCTTTTTGCTTTAATTACTCTTTAATTACTCACATATTTTTAAAATGGGCTTCGGTTCAATTGTTGAGCTATGAGGAAGCTATAGCTCAGTTAGATTGCCTGAATTCAATGAATCTTTTGCTAATTCAGGCAATATCGGTAATGTACTTATCTTAGTTTTGCCTTTGTAGTCATACTTTTTTAATGATGTTGCATCTTAATCTAAATGAACCATATCTAAAGAACTTGTTAGAAGGATATCATAGCAATCATCTTAATTTAAACTAATTGTTGGGTTTTGTGTTTCTATTGTTGGTTTAGAAGGACTTTAAGCGAATGAATTAGGAAGATCTATTAGATGATTAACTTATATTTTATCGTGGGAGCGTTTTAATTCTTACCCATTCACTTCTCCAATGTGGCAAATACCATTTCCCATTAAAATTTAATATAATTACTTTTGAAAAAGTTTATTATTTAGAGCTAATTAAAAAATCTTACAGAATACTCCCAACCCATTGGTTTTCCGACTTTTTAAAGAATAACCTTTGTACTCCTCTAAAAATGAAAAGAACACAACATTGTTCTGAATATTATAATTTACATTATAAATATCGCTTAAACTTCTTTGAAAAAACTTAAAAATTTATAATACTATATGATCATATATTTATAATTGGAAATATTAATTACTAAATAATATATTATCAAGATTAAATACTATGCACTAGGATAATGCCATTTACAAGTAAAACAATATTATATCATTCATTAAATAAAAATTCTCAATTTTACAAATTTTGTCAATAAGCATTTCTAATAACAAAGAGATTTACAAAAACTTATTTCAGTCATAAATTTGTTGTTACTAAAATGTTCCAATTGAAAAATATGAAATGTAAGTTACTGCAGTGTTGTAAATATAATACAAGAGTTTTCAAATTATTTTCTTGAGAAATATTAACATAATTACAGAATAATGTAACCCAAAGATGGTTTTTGACTTAAGCTACCTCTCAAAATGCTCATTCAATAGTATAAATATCGCTTGGAAATATTAAATTTATAGCAGTAAGATTTTAAAGAAATAGCCCTTTTATCTCAAACTTAAATACAATAATCAAATTTTGTTATTTATGCAATATCTTTTGCTACCTTAAGCGTTTTAGATAATGTAGGTTATCAGGTGATTTTAATAAACAATGAAATTTGACAAGGTAGATGACAAAGATGAATCAAAAGAAAAAATAGAATTAAGAGAAAAACTAAAATCTGCTCATCAATTTGATTAACACAGATGATATTCTTTAATTTAAATCTTATTTTCAATAAATTTGCAAGCTGTCTTTTGACTATTCTAGTTAGCTTAGGAATTACTGAGATTCTACGTAATGGTTGAAATTAACAAGAAAATTTTTAGACAATTTTGAATTTCCTACTAAAAAAAATTGAGAATTAGGTAAGAATACTCATGCTCTCCTGCTCAAAACATCATTGCTTCTAATTCCGTTGATAAAAAAAACAGAACATTGTTATTATTCATTGTATTCAACTATTAATTTTAAATGTCAACTTATTATTTTAATTATTCAAATGTCATTAATGTTGATAAGAAGGAATTCCTTCAATATGTTGTTCAGTTTAATATTGAATCAAAATAATTTCGGAATTTTGTAGGTATTTCTTATTACAAATAGGGAGGGTGCAACTATTAGTTGATTATTATTATCAGAAAATACAAAAATTAATGAAAAAGTTAGTTTTAAACTACATTCTTCAATTGGTAATCGAAAGCCCTATAGATATTTTACAATTAATCTATCCTAAAAACTTTACATCCTAATAACATTCACTAAATAATGTAGTACAAATTTAAAATCTAAATAGAACTTTAATTGTGTTAAAATAACTTTTATAAATTTAATCGAATATATAATGCTAATAAAGCTATTTTCGATATTGATTATTTTAATGAGTTTAATCCCTTTTAACAAACTTTGTATAATGCCCATGCCTAATTCGTAAGTCTAAATCATTTATATGAGGAGATTATTGAAATGCATTTCACTATGAGATCGGAAATATTAACTAAAATAATAATATTGCATTTGCTGGAAGTAATTGTTAATCGAATTATTACAAAAAATATGAAATAAGTATATCAGATTAAAAAATACAGAAACAAAAATTTATGAGAGTGATCTTGCACAAGGAATTGTTACATATATATTTCCAGTTAATTAAGTTTAATCAAATAAGATACAGAGTAGTTATTGATATTCAACACCAATGGCAAAATGAATAAAATAACTACAAAATCTATACCAGAGATTAAGGATTATAAGTAATAAAAGTTGAAACTTGCTTTAAATTGTATGATTCATGAATCATTTAAATAAGGGCGTTATAAATTAATGGTGTTCTAATAGAATATTACTATTTCTAAACACATAAAATAGTAACAAAGTGCGTTACAAAAATTCCACAATAGGAGGATATTTGGTTTATTAACTTTAAATTAGAATTCAAATGGTCTATTTTCTTAAAATCAAATTGTTTTCTCTTTCATTTCTTTTATATCTAAAATTGTTACTATTGATTCAATTTCCTTTACAGAAATTTTCACTTATTTATCCTGACTTTAGGGTTGTAAATTAGATTTGAATCACATTCACAGAAACCATAATTTTAAAGGAAACTTTCAATTTGTAATCACAATCTTTCTATCATTTCCTTTGTTATTTTTATGGAAATAATGAATATTCAATTTACATAGCTATAAATTGATAAATTTTTTTTTCAATAAAATTCTGATACATCAGGTGTCCCTAATCAAGCAAGGTTAATTGAACTTTATCCAATGAAATTAAGTTTGAAAATAACAAAATGAGTTTAATTCTAATGTATTTTCCAAATTTATCGCAATATCATAATGAGGCTAAGGTAAAGGAAGAAATAGAGTTATAATAAAAAATATAAGATACAGATGAATGTTGAAGAAGAGAAAAAAATATTATTTGGAGATCTCCAAATTGGTTTCATTAATCATCAATGTTTTTGATTTTTAATCTAAGGAATTTTAAGCACAATTTATTGTTTATTTAAAATACTATTATGGCATCCCTTTTGATACATTTGATTATCTTAAATTTACACAAGTTTGAATTATGATTCATTTACTATTATTATTATTAAACTATTCAGTAGAGTTCCGTCATCAGAAACAATATAGCTTGAAAAATCTCTGTGTTTTTGTTATCAAGATAATATTTTGAAGTAGTATATTTTAAATAAGATCCAATTACCTTAAGTATTGATTTTAGCTCAAGCAGAGTTAAAGTAAAGATGCTAAATCTATACAAATAAAATTTAAAATCTAATCAACAGACCTTCATAAGATTTCAGGTAAAATTAACCCTCTTTTCTAATTATTTAATGTACAAATATCAATTCATTTAAGCATAATTTTCTTTTGATGATCCAACTTGCAGATATCTGGCCAATTAATTCACTAAATAAATAAAGAAAAGATTAAGTCTATTTCCAAAGCTTAATCATTATATTAGATTTTTTGAAGATAAATTAAAATGCATTTTATAATAGGTTAAATCTTTTATAGGAGGTAAATAATTTTAAATGATATGAATCTTAAATTTGGGATTTTTACCAGGCTCAGAAAGGGGACTATAATTTATTATGTTAAAAGATTACGGCTGCAATATTTGATTCTGCTGTTCTTATCCATTCGAATATTTAGAAATGAGATTTTAGCTCGTATTCAAATTATGTTATCTTAGAATATTTCTTAAAACTTTGATTTTATTAGTAAAGTTGATCAAGCTTTAGGTGAGGACATATTTCTTCAGCTACCAAGTGATTATACAATCTAACCTAAAAAATTAGGAGATATTAATATTATTTAAATAAAACTATTTCTTACTAGCACTTAATCCTTGTACTTATTTAGTCTTACAAAATGTATGGAATAGCCAAAATTTATAGTAAAGTTAAAGTTCTTTAGATTCCAAAAAAATTGAAGTTTAATAATAATAGTAATTCAGAATAGTGAATTATAATAAAAAATTGTTAATAAATTATTTTATCACATGAAAGGGGAAATGATAGATTATTTCTTTGATTATTATTTAATGAACCTAATTTTAATGTGTATTTAGATAAACATTTTTAAAAACACTATTATAAAAACACAAGCTCTCCTCATTTAAGATTGTTTTACTTCTTCAGAAAGAGATTAAATTAGATTCTATATTTATAAGCTTTAAAGAATAAAGTTTATATTCCAAACTTAAAATTATAATATCATAATAGTGTAAATTTTTAAGAGAAATAACTTTAGTTATAATTAATATCCACAAAATTAACAGTTCTGCATAAAAAAGTGTTGTTAATTGGTAACATGGAGTCAAGTAAGAATTAATAATACAGAATGAGAACAAAAACAAAAAAATTGATAAATGCGATATTCTAAATTTTGAAAAATGAGAAATTCTATTAGATAGTTCAAGTCAGTGAGTTTATTGCAGTTAATTGAATCTCATATGATAACACAAGATTAATTCATTTTTTTAATGCAAAATTAATTTACTTTTCTGATATTCCTTAATTAATATCCTCTCAATCATCAAATAATAAAATGTCTCAAGTTTAAAGGTAAATCAGTGCAGCAAAATACCTTAAAAACCATATTTATGGTTATAAATTGATATCAATAAATCATTTATTTTATTTGCTAATTCAGGTTGTACATCACTAATTGCTGGTTAAAGTGCAATTTGGTTTAATCTATTAACAGACTTCATTAGAGATGTTATTAATATTTAGTAGATTGCTTTATTAATTTAAAGTTCTATATCCATTTATTTTAGTAGGCCTTCTTTTGGTTAATTTTTCTCTAGAGGAAGTTTAATATCTTCTTTTTAAATCTTCCATTACAACTTATTGAGTTAGTTCTTCTGTAACAAAATAAAACTCCATATTATCATGAACATCTGAATGGCATTTCTTTTGTTTCTGGGCGCATACTGCACAAAAGTCGCCTTACATAACAATGCAGATTTTATGTCCCTAACAAAACATGCGTCATGGCAAGTTGTATGGCAGTTATTACAGTTAGTTACTTATTCATTTTTGCCTAAATTACTTTTTTGTTTTAAATACCTTTTACTTGAATTTGAAATTTTTGATTCCCCCACTAATTTGGTTAAATTTAGAATTATTTTTTTATGTCAATATATCTCATCTATTAAATTTAGGTTTGTTAAATGTCATATCTTAAACCTATTTTGGTGAGTGTCAATGTAACAAAGTCATTTTAAAAATTTTTTATGCATAAAATATTTAAAATGATTAATATCCTTGATCCCAAAAATTTCATCTGATTTTCATCTTATAAGGCTGCATTATTAAATGTTATCCACTAAGGCTTCCTTACTTTTGATATAAGATTAACTACTGGATTTTAAGTATTCTTTGAATTGCAGAAAGTGCTTCAGGTTGTTTTGAGCCATCTGGAAAAGTTATTAAAAAAATAAAATTTTAAATTGCATGATAATACAAAACAAATCAAGGTTATAGAATCGAGTTCCTCCAATTTTCTGTTATTATTTTTGAAATTCTTTCATCCTCCACATATCCTTGTGTGTCTCAAACCCTGGAGTATCTATTTTTTCTTAGAGCAAATTTCCTGTAAAATCCCTTTACCATATATTCTGTTGCAACTTGAGTTGAACTAGTGGCTTATAATTTCTTAGGTTCATAAACGATGAGTGATCTAAATGAATCTAGATATGAAACTCCAAAATAAAAATTGCTCAAAAAGTTTATTAATTTTGATTTACCAGCTCTGATTTTTTCCTATTATAACTAAAGTTTTCAATAAACTTTAGTCATTTTTACCATCTTAATAATTCTTAGGTTACAAGTAGTAAGTATAACATTTCGTCATTTTCAATTAATTTTTCAAGGTAAATGATCGTCTGTTCTCATTATCAAAAATTCTTGAGGTATTTTTTGTTACTATATTAAACTAATTGTTTATTCCCCTTAGTTGTTTTTTCAACCCAATATATATTTGGAATCCCCAATTAATGATAAGATTCTACAGGAAATTAGACTAATTTTGAGCGAGAGTTGATTCCATTTAGCATAAGCTTCTAAATGATATCTTCAATATCCTCATCAATTTCCATTTCATTTTGTAAAATTGAAATCAGTTCATTAGCTGAATCAATATTCTGATTCTTCTTGATCATTTATTTTTTGCAACATTTCAATGCTAAAAACACCTAATTTTTTTTTTTAAATTAGAAAGCATTGTTGTTGCCTATTATTCAGACTTAGAATTGGAATTTTTGATGAGTCAATATAAATCAATCAAATTCTTCTCCTTTGCAGAAGAGTTTAAAAAATTATGACTTTAAAAGAAGAATCAACTCTTAAATAGTTGCTATGTTCTTCTATTGGCTAAAATCAAGTACCTCTGTTGCTAACACAATTTAAATAAATTTCTCCATTATGAAAATGATAGCTTTAATCACTCGAATTTCAGCTTTAGTAATGAACATATATTTCAAATGAAAAACAAAAGGATGGAAGTTAATGAGAGGAAAATTACAATCAAAAATAAAGCAAACACAATTCAACCACATTTCATTCTATGTACTTTAGTTAAATTGGCATTTATATCATTTATTTCATATCTTATGATAATATTATGATCTCAATTACTTGTGCAATTTGACTGAAGAATTTAATAGAAGTTTCAAAAATTTAGATCAGAAGAAATGTTTCAAAAAATTAAAGTTAAATAAATTGTGCTTCAAAAAATTAATATTTATGAATACTTTGCTAGTTTTTTTGTGAAATAAAGTCAAAATTTCGATAAACGTTTGAAAATATGTTTTATTTAAAGATGGTCTCATACAAAGTTTTACGATTTATTTAGGTTGAGAGACAAGTTATTCTTGGATTGGAAATATGGGAATTGAAGGACTTGAGTTGGGCTATCACCATTATAATTTAGGTGATTTAGATATATATTCAATTGAGAATATGGTTAAGGATTTATTTCCTTGTTTTTTATTGAAACTTGAGCTAAAAGAAACTTTTATTTTTAATTGAATTTAATAGATCAAATTTGAACTAAAGCTCATTCAAAAATTTTCATAAGAAAAATGTGTAAATTCAACAGCATCTACACGATTATTTATAGGGAGCATATTTAATATTAAATATTCAACTTTAAATAAGTCCTGTTTATGTGAAAACTAATGAAGAATATCCAATTAAAAGGAATTAATTGGTCTCATCAAGATAATCAAATAAATTAAATTTAGAAATCCTAAATTACTTATGCAACTTTATGTGCTACACAAGCATAATATGCTGATAAAATTTTAGATTAATATAAAGAGTTACAATATCCCATTACCTGAAAACATTTTTGAAATTATTCAATAAATGATTAGCACTTTAAGACTTATGATTTCATTATGAGGGATTGCGAATTATTTGCAGTAGTAAAGCTTAAGTTTTGTGTTTTTTTTTACAATCAAGTGATAACAATAAATTATGTTGACCTTCGCTGGATAAAACAATCAATCTTTCATGAAATATTTCTTATATTAATGCAAATGAAATCCTAATATTATATAGATTTGATTAAAATAAATTATTGATCTATAAATATTAATTTAATAGAAATAAGTCTTTTCAAAATGAATCTGTTTTCTTGAAATAAAAAGTAATTTCATAATAAAGACCATGTCGGCATAGAGTTAGCAAATAAAATTTTAGAAATACATAGAATTATTTTTCTAATAATTAGAAGAGAGTGAAAAAACTTTATTGCCTAAAGAACTTATTATCGCCACAGTAAATGAAGATAATACTACAAATTAAAGTTAATTAATGAATCTACTTCTTACAAAATTGACAAGCATTGAGATGGAATAATTACAATAGAGATTGTTGAAGGTGGATTCAATTTATAAGTTAAATTCTTTAATTGAATAAATTTATAAAAATAAACCAAATAATGATTAAACCATCACATAGTAGTTATCAAACAGTGAGGATTACTTTTTGGGGAAATTTTTCTAATTAAATGATCCAGAAGGAAAAGAAACAATTTACTCTGAAATTATTTAAGTTAAAATATATCAGGAGGAGAATAAGTAAATGTTCCGTTTTAAACTAGAAAATGGTTCATAAATTTTTCTTAGTTACTTAATGCAAAATTAAAGTAAAACTAATTGATTTATTGAATTAATTATCCGAAAATAAGAAGTGTAAAATAGAATTTTATCGATAAAAGGATGAATTTATGGATTATAAAGTCAACTTTGAATATGGGATATATGAATTAACTTTAAATAAAATTTATTATTTGCCTAATGGGGTAAATTTTAATTATTAACTTTTAAAAGAATCTGACAATAACATCTATTATAAATCTGATATACAAAAAATCAAATGCTTCAACTGCTTGAATATTCATACAAATATGGTTTACTCACTAACAAAAACAAAAAGTTGAAATAAAAGAAGTAGAATTAAAAGATATCTATTGTTGGTAATTTAAAGAAAAAACTCACTCAAAATCTATAACGCCTAATAATGTTTCAGAGAATATATAAATCATATAGATGAAATTAGATGAAAATCAAAAAAATTTAAAAATATTAGAAGAAATTAGCTAATGCAAAGATAATATTTTAAGATTTTTGAAAGAGGAAATTAATTAAAGCTTGTTACATTCTTTATTAGATAATTTAGCGCTAAATAATTGTAAGTTAAGTTCCTTAGAAGTAAATTCGGCTTTAGTTATGGAGAATATGAATAAAATAAAATAATTAAGCGATTTATTGATTGTAGAGGAGATGTAAGAAACTATTTTAAAGAATTTAGTATTGGAGGCTAGTTATACAAATTTAATAAAGAAAAGTAAAACCCTTTAAGTTATAAAAGTAATGGACCTACTCAAAGAATCATTTGACCACATTAAATCTGTAAACTCAATGGATTTAGTATTTTTTTTAGGTGGGACAGGATCAGGAAAAAGCACTTCCATTAATTATTATTTAGGTCATGAATTAGAGGAATATAATAGATATGGAAGAAAATTTCTCAAATTAAAATTAGAAAAAGATCTTCCTCTAAATGAGTTTGCTAAAATAGGCCATTCAATAGCTGTTTCAGAAACAACATTTGTACAAGGGTACAAAGTGGCGAGGAAGGAAAAATTAATGTTATGTGATTGCCCTGGATTTGATGATACTAGAGGAGATATTTATGATTTGACTACTGTGCTTAGTATTGATTAAACCATTAAAAACTGTAATTCAATAAAGGCGATTGTTTTAACTCTTTCATATGAATCATTTTTTGTAAATAGAAGTAGCGCCATCATATAATTATTTGAAAATGTAAGGCAGTTAATTCCAAATATTTTTAATGACAATTAAGTTAAAAATTCTGTATATCTTTTAATCACCAAAGCCAACAACTCCAATTAACTAAAAGAAGTCTTAACAATGTTGATATAAGATGCTTACAAAACTGATAATCAAATGTTGAATTATTTAGAGGAATAAGATAACCAATATAATTTAAAAAATACAAAAAATATGGAGAGATTATAAATTTGGCAATTTGTGTTATATCTGATATAAAACTAAAGGGTGATCAGCTATAATATCATAAATCAAATGGAAGCACTAGACCAATTAGTCGACTTTGAAAATATGATGGGTATTGATAAAAATTAATTTTGTAAAGCAATGGACAGATCAGATAAAAAACAACTTGCATTTAGCAAATATATTATATTTTAATTAGACACTTGGCAAAGATAGATTTTTGAGAAATTCTTTCATGAGATTCCTCAAGAAATTAAGAATGCTGAAACGTGGATTAATTAAAAACAAACCAGTATAAAAGAAAAAGAAAAGGAAAATAAATTGGAAGAAGAAAGAATTCAGTATTTAAAAACAAAAATCGCAGAGTTCGAAAATGAAATCCAAACACTCTAAAAACTATCAAACAATAAAGAATAGATTATTCAAAAATTGAATACAAAAAATAAATTTTCTGACTAAATTAGAAAGGATGCAGAGGGTGAAATAGAAAATTTGAATTGTTATATAAAAAAAAAGAATGGTATATTAGAAAGAAATAAAAAAGAAATTGAATCTTTTAAAAATGAAATTCAGAACATCCAAAATGAAATCAAAAAATTAGAATAAGATAATACTAAGTTATCAGAAGGGAATACATATAAAATTATTTATATGAATTTAGATAACTTTGGAATGAATGAAAAACTAGAATATTGGGTCAGCAAGCAATTTACATGAAAACC